AATGGGGCCCATTCGGATTGGTAATTTGGGATCTGGAGTTCCATTTTGGTTTCAAGAAGAATCTTTCCGAAAACAGAACCTGGAAATGTCTTCTGCGCTGTTGGACATCCATTTAAAGGGTACCACATTTTGGAGAGAGCACCCCCCCCCCTTGGAAAACCACTCTTTTTCAAGGAATTAATTGGTCTTTCTCCCTCCTTTCCCCTATTTATTTCATTTTAGATTGTAAATAAGTAAGTAAAACTCTATTTCTATCCCACCCTATCTCACCCTGGGGACTCAGGGCAGCTCACAACATAAAAGACAAACATAAAATACAACAATGGACTAAACAATTCGAATAGACAGTACAGAACATTTGACAAAAAGCAAATCACATAAAAACAATAATTACCAGTTACATGATATTAATAAAAATAAGATTAATTTGACAGCCAGAGTTTTCTGGATAGCGAATATACACAGACTGAAATATCTAGAGATATTTGTGAAAGCTATTGACAAATTTGACAGCACAAGGCCAGGTGGACCTTGTCAGGGTCATCATAAGGTGGATTTCATATATTCTTGGGTTCCATGTGTCATTCTATCCAGAATACTTTGGGGAAAACACTTGGACATTAATTCCCTATGGGACCCTGCCAAGGCAGGTTCCCTGCACAATGTGGCACTTAGAGTGGAAAACCTGGTGTTTTTTGGTTGGACTTTTGGTAGTTTTCTTACAAGGATGAAAACTAGCAAAATCAACTCCCCTGACTCAAAAGTCAAAGTAAAATAGACAGCAAATAACAGGAAGCTCAAAATAGGAGTATAAAGAAAGAAGAAACAAGCTGGATTTTTTTTTTTTTTGCACTTTATCTGCCAACAAACGCGCTAAAGATTGCATAGAGCATGATTTCTACATCAGGATTCCTTGGAAACCCTCACATTCAGTGAGAATTTGTTAGGGATTCTGTGAAAGATCATGATTTTTAATAATAAACATTTGTTGAGTTGTAGATCTAATAACTGGTATATGATTGTTTTGCTGATACCTGAAAATACACAACATTACTAGTCAAAACTTGAAAGAGGAAACTGCTTGTGAAAATAAGGGATGATACTTGTGTAGAGAGAAAAACTGGACTGAGAGGGAGAAGATGTCTACTTTGTATGAACATTGGTGTATGCACACATATTTCAACAATGACAACAAAGTTATCCAAACTGCCATATAAGATAGCCCAGTCCTCTGCTATAGTTCATGCTTTGCTTTGTTTTCTAATAATAAAAAAAACACCTCCATGTTTGTGGGTCTGAAGTCTTGCATCAGATTCCTTGCATCGTTGTATGAGGGGCGGCTGATAACTCTTTGGCTTTACCCAGAAAGAAATGAGATAGGGAGATGAAACTTTACATTTATTCCACATACTCTCCACTGATATCAACACACTTCTTACATTGGCATTCCAAGTTCTGTAAGCCTTGCAAAAAGATGGATTTTGGTTGTGCATAAAACCAGTCATCTGTAGCAGCCATGGCATCAGAAATGGTGTGAAATTTGGTACCCTTGAGGTGTTTCTTCAGGTTAGGAAACAGATGATAGTCGGAGGGTGCTAGATCCGATGAATATGGTGGGTGGTCAACCATCTGGAAGCCTAGCTCCACCAGTTTTGCCATGGTCGCTTGTGCAGTGTGAGCGGAGGCTTTGTCTTGCAGGAACAAGATTCCTTTGGACAGCTTGCCGTGCCTTTTGGCCTTCAGAACTGCCTTCAGTTGGTTCAAAAGTTCAGTGTAATACCTTCCATTGATGGTGGAACCATTTTGAAGGTAGTCCAATAGCAGCACACCCTCCTTATCCCAGAACACAGACGCCATCACCTTAGTGGCTGATTTTTGCACCCTGAACTTCTTTGGATGTGGAGAACCACTATGCCTTTTGACTGCTCCTTGGTTTCAGGGTCATACAGATAAATCCAGGTGTCATCCATAGTGACCAGTCAATCCAGGCACTTCTTATTAGTTTGGAAATGCTGACAAGTGGACCGGAAAGTTTTCACTCGCATGTTTTTCTGATCTGTTGTCAAACATTTGGGGATCCACTTTGCAGAGAGCTTCTTCATGTTCAAATGTTAATGGATATGAGGCAGACACATTCATGAGAAATCCCCATGATGTCTGCTGTTCCTTTAGCTTAAATTTGCCAATTCTCCAGCATGAGGTTGTGCACAGCATCGATGATCACCGGAACAACAACCACTCTCGGTCATCCAGGACATTCCTCATCATTGGTGCTGAAGTGGCCCATTTTAAATTTGGCAACCCGGTTCTTAACTGTAGAATATGAAGGGCATAGAGTCCCCCAATGTCTGAGACATATCACTATGAATATCCTTCACGGACTTTCCTTGCAGAAACAAGAATTTGCTGTGAATATCGCCCTAGACTCCACCATTTTGTTTTCCCGCGTGCCAAGATCACTGTTGCCATAAGCTACAAACACAAAATTTTGAAAACATATATTAGACACATAAGACTTTCATGTGATGTAATATTGATTACCATAGAAACAAGACAAGAACACAAAGCCAAAGACTTATCAGCAGCCCCTCGTATATTGTACTTGCAGAAGGAAATAGTAGAGAAACCAAGAGATTATATTCCATGAGAAATTTGGGACAGTTTCTCTATGGTACTTCTAAAGGTGAGAGTGACAGGTTGAATGGGGAGGAGGACAGTTTAGAATACCTCAGTTGTCATGTTCAGGTCTTAAGATTTCCCTTGCAGCTGAGCAGACTTCTTATGGCAGTTTGGCTTCAGAGACTTGTGGAATCTGAAGAATTCCTGGATGCTATGGGGGTGGGTTTTCTAGTGCATGGAACTAATGATACCTTTGCTTGTGTGCATGTGCATTTAGGATATATGTATGTATGTATATATATATATATACAATTCTTGCACACCACCTGGAACTGTTAAAGTTGCAGACAATTTATAACAACTGCAGACAAATAAAAAGACATAATATCCCCAAAATGCAGCGTTCAGATCTATTTTTTGAGCTTCCCATCTAGAGCATTCTTTGCCTTTCTGCCCTGGGGGCGTATCTGCCTAGCCTTGCCGTCTGCATACCACCTGCAGGAGAAATGCACAACAAGGTCTTTCACATAACGTCAGAAATGACCCCTTGCACATCCTGCCCGATCATCTGCAAAGAAGCTATTTATGAAGGCTTCGTGTTCATTCTGGATAAGCAGCTCAATAGAAATGTCTCTCGTAAGCTGTATGCTTTCATTATGTCTCTCGCCCAGTCAAGTAAAGAAATCTCTCTTTTTGGCAGGTTAACAGGGTGGGAAGTGGGTAATTCCATTGTCTCGGTGGACATTAGTGTATTATATGTCTGGTTCCCCATACAATAAAGTGAGACAGCATAGAAAACCCTTTGTTTACAAATTCAATATCAAAAGAATTGGGCTGAATGACAATGTAAAGGACTTGAATTGGCCCATTTATACTTCTATTTCTAAGTTTTCTTGTTGTTCCCTCCAGCGTAGAAGTTCCACACATCACTAGAAAAACTTGTCTGAACTCTACAGCTTTGGCTTTAAGATCTCATTCACATAGCCCTGGAACTTAGAAGCTACTGTATATTCCAGCTTATAAGATGACTGGGCATATAAGACGACCCCCAACTTTTCCAGTTAAAATATAGAGTTTGGGATATACTCGCCGTATAAGACAGTTCCCGCCAAAATGGAACTGTAGAGGAAAGTCTGCTGAACAAGCCAGTACCTGCCACATACCAGTACTGCCATCTGTTGAGGAGTTCCGAAGGTGGAGACATTACTTTTCATTCAACCCTTGTACTATAAAAACATTGTTTGCACTCACTGCATCTAAAGCATAGCTGCCTTCTGCCGTATTCTGCTTTATAATTCTTAGACTCTTCAAACTTTTTAAAGTATATTCATATAATAAAAACATGATTATTTGTTTTAGCACCTTGTAAAGATGCTGCTGGAAAGGAAGGCTCTACATTTGAGAATAGACCCCAAAATACTGGCAAAGTGAATTCTGCCGGTATTTATTTATTGTATTTGTATACAGCCTTTCTCAGCCTTTCGGTGACTCAAGGCGGTTTACAGTCAATAAGTAATATATGTAATATCAAAATGCACATAAAAACATTAAATACAATATGAAACCACAACAGAAACAATAAGCAATAAGAAACAACCAGGAGACAGGTTTTTTTAAAGTCTCCTCCTCAGTCCCTTTTCTCCTCTTAGCTGGCTTGGGGGGGGGGGGGGGAAGCAGCAGGACTTTCTCCTCCTCCCGAGGTGGCAGGCAGATGTAGTAAGCAACAGCCAGGAGACAGGTGTTTTTAAAGTCTCCTCCTCAGTCCCCTTTCTTCTCTTGGGGGGGGGAGGAGAGAAGCACCAGGATTTCCTCCTTCTCCTGAGGTGGCAGGCAGATGTCGTAAGCAACAGCCAGGATGCAGGTGTTTTAAAAGTCCCTTCCTCAATCCCCTTCCTCCTCTTAGCTTGCTGGGGGGGGGGGGAGCAGCAGGATTTCCTCTTTCTCCTCCTGAGGTGGCAGGCAGATGTCGTAAGCAACAGCCAGGATGCAGGTGTTTTTAAAGTTTCTTCCTCAATCCCCTTCCTCCTCTTAGCTGGCTGGGGGGGGGGGGAGAGAAGCAGCAGGATTTCCTCCTTCTCCTCCTGAGGTGGCAGGCAGATGTAGTAAGCAACAGCCAGGAGACAGGTGTTTTTAAAGTCTCTTCCTCAGTCCCCTTCCTCCTCTTAGCTGGCTTGGGGGGGGGGGGAAGCACCAGGATTTCCTCCTTCTCCTGAGGTGGCAGGCAGATGTCGTAAGCAACAGCCAGGATGCAGGTGTTTTAAAAGTCCCTTCCTCAATCCCCTTCCTCCTCTTAGCTTGCTGGGGGGGGGGGGAGCACTTCCTTTGATTATCTGTGATTAAAAGATGTGAATGTTAGTCATTTCTCTGTGTATTCCTTTTAGGGTTGCCACTGACCACAATGTTGACAACACGACTGGCATTCTGAAAGAGTGGCTGAAGAATGTGCAAAAATTGTATCACTACGTGGAGTGGAGGCCAATGGAGGAGCCCCAGTAAGTCCTGGATCAGTGGAGATTTTTCTAGTAAAAAGAGTGCAGCAAAAGTAAATGTGTTAAAAATTTGAACCATGCCCCCACCAGCAGTTTAAGGGCAGGACACTCTGCTCTGTCAAAGTTGAGATTAATTTCACAATTCAACAGCAGATCAGCTGCACAACTTCAGCGCTTTCCAGTAGCTTCTTCCTGCACAGTATTTTCAGTCAACTGCTCCCACAGCCTGCAGTCACTCTGGAACCTTTTACATACACTTGAGCACATGCCCGCCCATTGTCAGTTTTACCATTGTCTTTCCCCCAGTCTAGATGATATTACAGACTTACCACAGCACACAGTTATATCTTGTCTTAGCAGACAGGTTCTTTTAATTACACATATAGCCTTCGACGAACAACATCACAGAACAAGGAGAGAAATACACTGTACATGACTTCCTTATATACAATTCATTCACACATAGCAATCACTGATTGGTTCCCAAGTCATTAACTTAACTCAGACCCAGGATTACATCATTCACAATCACCTGGACCAGGCCAGAACACATTCCCCAAGTGAAGTTCTATATACAGTTAATGCGTGACTCAGCATTTCCAATAGAAGCCCATTAGCAGTGCATGACTCAGCTATATTACATTACAATACATTGTAAAACCTGACAGTCAAGCTATTGTAAGAGTTTCCCCGCCTACCTGGTCCTGCCCTGCTTGTTCTGCCAAAGAGGAGGGGATGCGATGGAATGCAGTCAAGAGTTTTGCTGGGAAAGGGGGTTGTGAAGAGAGGCAAAGGCCTCACCTACACTGAATGCAGTTTGAAACTAGCTTTAAACTGCAGCTGTTAGGCAATGAACTCCCATGAAAGTGCTCACCATCCCGTTGCTTGCAATGGGAGCTCTTGCTTGGAGATACAGTAGACTCAATTAACTAGCACCCATGGATTGGGAAGTGCCAGATGAATGTTGTTTCTGGTTGCTACAATTTAAATAAGTCTATCACAAGTGAGATTGGTGGGGACGAGGAGCAGGGCCTTCTCAGTGGTGGCTCCTCACCTATGGAATTCACTCCCTGGGGAAATTAGATCAGCGACATCCCTCCTTTCCTTTAGAAGGAAATTAAAAATATGGATTTGGGACCAGGCGTTTGGGCAATCTGGCAGATAAATAAAGGACTACGACGACGGATAGGAATAGACAATGTGGAATGAAGTATGGACTCTTGAGTTGGCGAACGCTGAGCATGAGATTGGTTTATTGATTGTGATATATATTGATTGTTTTTAATTGTTTTAATTGTTATAACTGTTTAACTGCTGTTTTTATACGTTTTTGCATTATTGTGTAGGCATCGAATTGTGCCTGTTTGTAAACCGCCCTGAGTCCCCCCTCGGGGGTTGAGAAGGGCGGGGTAGAAGTACATGAAATAAATAAATAAATAATACTATACCCCATACTATATTTATTTATTTATTTAGCAATTTTGTATACCGGTCTTCTCCCCTCTATCGAGGGACTCGGGCCGGTTTCCAACAATAAAATCACAAAACAATAATTAAAAACATCATATAACATATTCAATTAAAACGTTATAACAGCAAAATGCAATCACATAATAACAATGGTCAGTTGTCATAGTGAATTCGTTGTCCATCATTTATCGTCATCTATCCGATCACAGAAATATTGATTCACTCGTCGAAAGCCAAACCCCATAGCCAGGTTTTCACCCGTTTTCTGAACGACAGAATGGAGGGGGCAGTTCTGATCTCCAGTGGGAGAGAGTTCCAGAGTCGAGGAGCCACCACCGAGAAGGCCCTGTCCCTCGTCCCCACCAGACGTGCCTGAGAGGCCGGTGGGACCGAGAGCAGGGCCCCTCCAGACAATCTTAACAACCTAGATGGTTCATAGGGGAGAATACGTTCGGACAGGCATCAACTCTGTATTGACTTGATATTAATATTGAAACACATTAATTAAAAGCAACTAAAGGTGAATAAAGATGAAGTCACACCATTTTCTTGTATTATAAAAACAGCTTTGTGAATGTAGTGTGCAATTTTAATTAATTTCTTTGTCTGTTGCTTGAGTTCAGTTCACTGAGAGTGTGCTGTATACTGCTTTTGTACATGGAGGTTTTTCCATTTAACGATATCATTGCTTTTAAAAAAAACCTCACCCAAAACAAAACAAAAATCCTAAGTCTTCTCTGCCAAACGTCCTAATCCCTTTAAAAGCAATATAAACTAGAGTGTAGTTTCTTTACACTAGGGTGTCCTCCTGGACTCATCACTGTCACTTGAAGCTCAGGCGTCGGCGGTGGCTGGGAGGGCCTTCGCACAATTAAAACTCGTGCGCCAACTGCGACCATACCTCGTGAAGGCGGATCTGGCCAGGGTGGTCCACGCCTTAGTCACTTCCAGATTGGACTATTGTAATACACTCTACGTGGGGCTGCCCTTGAAAACGGCCCGGAAATTTCAATTGGTCCAACGGTCGGCGGCCAGATTGTTAACTGGTGCTCCTTACAGGGAGAGGTCAACCCTCCTGTTTAAGGAGCTCCACTGGCTGCCATTCATTTTCCGGTCCCAATCCAAGGTGCAGGTGCTTACCTACACAGCCCTAAACGGTTTGGGACCCGCCTACCTGCATGATCGCATCTCTGTGTATGAACCCACATGATCTCTTCATTCATCTGGAGAGGTCCTGCTAACGATTCCACCGGCATCGCAAATGCGATTGGTGGGGACGAGGGATAGGGCTTTCTTGGTGGTGGCCCCTTGACTCTGGAACTCTCTCCTAAGGACATCAGGCAGGCTCCATCGCTAGCAATCTTTAGGAGGAGCCTGAAAACGTGGTTGTTCCAGTGTGCCTTTCCAGAATAAGGAAACTCCTAGCATTATGTCCCAAGATCTAGGATATCTGCATGCCCATCCCCCTCCAAACACCCCACCTTGTCATGCCCAGCACTTTTAATTTTAATTATTACATTTGGCCCAGCCATTGTTTTTAATTGCGTCATTGGGTGTTGTTAATGTTATTGCTTTGTTTTTTGAGTTATTGTGTTGTTGTTGCTGCTGTTTTTATTATTGTATTTGGGCTCGGCCTCTTGTAAGTCGCACCGAGTCCTTCGGGAGATGGTAGCGAGGTACAAATAAAGGATTATTATTATTATTATTATTATTATTATTATTATTACATCTTTGTATGAGCGAATTCTATGTGCAAGATAATTTGTGTGAATGCGGTGTTATGCAAGTTTAGAGGTCTAGGCTATGGAGCCTTTAAAAAAATGATAAACACTGTTCCCTGTAATGCCCAGCACACGTGTTGGCCAGGAAATGGAATGATGCTGCGTGTTCCACTAAGTCCTGGGCACACATGCCAGGAATAAATTTCAGTCTGTTTTTCTTTACTCAGAGCTTTCTTTCACATTTTCTACTCTTACCCTTTTGGGGCACTTGAGGTGACTAAGCTGTATTTGCTTCCTTCTCCTTCTCCTCCCCCTTTCCTTTTAAAAGCAAAATTTTAACATCAGAAGGTAAATAATACTGAGCAAGCCATGATGACAGTATTGATTTTATTTTTTATTTTTTTGCAGGTCTTACCCTGAGGAGATTGGGCCTAAACATTGGCCAAACTCCAGGTTTGCCCATGTGATGAAGCTGAGGCAGGCTGCTCTGAGAACTGCAAGGGAAAAATGGTCTGATTATATTATGGTAAAGACAGATCTAGAACAGATCGAATGTAGCTCAGTTGAAGTCATACCCAGTAATCAACCAATCTGGATCAGTTTTTCCAAGACACTATAAAAATACCTGAATGTTTCTGCTCTTATTTGAATAAATCCAGAAACTTCATTCCATCTCAATGGTAAACATCCTAGTATATAGCATCACTTTTTGGAATGTGCAGATAAGTAAATACAACATTTACCAGTATTTGTACTTGGCTTTGGTACAGTGTACATTTTGGTTAGCTTAATGTTGTGGATTATGATGGAAATCTCCATTTATTTTGCACAGTTTCCTACATGGCAAGAACTGAAGATGCGTAACACTCCTGATCCAGTCTTATTTATGGAACATCTAGACATAACCGTCGTCAAGATTGTTTTATTTTTTCCCCTCTTTCTAGTTTATAGATGCTGATAATTTTCTGACCAACCCAGATGTGCTGAATCTCATGATAGCTGAGAACAAGACCATTGTAGCACCAATGCTTGAATCTCGCAATCTTTACTCTAACTTCTGGTGTGGAATGACACCTCAGGCAAGTGATTACTTATTGCCACAGCCCAAACTGTATAACATTTCAGATGTCAATGAATAAATACAGGTAGCTCCTTTCCTCACAGTATTCTAGTGTAATCATTGGTGGGGACGAGGAGCAGGGCCTTCTCAGTGGTGGCCCCTCACCTGTGGAACTCACTCCCGGGGGAAATTAGGGCATCAACATCCCTCCTCTCCTTCAGGAGGAAAGTAAAGATGTGGTTGTGGGACCAGGCCTTTGGGCAATCTGACAACTAGATAAGGACAATCAGACAATTAGGACTGACAGGACTGACAATGTGGAATTGGAATTTGGACTATGAGATAGCGAACGCTGACCGTCAATGAGGAGTAATTGGGTTTGTATTGGTTTTATTGTTGTAATGCAGGAATGCATGGCCGGAATCACTGGGTTGTTGTAGGTTTTTTCGGGCTATATGGCCATGGTCTGGAGGCATTCTCTCCAGACGTTTTGCCTGCATGGCAAGCATCCTCAGAGGTAGTGAGGTCTGTTGGAACTAGGAAAAAGGGTTTATATATCTGTGGAATGACCAGGGTGAGACAAAGGACTCTTGTCTGCTGGAGCTAGGTGTGAATGTTTCAGCTGATCGCCTTGATTAGCATTCAATGGCTTGGAGGTGCCTGGGGGGAATCTTTTGTTGAGAGTGATTTTTTGTGCCTGTTTGTTTCCCCTCTGTTGTTTTGCTGTTGTAATTTTTTAATACTGTTTTTTAATACTGGTAGCCAGATTTTGTTCATTTTCATGGTTTCTTCCTTTCTGTTGAAATTGTCCACATGCTTGTGGATTTCAATGGCTTCTCTGTGTAGTCTGACATGGTGGTTGTGAGAGTGGTCCAGCATTTCTGTGTTCTCAATTAATATGCTGTGTCCAGGTTGGTTCATCAGGTGCTCTGCTATGGCTGACTTCTCTGGTTGAAGTAGTCTGCAGTGCCTTTCATGTTCCTTGATTCGTGTTTGGGCAATGCTGCGTTTGGTGGTCCCTATGTAGACTTGTCAACAGCTGCATGGTATACGGTAGACTCCTGCAGAGGTGAGAGGATCCCTCTTGTCCTTTGCTGAATGTAGCATTTGTTGGATTTTCTTGGTGGGTCTGTAAGTGGTTTGTATGTTGTGTTTCCTCATCAGTTTCCCTATGTGGTCAGTGGTTCCCTTGATGTATGGCAAGAACACACAAAACAAACAATGCCTTCTCAAATAACCCGGCCACCGCCGGGTCCCCAAGCTAGTAAATAAATAAATAGCATTTGGGGGAAGGGTGGGAGGAATCAGGTTAATAGCTGAAAAACACATGTTTAAAAGGTGCACTTAAAACCTGAATCCGCCCCAAAAAATGTGCACCTTCGCATGACTGTATATCCCAACAGTCATGGAAAACATATGACTTCCTTCTGAGCCCTTACAGTATATGTTACATCACCATGAGTGTGATTGTCAATATTTTGATGAGGAAATGTAGCCCATGTAGAAAATTCTGAAGTGAGTTGTGGCCTGCAAACTCCCTTTCTCATATGAAAGAGTACAATATTTCCCCTTTGTCACTCCTCCACTTTCCAAATTACATTTCCAGTCCAGTGACTTCACTCTGCTGTTGATGACTTTCCTTTTCTGGGAATTAAGTTCTGGTGCAGAGACTGAGATCAGCACACAGCTGGAGCAGCAATGTTACTGTTTTGCTTGAGATCTATTCATTAACTTTGTTTGCACATGTGTTCTCGAAGGCTTTCATTGCAGGAATCACTGATGTGAGTATTTCGGGCTGTTTTCAGGACCTCTGAGGATTCCATGGAACATGGCTATACAGCCTGAAAAATTCACAGCAACCGTTTACTTGCACATTTTTCTGGGTTTATACTTTAGGAAAGTGGTAGCAACTCCCTGCAAGTCTCTAGTATCAGACTAGTAGCAAACCAACTAGAGCAGGAGTCATCAAACCTTTTAAAGAGAGGGCCAGGCTACATTCCCTCAAACTGTTGGATGGCCAGATTATAATTTGGAAAAAAATGAATGAATTCGTATGCACACTGCACATATTTTCTTTGTACTGCAAAAAACATTTAAAAACAATACAATAATTAAAATGAAGACCAATTTTAACAAATATAAACTTATTAGTATTTCAATGGGAAGTGTGGGCCTGCTTTTGGCTGATGAGATAGGATTGTTGTTGCTGTTGTGTGTTTTCAAGTCATTTCAGACTTAGGTTGACCCTGAGCGAGGGCCGGGTAAATGACCTTGGAGGGCCGTATCTGGCCCCTGGGCCTTAGTTTGAGGACCTCTGAACTAGAGCAATAAAGAGTGTGGACACCTTTCTTCTGCATAAGGAGATGGCACTCAAACTCTGTTTGTTTAGTGACTCAGACTTTGGAATGATCTTCAGAACCAACTCTGTGTGTCATGCTATTCTCAAATCTCAGCAGAAACTTCTGGAAAGCTGTTTTTTTTCCAGTGTGGACACTGAGGCAATTGTTTCCATCAATAAATGTCATTTGTGAAGAAGAGAAAGTCTATTAGCATTGCAGAGGAGGGCAGAGGATTTATAATAATAATAATAATAATAATAATAATAATAATAATACCGTATATACTCGAATATAAGCCGGGGCACCTAATTTTACTACAAAAAAAAAACCTGGGAAAATGTATTGACTCGAGTATAATCTGAGGGTGGAAAATGCAGCAGCTACTAGTAAATTTCAAAATAAAACTAGATACCAATAAAATTATATTAATTTAGGCATTAGTAGGTTAAATGTTTTTGAATATTTACATAAAACTGTAATTCAAGATAAGACTGTCCAACTCTGATTAAACCATTATTCTAATCTTCTTCTATGTAAATATGCTTACATGTCCTCCAAAATAATAGAGTAAAATAATAATAACAATAATAGAGTAAAATAATAAATGTAACAATAACAATAATAATTAGAGTAAAATAATAAATGTAATAATAAGAAAAATAATAAATGTAATAATAATAATAATAATAATAATAATAATAATTGTGTTTGAGGCTTCGGCCTGTGTGAGCCGCATCGAGTCCCTCGGGAGATGCTAGCGGGGTACAAATAAAGTTAATAATAATAATAATAATAATAATAACATCAAAGTAAAATAATAAATAACATTGACTCGAGTATAAGCTGGGGGAGACTTTTTCAGCCTAAAAAAGGACTGAAAAACTAGGCTTATACTCGAGTATATACAGTAATTTATTTCTAGACCACCCTCTCTCCCTGGAGGGACTGGACATTACTGGGCATTAGGTTATACTGTGATTCAAGTCTCCCCTTATCCTAGTCAAACAGCCCCAGGAAAGTTTCCAGGAAGCTGTAAAAGATAGGTGAAGATCGTATTTGTGGTATTCTTTCTTGCTTTTAAAAATAGTGTTTCAGGTTCACTTTACTTCAAATACTGGGATTTGTTTCGTCCTTGATTAATAGGTTTGATTCATTCCTGACAAACCAATGACATACAAACACCGACTTCATTGTTTGTTCACTGTCTTGGTCTACAATAAGGCGGTTGTCCTCTCTGAGATTTTAGAATATGTGTTGTTTAGCTCTTTGTAGATGGATCTGAGACAGGTGCTTTTTGCAATTGAACTGCTTTTGTTATTTTCTCATCAGCCTAAATTAAATTGCTAGTCCCAGCTAGAGTAACTTCATTGAATCAAAATGGTTTATATAAATATTAATTTGTTATTCATCAGTTGATCCAAGCTATCTTGGTCAGCAGTTTTTCGTGGTATCAGTAATTTGCTGTATTTATCTCAAATGTTTATACTTGCTTTTGGAATAGGAACGGGAACCTTTTTTCTTCAGTAATATCTGGATTAAATATATATCTTATATAAATAAAAACTAGCTGTCCCCTGCCACGCATTGCTGTGGCCCAGTCTGGTGATCTGGGAAATATAGTAATGAGGAAGTGTTGGTTTCCAATATATGTAATTCCTTTATGCTTGTGAGTAAACAGTATTTCTTGTTGTTTCTTTGTCAGTGTTGATGTGGAGAGTGTCTGGTTTGCCTACTCTGGAATATGCAACATATCATTGTCCTTCTTTAAGGGTCTCTTTCAAATTTATGATACTATATCTGTGTGTGAGAGAGATAATCATATCTATCTATCTATATTTATTTGTGGGTTTCAGAATGCTCTTTAATTGTAGTGAACTATAAATCCCAGTAATTACATATCCCAAATGTCAAGGTCTATTTCCTCCAAACTCCATTTGTGTTCATATTTAGGCATATGGAATTTTTGTGTCAAGTTTGGTCCAGATCCATCGTTGTTTGAGTCTACAGTGCTCTCTAGATGTAGTTGAACTACAACTCCCAAACTCAAGGTCAATGCCCACCAAACCATTCCAGTGTGTTCTGTTAGTCATGGAAGTCCTGTATGCCATGTTTGGTTCAATTCCATCATTGGTGGAGTTCAGAATGTTCTTTGATTGTAGGTGAACTATAAATCCCAGCAACTACAACTCCCAAATGTCAAGGTCTATTCTCCTTAAACTCCGTCAGTGTTCATATTTGGGCATATGGAATATTCGTGCCAAGTTTGGTCCAGATCCATCATTGTTTGAATCCACAGTGCTCTCTGGATGTGGGTGAACTACAATTCCCAAACTCAAGGTCAATGTCCACCAAACCCTTCCAGGTTTTTCTGTTGTTCATGGGAGCCCTGTGTGCTAAGTTTGGCCCAATTCCATCATTGGTGGAGTTCAGAATGCTCTTTGATTGTAGGTAAACTATAAATCCCAGCAACAACAATTCCCAAATGACAAAATCAATTTTTGAGTGGAGGACATACATTGGGTTGTTAGGTGTCTTGTGTCCAAATTTGGTGTCAATTCCCCCAGTGGTTTTTGAGTTCTGATAGTATCACAAACGAACATTACATTTTTATTTATATAGATGTAATGTTCGTTTGAGATATTCACAGAACTCAAAAACCAGTGGGTGATTTGACACCAAATTTGGACAGCATACACCTAACAACCCAATGTATGTCCTCCACTCAAAAATTTTTGATTTGTCATTTGGGAGTTGTAGTTCTTGGGATTTATAGTTAATCTTCAATCAAAGAGCATTCTGAACTCCACCAATGATGTAATTGAACCAAAGGTGACACACAGGACTCCCATGACCAGCAAAAAACACTAGAAGGGTTTGGTGGACATTGACCTTGAGTTTGGGAATTGTAGTTCATCTACATCCAGAGAGCACTGTGGATTCAAACAATGATGGATCTGGACGAATATTCCATATGCCCAAATATGAACACTGACGGAGTTTAAGGGAAATACACCTTGACATTTGGGAGTTGTAGTTGCTGGGATTTATAGTTCACCTACAATCAAAGAGCATTCTGAACCCCACAAACGACAGAATTGGGGCATATTTTCCACACAGACCCCCCATGACTAACAGAAAATACTTAAAGCCAAGCAGTCCAACTCCCTTCACCAGGGCAAGAAAACGTTTTCAAAGCCCTCCTGACAAAGAGCCATCCAGCCATAGATATAGATATATATGATTCAGACACACAGAGATATAATATAGATTTGAAAGGAACTTCATTTGGTTAAATATGCTGTTTTTGAACTTTTATATATCCCAGATTAGCAAGGTGACTCTTTCATCTTAGTAGTTGTTGGAAACAGATATTTTTTGGTTTGCAAAATGCAATTCAGTTTCATTCAGTGGATTTACATCTTAAATTGTCTCTTATCTCAGATCATAGACTAGTGGAAGACTCCACTGACAGTGCTAATGGAAGTGAATCTAAACAAAATGCATAAAGTGTACTTTCATCCAGAAAGAGTGCCTCATGTGAGATAAAGTGTATATTCTCCTTTACTCTAGGGCTACTATAAGAGAACACCAGATTATTCCTTGATCAGAGAATGGAAGAGGACTGGTTGCTTTGCAGTCCCAATGGTTCACTCCACATTCCTCATAGACCTAAGAAAAGAGGCATCGGATAAACTGATGTTTTATCCCCCACATCAGGACTATACCTGGACTTTTGACGATATCATTGTCTTTGCTTTCTCAAGTCGTCAGGCAGGTAGGTAGCAAAGGTATACATGAAACAGATGTGATTCCCTTCTCCTAACTCTTTGTCAGCTAATCTGGATTCTATCCGTTGTCCCGTTATCATCATCTGGCAGCCTAGGCACCCAATTTGTGATATTTGTAAAAATCCGGCAGGCAGAGTTAACATCAATACTCCTTTTAAGCATTCCTAAATGCTGGAATCCCAGATATATGGAACAGTGGGTGGCGCAGTGGGTTAAAGTGCTGAGCTGCTGAGCTTGTTGACTGAAAGGTCACAGGTTTGATTCTGGGGAGCGGTGTGAGCTTCCGCTGTCAGCCCCAGCTTCTGCCAACCTAGCAGTTCGAAAACATGCAAATGTGAGTAGATCAATAGGTACCGCTCTGGTGGGAAGGTAACGGCGTTCCATGCAGTCATGCCGGCCACATGACTTTGGAGGTGTGTATGGACAACGCTGGCTCTTCAGCTTAGAAATGGAGATAAGCACCACACCCCAGAGTCGGAGACTACTGGACTTAATGTGAGGGGACAACCTTTACCTTTACGTTACCTTTAAGCAGGCTGCTTGGTTGTTGTAAAGAAGACACGTTGACGAAACCACCAGTTTAATACTTAGGATGTACTCTGTTTCCACCCTGTTGAAATGTGCCTTTAATTTAGCCTTAGTGCCACCAATTACTATTATGTAGAGCGTGTGAGAGAAGAATATTTCCTTTTTAAAACGTTTTGCTGCTTTATACTGATTCAGGTTCCTTTTTCAAACTGAATAGGACTCTCTGTGTTTATAAAAACCTTTTGGCTTTGAATCATAGGCTTGAGGCTCTCGTTTATAACGTTAAGTTCCAACACTTGGGGTTACATTTGTATCTTGTCACGTTCTTAAGGCTTACTTTCAATATCCTTAACTTGGTTACTTTTCCTTTTAAACTCTTGACAGAATTATATTGTAACTTAAGCCACACTGGCTTTAACTTATTCTCCTTTACAACTTGAGCTACATTTAATAACGCTTCTCTCAAAACAGACTTTCCCCACTCTCTCTCTCTCTCAGACAGGGATTCTTAACTTCTTCTTTTCACACACAGATTCCTAACTGCTTCACAAACAGCTGTTCCTAACTCACTTCACAAGCAGCCATTCCTAACTCACTTCACAAGCAGCCATTCCTAACTCACTTCACAAGCAGCCATTCCTAACTGACTGTCATTTCTTCAACTCTCTAACTCTTAACTGCCCTTTTTTAAACTTAATTCAGCCTCTTTATAACGTTCAGCTCTGCTCTTCTCAACTGTCATTCTTGGCTTCACAGCCTTCTCAACTCCTGGGCCTACACTAATCTGCATAGGACCAAACGGCTTCCCATATGCAAATGATCTTGTCTTTGCTGTTGCTATCCTAACTGTACTAAATCTTTCCTATCTGCATGGGGAACATAGAGCTATCCACCAAAAATCTTGCAGAGATCAGCAAATTCATTACAGTTGTCTTTTAGGTTATTTATTATATGCAATCATATATCCAGGAAGCCTCAAATTTATCTGAAAGGTTGAGGAGTGGAGTCATTGTCAGAAAGTGGAATTGATTGAAAAGTGGAATCCAGATTATTTTAGCTTGCATATTATTTTGGTCACTGGGAAATATAAATAACACACTCTAAATCACTTTTGAATGTATGATAAAGCCAAAAAAGCTTTTGTGAGCATTCAGAAGTGATTCAAATTGTGATCCAGTCATTCTTCAGTCAAGCCTTGGGATTGTGCATATGTGCATAATCTGTCCCAAGTGAGTCTTGAAGGCAAGACCTGGCAAAAGAGCAGACCTCTTGTCAAATTAATGGAATGTGTCTGTAATTTGCAAGTGTAGGGAGACCTTTCATTTACTATAACATAGATGTTTCTCTTCATCTAGTGGGGGTGTAGCATTTTGCAAATCAGACCACGAGTCTCGAGGCAGAGGTCCAAATCCCTGCCCGGGCTTTTGGTCACATTTCTATTAATGTAGTATTTTACATGGTGTTCTTTAGTGCTTTAATAGATGCCTGGGATGAATGCATAATTAAATAATTGTGCTTTGTTTTTAATATATTGTGAGCCACATTGCTTCCTAACCTTGATCATTGTGGTTGGACTACTGTAATGCACTCTACGTTGGGCTGCCCTTGAAGACGGTTCGGAAACTACAGCTGGTGCAAAGGTCGGCGGCCAGATTGTTAACCGGAGCAAGTTACAGGGAGCGGTCAACTCCCCTGTTTAAACAGCTCCACTGGATGCCGATAAGTTTCCAGTCCCAATTCAAGGTGCAGGGTATTCCCTATAAAGCTCTGTGCGACCGCCTCCTCCCTTACAAGCCCACACAGTCCTTAAGATTTATTTATTTATTTATTTAGAAGTTTTCTATACCGGCCTTCTCACCTCAACGAGGGACTCAGGTCGGTTTACAACATATATGCAAATACAATAATATATAAGTACAACAAAGTGCAATGTCATTACAGATTAAAATAGTACAATAAAGTACAATAAAAACATCATCATCACAATTACCTAAGCCAAGTTGTCAATACAGTCATAGTCATAGTCGTAGTCACAGTTCATCATCCTCCTTCCTTGTGGACGGAGGTTATAGATTCAGTCCTCGAATGCCACATTCCAAAGCCAGGTCTTTAGTAGTTTCCTGAAAGTCAGGAGGGAGGGAGCAGATCTAATCTCTAGTGGGAGGGAGTTACAAAGCTGGGGAGCCACCACCGAGAAGGCCCTGTCCCTCGTCCCCACCAACCGTGATTGCGAGGGTGGTGGGACTGAGAGCAGCCCCTCCCCCCGAAGATCTTAATAACCTTGATGGTTCATAGGGGAGAATCCGTTCGGACAGGTAAACTGGGCCGGAGTCGTTTAGGGCTTTATAGGTAAAAACCAGCACTTTGAATTGTGCACGGAAGCTAATCGGCAGCCAGTGGAGCTGGCATAACAGAGGGGTCGTATGGTCTCTGTACCCCGCTCCTGTTAGCAATCTGGCTGCCGCTCGTTGGACTGATTGAAGCTTCCAGGTAGTCTTCAGAGGCAACCCCACGTAGAGAGCGTTGCAGTAGTCTAGACGGGATGTAACCAGAGCGTGGACCACTGTGGCCAAGTCAGACTTCCCAAGGTACGGGCGCAGCTGGCACATCTTCTGGGGATGCTCTTCTCTCACTCCCGCGGTTGTGAGAAATGCGGTTGGTGGGGACATGGGAAAGGGCATTCTTGGTGGTGGCCCCTCGTCTCTGGAACTCTCTCCCCAGGGAAATTAGAATGGCACCCTCCCTTCCCACATTCCGTAAGGAATTAAAGACGTGGATGCTTTCGTTGCACATTCGACTGACGACTCCTATGATACATGACTTATATCATGACCTGAATCATGACCTAATTCCAAATTCCTATGTCACAGTACTATATATATCTTTAAGTTAAATTAAATTGATCATGTTAAATTGCTCTGTGTCCATGCTATTTCCTATGCTATTATACGTTACTATCCATCTTATTGAACCACATTATCCTTTGACTAGCTCGCTTAATGGTCCTCGTCCCCTCCCTCCAAAATTGGTCTGCTGTTGCCTTTGATGCTTGTTATTATTTTTATGCTGTTTTATTCTGTTTTTACTGTTTTAATTTGTTATTTCTTTGCTTTTAATTGTATTTTGCTTTGGGCTTAGCTCCATGTAAGCTGCCCTAAGTCCATTTGAGGAGATGGAGGTGGGATAGAAAAATAAAGTTGTTGTTGTTGTTGTTCTTCTTCTTCTTCTTGGCGGGAAATAAATAATCTGAGTAATTATTTGTATTCTTCTTCTTGGATAACTACTGTATTGGGACTTGCTGTTACTCTTCCCCCCTTTTTTACTTTTAACCATCAAATACAAAACTCTTCATCCCTGGGTAGTTTTTCCTTCTCGTATTTTTATATAGATCAGGGAGCAAGAACATTTGTTGTTGGACTGCTGTCCTAATTAACTTTAGCCAGCATAGCAAATAGTGAAGGGACTGATGTTAGTTCTAGTCCAATAACACCACATCTTCCCCATTTTTTTCTAGATTGTGATCTGTGTCCTGTTTGCTCAGTTGAGTGCCAAATAATGTCTTAGGTTTCATGGCAAGCAGTACATTCTGAGAAGTGCTTTCCTGGCCCCTTTATGGCTCTCAGCCCTGACAATCAACTAAATAGAATGGGACATGCTCCATCTTGCATTGTACTGATTAGGAAGGATTAGCTTGAGGTGGGTTGAAGCTGTGCCTCCAGGACTAAAAGAGGCCAAAGAGGATTGCTATGGCAACTGCCTTTGCTTCATTACAAGAGGCCACCTCACATATCTATCCCTTTCTCATTATCTCCAGATATTCAGATGTACATCTGCAACAGAGAACATTATGGTTACCTCCCTGTGCCCTTGAAAGCTCAGCAGACCCTGGAGGATGACACTGAGAATATCGTTCATGTGCTAATTGAAGCAATGAGTGAGTACAGTGTTTGGCATCACATATTATAGCACCAACTAGCACCTTGTAATAGTATCGTCTTCAGCCATTTTGGATTAGGATGCTCCAAGTCAAACTTTTTAAACAGAGGGCCAGGTCACAGTCCCTCCAACTATTGGAGGGCCAGATCATAACTTGAAAAAAATATGAATGAATTCCTATACACATTGCACATATCTTATTTCTAGTGCAAAAACACTTTAAAACAATACAATAATTGGGTTGTTGTAGGTTTTTTCGGGCTATATGGCCATGGTCTAGAGGCATTTTCTCCTGACGTTTCGCCTGCATCTATGGCAAGCATCCTCAGAGGATGCAGGCGAAACATCAGGAGAAAATGCCTCTAGACCATGGCCATATAGCCTGAAAAAACCTACAACAACCCAGTGATTCCGGCCATGAAAGCCTTCGACAATACAATACAATAATTAAAATTAAGAACAATTTTAACAAATATAAGCTTATTAGTATTTCCGTGGAAAATGTGGGCCTGCTTTTGGGTGATGAGATAGGATTATTGTTGTTGTGTGCTTTCAAGTCATTTCAGACTTAGGTTGACCTTGAGCCAGGGTCGGGTAAATGACCTTGGAGGGCCGTATCCGGCTCTCGGGCCGTAGTTTGAGGACCCCTGCTCCAGGTACTTCTCTTTATAATATCACTCACTGCATGGCTGATCAATGGGCCTCTGGTATGAAGATTATGAGACGATACTATGATCATCTCATAACCAAGAGATAATACAACAGTCATCAGATAAAGATCAAAATCTGAGGATTCAAATCAGAGTTTGGAATGAAAAGTTACTCTTAGGATGACTGCTCCCAGAATCCCACAAAGAAGTAATTTTCCAAGTTACGGTTCATAGTATCATAGAGTTGGAAGACGCCACATGAGCCATCAAGTCCAACCCCCTGCCATGCAGGAAAGTTCAAATTGTGCAATTGTTCTATACTGTTCATGTGTGTATTGTTTATTGTATTGTCGAAGACTTTCATGGCCGGAATCACTGGGTTGTTGTAGGTTTTTTTGGACTATATGGCCATGGTCTAGAGGCATTCTCTCCTGACGTTTCACCTGCATCTATGGCAAGCATCCTCAGAGGTAGTGAGGTCATTGGGATCTCTGGTTGCAAAACTGAATTGTACCTACTTTTGAAAAGGCCTTCTTGCTGGGCAGATTTCTAGTGGCTAGTGTTGATATTCTAAAAAACAAGACTAGAAATCAGTTTGAGTATAATGGATACATATACTAATCTGAAATGGTCCTGAAATGGTTCTTCTACGGTGAGGTGGATCAGTAATTGGTTAAATGGACGTACCCAGAGGGTGCTCACCAATGTTTCCTCTTCATCCTGGAAAGAAGTGACGAGCAGAGTGCCGCAGGGTCCCGTCCTGGGCCCGGTCCTGTTCAACATCTTTATTAATGACTTAGATGAAGGGCTAGAAGGCATGATCATCAAGTTTGCAGACGACACCAAATTGGGAGGGATAGCCAATACTCCAGAGGACAGGAGCAGGATTCAAAACGATCTTGACAGATTAGAGAGATGGGCCAAAACTAACAAAATGAAGTTCAACAGGAACAAATGCAAGATACTCCACTTAGGCAGAAAAACGAAATGCAAAGATACAGAATGGGGGACAATGCCTGGCTTGAGAGCAGTATGTGTGAAAAAGATCTTGGAGTCCTTGTGGACAACAAGTTAAACATGAGCCAACAATGTGATGTGGCGGCAAAAAAAGCCAATGGGATTTTGGCCTGCATCAATAGGAGCATAGTGTCTAGATCTAGGGAAGTCATGCTACCCATTCTCTATCCCGCTTTGGTTAGACAACACCTTTAATATTGTGTCCAATTCTAGGCACCACAATTCAAGAGAGATATTGACAAGCTGGAATGTGTCCAGAGGAGGGAGACTAAAATGATCAAGGGTCTGGAGAACAAGCCCTATGAGGAGCGGCTTAAGGAGCTGGGCATGTTTAGCCTGAAGAAGAGAAGGCTGAGAGGAGATATGATAGCCATGTATAAATATGTGAGAGGAAGCTACAGGGAGGAGGGAGCAAGCTTGTTTTCTGCTTCCTTGGAGACTAGGACGTGGAACAATGGCTTCAAACTACAAGAAAGGAGATTCCATCTGAACATGAGGGAAGAACTTCCTGACTGTGAGAGCCATTCAGCAGTGGAACTCTCTGCCCCGGAGTGTGGTGGAGGCTCCTTCTTTGGAAGCTTTTAAACAGAGGCTGGATGGCCATCTGTCAGGGGTGATTTGAATGCAATATTCCTGCTTCTTGGCAGCGGGTTGGACTGGATGGCCCATGAGGTCTCTTCCAACTCTTTGATTCTATGATTCTATGATTTCAGTAGCATGAATGAAGACCCTCCTTTAAGGAGGCTGTTCAGCACAGTGCAGAGCATAGTACTAACCCACCCAGCTTCCACTTGAATAAAAGTATTTCTTTTATTAATATAGTTTGATTGCTCATTCTTCTTCTTGCAGTTGACCGTCCTCCAATTGAACCTTCAGAATACGTCACGATTCCACCAAAGCACCCAGACAAGATGGGATTTGAAGAGGTAATAGGACGTTGTGCATCGTAGATTGCTGTCTTTGTAGGAAGGAAAATTGAGAGGACAAAATCCAGTAAGAATTTAAGCTAACTGGTTTTAGAATTCAATGATTTATCCTAAATGGTTAGCAAAATGTCATGGATGGTCTGAGACTCAAGCTACTTCCTATGCATGGTGTATATGTTTGTGTTTATTAGTCATTACTCGGTCGTTTCTAAAGGTCAGGCCTAAAGGCTTCACTAATTTACCAATTTATATATGCCAGCAATTTACAAATCATGACATCCCACACCTCTAAGTCAGGACTGTCCTACACTTGCTGACATAGAAAACCAAGTATGCAGCAAAGATGCTCACAATGATCTTTTCTTCAGTGAATAAACAGTTCACTGCATAGGATGACGGAATTGCTTGTCATTGAGTTGCCAACGGCCTGTCCAGGGAGGGTTTACCTCCACTCTTTCTTAGCTTTAAGCCGTTGTATTATTAGTTAGGTCAACTTGTGTAATTAAATGCAGGGACACTGCCTGGTTGTGTGGCAAGCACTCTGCATTTGGAGTCTATCCTGTCTGTCTGACTTTATTTTTAAAATACGTTTTCCCTTTGTGGTTGCTGCATTCTGTTTGCCAGTCTTATTTATTTGTATCATGTTTGGGCAATGTCCTGGTTTGTATTTGCCAGATCTCCCCCCCCCCCCTCCCTCCCAGCATATGAAGACTGCATTTGCCTTCATCCAACACTACACAGTTGTGCTCATTGATACTCTTCGCTCCATGGGTGTATTTGTGAGTTGGTGAGGTGGCAGGATTTTTCCATTCTCTGCTTTTTAAAATCATGGAATATGTCTAGTATTCAAACTAGATTCCTGCAAATGATCTTGCAATGCAAACGCAGGAAAAAGATTTATTTATTTATTTGTCGTGTCAGAGCAACCAGTCCATTATATTACATTTCTAACAGAACAAAGCAAACAAACAGAAAAATACAAAACTTGTGAGTTTGGTAGTTGGTTGAATGTCCTTTGACCAGTATCTGGCCACTTGGAGTGCCTCCGGTGTTGCTGCAAGAAGGTCCTCCATTGTGCATGTGGCTGGGCTCATGTTGCATTGCAGCAGGTGGTCAGTGGTTTGCTCTTCTCCACACTCACATGTTGAGGATTCCACTTTGTAGCCCCATTTCTGAAGGTTGGCTCTGCATCTCGTGGTGCCAGAGCACAGTCTGTTCAGCGCCTTCCAAGTCGCCCAGTCTTCTGTGTGCCCAGGAGGGACTCTCTCATCTGGTATCAGCCATTGGTTGAGGGGCTGGGTTTGAGCCTGCCACTTTTGGACTTTCGCTTGCTGAGGTGTTCCAGCGAGTGTCTCTGTAGATCTTAGAAAACTATGTACTCAATCTCTCAGGACCTATTTACACTGCCATATAAAATCCAGATTATTTACTTTGAACTGGAATATATGGCAGTGTATATTCATATAATCCAGTTCAAAGCAGACAATGTGGATTATTTGCTTTGATAATACAGTGCATCCTCCCTCTGTTCCCTATTTTGTCTTCTTGAGCATGGTCTTCTTTTGTGTGTGTAATGTGAATGTTACTATGGGTTTTTTTGTGACAAGAGTGACTTGAGAAACTGCAAGTCGCTTCTGGTGTGAGAGAATTGCAAGGACACCCAGGTGTTTTATTTATTTATTTATTTATTTATTTATTTCCAGCATTTCTCAACCCCCAAAGGGGGACTCAGGACAGCTTACATTTGGCACAATTTGATGCCATTAAATATAACAAAGCAATATAACAACAATTAAAATAATAAATAGAACATTAATTAAAACAATAAAACCAGTATTAACAACTGTATCACAGTTCCAATCAAATTCCATATCCAAAGTACTATTTATGACTGTTGTCCAAAAGCCTGGTTCCAGAACCATGACTTCAATTTTTTCCTAAAAGATAGGAGGGATGAAGCCGATCTTACCTTGTTGGGAAGCGAGTTCCACAGGTGGGGGGCTACAGCCGGGAAGGCCCTGTCTCTTGTCCCCACCAAATGTAGTTGCGACACTGGCAGGAGCGAGAGCAGGGTCTCCCCGGATGATCTTAAATTGCAAGGCGGGACATAGTGGGAGATGTGTTCGGACAAGTAAGCTGGGCCAGAACTGTATAAAATGGATTATATGACAGTGTAGAAGGGCCTTAATGCATCTAGACAGATTAAAAAGACTAGGAAATGCCAATTTTTGTTCCTGTTCTTTCCCATTTTATTTTGGAGATTCATACATGTTCTTTCAGCTTCAGTATTTTTATACCAGTTCCCCAAGTTGGTTTGTTTTAATCTATTCTAAAATTCAAAACAAAATCTGTCCCGTCCCCCTGCCTCTCTCATTCACACACGTGTGGTTTTGTATAAAGCATATACATGTGTGTCTCTGTATGGTTATTTATTATTTCTTCCTCTTTTTGGTTGGTGGAAATGCCTTAGCACCTTCTATTATTATTATTATCTTTATTTGTATCCCGCTAGCATCTCCCGAAGGACTCGATGCAGCTTACAAAGGCCAAGGCCTCAATAAAACAACAACATAACAATACACGTAGCATTATAAAGCAAATCAAAACATTAAGCACTAATAGTAAACAATAGAAACAATATACCATGGCACAATAAAACTAGGGCCGGGCCAAATGTAATGGGTACAGATTAAAAAGTGCTGAGTATGACAGGTGGAATATAGGATTTTAGGGTAAGTGCAATGTGCAGACAATCTTAAATCTCTGATAAAGTGCTTCTGGGACATATTGCTGGAGTTTCCTATTCTGGAAAGGCACACCGGAACAGCCAGGTCTTCAAACTCTTCCTGAAGACTGCCAGTGTAGGGGCTTGTCTGATGTCCTTGGGGAGGGTGTTCCAAAGTCAGGGGGCCCTGTCAAGGGACAGAATAGGCCCTGTCCCTTGTCCCCACCAGACGCGCCTGCGACGCAGGTGGGATTGCGAGCAAGGCCTCTCCGGATGAACGAAGAGAACGTGTGGGTTCATAAACGGAGATGCGGTCACGCAGGTAGGCAGGTCCCAAACCGTTTAGGGCTTTGTAGGTAAGCACCTGCACCTTGAATTGGGACTGGAAGATGAACTGCAGCCAATGGAGCTCCTTGAACAGGAGGGTTGACCTCTCTCTGTATGGAGCAGCGGTTAACATCCTGGCTGCCTCTTTTTCATTGAGAGGTTGAGCAACCAATTCAAAGTGCTGGTTTTGACTTATAAAGCTCTATATGGTTCTGGCCCAGCTTACTTGTCTAGACGCATCCATCCCTATGTCCCACCTCGTAATCTAAGATCATCCGGGGAGGCCTGCTCTCGCTCCCATCAACAGCACAGATGCGCCTGGCGGGGACGAGAGACAAGGCCTTCTCGGCTGTGGCCCCCCGCCTATGGAACACGCTCCCAAATGAGGTAAGATCCGCTCCCTCCCCCCTGGCTTTTAGAAAAAAATTAAAATCATGGTTTTGAGACCAGGCTTTTGGGCAGTCGAAGTAAATGTATGCAGCATTTCGGAAAGACAATGACTGGAATGGCAGTTTGACGGATGAGACTGTTTTATTGTTTTAATGATTGTTTTATTGCGCTTGGATGTATTTTTTAATTTGATTTATGTATAATTGTAAATGTTTGTACTGGCATTGAATTTTTGCCATTACTTATGTGTGAGTCCCCCGTCGGGGTGAGAAAAGCGGTATACAAATACTGTAAACTAACTAAATAAATAAATAAATAAATAAATAAATAAAATAAAATAAAACCAGGTGTCCCGTATCTACCACCCCCCCCCCCGCCTTAGAGGGCAATTATGTTTTATTGTGTACATCAGTTGTTAAAACAGAGCAGAACAAGACAAGCACTGTCACCATCTCTTTTTTTATAATTATTTTGTATTTACAACCATTTCTTAAATAACAATACTTTCCTAAAGGAAAGTAGGAAGACAATAGTGGAGGGGTGGGATGTGGGGGGTGTTGGGGTGGGAAATGAGGATTAGGGAAGGGGGGTAGGTTGGGTAGGGTTGGGAGGGGGATGTGGATTTGGAGACTTCCAGTCCATTCCACAGAGAGGTAATCTTTCGGGGATGCATTTTTGAGTTCCACTACCTGATTGTCTCTGCTACCTTTTAATACAGTTTTCTAATTGTTCAGTTTCATTTTCTCCTGTAGATACATTTTCAGTAATTTCCAATCGGTATTGCTCGCTTTGTTCTGATCTTTCAATAGCTGCATAAATTTGTCCATATTCATATATTCTACTGTCTTAATCATCCAATCCTCAATTGATGGCAGGTCTTTTTCTCTCCATTTTTGTGCTATTCCCATTCTTGCCACCGCTGTCAAATAGAATAAAATCTTCTCTTTGTTTTTTCGCAACTTGAAGTCTATTATATTCAAGAGTTAGTACTCCGGTTTCGAAGCACTGTCACCATCTCATCATACCCACTTTTCCACATTTAGAGCTGCACTAGAAATTCTGGTTTCTTTCTCTTTAGATTTTCTTGATAAATCTCAAACGGCGGAAAGACAGGCGGGATCGAATGCTGCAGACTCTGCACGAGCAGGAAATTGCAGTCAAGTTAGTGGAAGCTGTGGATGGAAAGTAAGTTGCCCCACCCCCACCCCTTTTTTTCGTGCTTCTTCCCCTCCATTTTCCCGTTTCTTCCCCCTTCTTTTCTGGTCACTTATATGTTTTAAACATTTTCTGGTACAAAGCGTGAGCATGCTACCTTAACCTTGTTGAAATAATGCAGCTATTTGACTGTGAATAACCAGTATATAATAATAATAATAATCATCATCATCATCATCATCTATATAAATAAAAATGTAATGTTCGTTTGTGATATTCACAGAACTCAAAAACCACTGAGGGAATTGACACCAAATTTGGACACGATACACCTAACAACCCAATTTATGTTCTCCACTCAAAAAAAAAATAATAATAACTGGAAAGAACTTACCTCCACAAGGCTAAATGCCTATATAGAACCGGTGTTAAAAAAAAAAACCTTCCCCCGCCCCTCGCTCCTGCACAAGGGAAAAAACCCAACCGCTGAGAGAGAGAGAGAGGCGGCACAAGAGAGGGAAAATCTTCGCAAAGGATTCAGAGGGGGGGGGGGGAGGGACAGAGAGAGGGAAGGAGGGGGAGAGAGAGAGAGAGAGAGAGAGAGATCCTTTCCTTCTTGTCTCACTGCCTCCGCTGGACTGCTGGGAACTCACAGGGATTCTGTGTGTGTGTGTGTGTGTGTGTGCCCAGAAACCTCATCCATACTGAGTTATGGGAAGGCATTCTGGGAAATGAAGTCTAGTATTCAAAGAAGGGACAAAAAGGCACGCTCTGTGAGTTAGCAAAGGCTGTCCAGGAAGGCAGAATCAAAACACTCCCAAAAGATGACCATCCATTTTTAATTTATAGCAACCCTGGGCTATAATATATCTACAATAATAATATCTATATATCTATCATAATAATATCTATCAATCTATAATAATATATATGTCTATGATACCTATATGTCTTTAACAATAACATCTACATTTCTATCATAATATCTATATGTCTGTAATAATGTCTATATGCCTGTAATAATATCTACAGGTCTATAATAATATCCATATGTCTATAATTATAATATCTGTCTGTCAAAAATATCTATACATTTATAACAATAATACCTATGTGCCTATAATATCTATGTCTATAATAATAATAATAATAATATCTATATAAAGTATAATAATATGTATACATCTATAATAATAATAGCTATATAATATCTATAAAAATAACAATAAAAATAATAACATCTATATGTCTACAATAATATCTATAGGTCTCTAATAATATCCATACATCTGTTGCCTGTTTTTGCTCGAAAGATATTGAGCCCTCCTTCTATTTTTAATCAGTTTAATACTAATTTATGCAATGCTTTTGATATGAAATTCATAAATAAATAACATCTATAATACTAATACCTATATAGCTTTAATAATAATATTTGTATCTATAATAATATCTATATGTCTATAATGACAACGATACCTATATAAAATCTTTGAACTGGGTTATATCTGAACATGAGGAAGAACTTCCTGACTGTGAGAGCCATTCAGCAGTGGAACTCTCTGCCCCAGAATGTGGTGGAGGCTCCTTCTTTGGAAGCTTTTAAACAGAGGCTGGATGGCCATCTGTCAGGGGTGATTTGAATGCAATATTCCTGCTTCTTGGCAGGGGGTTGGACTGGATGGCCCATGAGGTCTCTTCCAACTCTTTGATTCTATGTTTCTATGATATGGCAGTGTGGAGTCAGGTAACCCAGGGCCCTTCCATACATCCATATAACCCTTTGGCCTCGAGGAGACTGAAATGGGCCTGTATTAGGTTGACACTTTGCCACTTTCGTTGTGTATTGATAGCTTAGAAACCAGCTCTTCCTCTTTTCTTTCTTTCCCATTTCTCCACAATGGACCACAGCAATGCATGGCTGGGTACAGCTAGTAATAATAATAATCATCATCATCATCATCATCTTTATTTCTATACCACCCTATCTCCCCGAGGGGACTCAGCAGAAAATTGGCAAACATTCAATGCCAGCATAACATAACAAACAAATCAAATCATAAACAATAAAATAAACAATATCAGGTGTACTTATAGAACAATTCAAATGTGTGAAATGAAAGGGTTCTCTGAGCTCAGAGAAACCAGATGTGGAGAGGGCTTTCTGCTGTGACTCTGTATGGTCCATTCAGTCTGCAGTAATAACTGGTGCTCGCTGGGGCTGATGCGTCAGAGGGTTAGAGGCTAAAGTAACTACATCTGATTTGGGTTGTTGTAAGTTTTTCGGGCTATATGGCCATGTTCTAGAAGCATTCTCTTCTAGAACATGGCCATATAGCCTGAAAAACCTACAACAACCCAGTGATTCCAGCCATGAAAGCCTTCGACAATACATTGTACATCTGATTTGCTGCTCATTTTTTGTTTTTGTTTCAGGTTTGTCTTTTCAATTAATTAAACTGGGGTAGAAGATTAATTATTAGTTACCAACACTACTAAAATCGCATGAAAACATAAAAAGCGATTATGCCAATGTAATAATAATAATAATAATAATAATAATAATAATCTTTATTTATACCCTGCCATCATCTCCCCAGTGGGGACTCGGAGCGGCTGACTTGAGGCCAAGCCCGAACAAGAAATTACAATAAAAATAAAACCAAAACACAACCCAAAACACAAACAGTAAACAGCAACATCATAATAAAATATAGACCAAGCTCTGACCTACAAGAAGCACTGCCTGAACATCAAGCAAAATGTGGGCGCTAGAAACAATATCATACGAAAGCTGACTGGCACAACCTGGGGATCACAACCAGACACAGTGAAGACATCTGCCCTTGCGCTATGCTACTCTGCTGCTGAGTACGCATGCCCAGTGTAGAACACATCTCACCACACTTAAACAGTGGATGTGGCTCTTAATGAGACATGCCACATTATCACAGGGTGTCTGCGCCCTACACTACTGGAGAAATTACACTGCTTAGCCGGTATTGTACCACCTGACATCTGCTGGGAAGTAGCAGCCAATAGTGAAAGGACCAAGGCAGTGACATCTCCCTTGTTTGGGTATCAGCCAGCACATCAACGACTTAAATCAAGAAATAGTTTTCTTAGATCTACAGAGACACTCGCTGGAACACCTCAGCAAGCAAGAGTCCAAAAGTGGCAGGCTCAAACCCAGCATCTCAATCCATGGGTAATACCAGATGAGAGAGTCCCCCCTGGGCACATAGAAGACTGGACGACTTGGAAGGCACTGAACAGACTGTGCTCTGGCACCACGAGATGCAGAGCCAACCTTAAGAAATGGGGCTATAAAGTGGAATCCGCGACATGTGAATGCGGAGAAGAGCAAACCACTGACCACCTGCTGCAATGCAACCTGAGCCCTGCTACATGCACAATGGAGGACCTTCTTGCAGCAACACCAGAGGCACTCCAAGTGGCCAGATACTGGTTAAAGGACATTTAATCAACTACCAAGTTTGCAAAATCTGTGTTTTTTTATCTGTTTGATTGTTTTGTTCTGTTAGAATTGTAATACAATGGTATGGTTGCTGAGGACACGATAAATAAATAATAAAATAAACCATGTAAATACATAACAACATAAAGTTACAATAGATGCAATCACAATGACAATATCTCTTGGTTACCTGATTTGCAAATCAAAGAATATTATAATCAGGATAAAAAAAGCCGGCTTTAATTTGAAAATGTCTATTTGGGATAGGTACCTTCAGACAGAGAGAAAATCAATTACCATAATGTATAACCAATTGTTGGATTGGCACACAGAAACGGAGGTGGTAAAAAATTGCATGATTAGGTGGTCAGAGAATATTAGAAAACCCATTCACCTAAAGGAATGGGAACAAATATGAATAAGGAAATTGAAATATACCTATGCTATGGACCTTAGGGAAGGCTGAGCGAAGGAAGATAGATGCTTTTGAGCTGTGGTGTTGGAGGAAAGTTCTGAGAGTGCCTTGGACTGCGAGAAGATCCAACCAGTCCATCCTCCAGGAAATAAAGCCCGGCTGGAGGGAAGGATACTAGAGACAAAGTTGAAGTACTTTGGCCACATCATGAGGAGACAGCAAAGCCTAGAGAAGATAATTATGCTGGGGAAAGTGGAAGGCAAAAGGAAGAGGGGCCGACCAAGGGCAAGATGGATGGATGGCATCCTTGAAGTGACTGGACTGACCTTGAAGGAACTGGGGGTGGTGACGGCCGACAGGGAGCTCTGGCGTGGGCTGGTCCATGAGGTCACGAAGAGTCGGAGACGACTGAACGAACGAACGAACAACAACAACATGGACCTCAAAGAAAACTGTCGCAAGATGTTTCATAGGTGGTATATTACTCCCAAGAAATTAGGCTGTATGTATAAAAATGTCAGAAAAAACTGTTGGAAATGTCAAAAACATGAGTGGAGACCCAAAACATTCTTGGGGTATAAAAATAAAGTTATTATTATATTATTATATCCGCTCCCTCAGGATTGCTGCTGCATTTCTATTTACAAGCAATATTTTAATGTAAAGTTACACAGGGGAAAAAATCTTACAATCTTCTTAGGTGCCATCTATTGTACTGCTGTGTGATGCTGCACATATCAACCAGGCCTGTAAAACGTATAAATTTGGTCAAAGAAACTGAGCTCATTCTTTCCATTCTGCAAATCTGTGCTTAAGCGATTTATCTCTTGTTTGTTTGTTTGTTTTTGTAGGACACTGAATACAAGCCAACTAAAAGCTCTCAATATAGACATGCTTCCTGGTTATCAGGATCCTTATTCCTCAAGAGTATTGACCAGAGGGGAGATTGGATGTTTTCTCAGCCACTACTATATCTGGAAGGAGGTAATGTGCATGCCTACTTGACTTGATTGTTATCAAGATGGAAAAAAATTCTCTCTGCAAAAATGCAACCTAGTTAAATAATTTACGATTGAAATTACTTATGGGCAAAAGCATTTGTTTTTGGAAGTTGTGTATGAGACTACAAATGCCTCTTTGAAGACCTCAATTAGTTCCCACAGTTGAGAAGGAGATTAAAAGTAGTATTTTAATATAGTTTCAAATTCTAATGGAGACATGTATATATTTATTTAAATAGACTAAATTGAGGTAATTCCTTTAACCAGTTGCTAGAAAACACTATTTAATCTATTGTCGAAGGCTTTCATGGCTGGAATCACTGGGTTGTTGTAGGTTTTTGGGGCTATATGGCCATGTTCTAGAAGCATTCTCCCCCCAATGCCAGAGATACAGCTTAATGGTGTAACATTAGAAAATGTTGACCATTTCCGCTACCTTGGCTGCCACCTCTCCACCAAAGTCAACATCGACACAGAAATACAACACCACCTGAGCTCTGCAAGTGCAGTAGTCATGGGCGATTTCAACTATCCCGATATTTGCTGGAAAACAAACTCGGCCAAGAGTACAAGGTCCAACAAATTCCTCGCTTGCCTTGCAGACAATTTCATGGTCCAGAAGGTAGAAGAGGCAACAAGGGGGTCGGCTACTCTTGATCTCATCCTAACAAATGCGGAGGACCTGATCGATGCGGTTGAAGTGGTCAGATCCTTAGGGGCAAGTCACCATGTGCTCCTGCAATTTGAGGTACAAAGGCCGAAACTAAGACAAGTCAAACCCGCATTTTGGACTTTAGGAGAGCTGATTTCCAAAAAATGAAGGAAACACTGAGCAGCATTCCGTGGACACAGATACTAAAAGACAAGGGAGTTACAGATGGATGGGAATTTCTCAAGAGTGAAATACTCAAGGCGCAATTGCAAACCGTGACAACAAAGAGAAAAAATAGGACAAGTGCAAAGAAGCCAGAATGGATGTCCAAAGAACTTCTAACTGTGCTAAGACACAAAAGAGACATGCACAAGAAGTGGAAAAAGGGAGAAATCACCAAAGAAGAATTCAAACAAATAGCCAACACCTGTAGGGAAAAGGTCCGCAAGGCTAAAGCAAAAAACGAGCTCAGACTTGCCAAGGACATTAAAAACAATAAAAAGGGCTTCTATTCTTATGTCAGTAGAAAAAGGAAAAACAAGGAGGCGATAGGACCTCTTCGAGGAGAAGATGGGGCAATGCTGACAGGGGATAGGGAAAAGGCAGAACTACTTAATGCCTTCTTTGCCTCGGTCTTCTCACAAAAAGAGAGTCTTCAACCTCAGCAAGATGGAGTGGATGAGGGATTGGAGGACATCCAACCCCAAATTGGGAAAGAAGTCGTCCAGGAATACCTGGCCGCTCTTAATGAGTTCAAGTCCCCAGGGCCAGATCAACTACACCCCAGAGTATTGAAGGAACTAGCGGAAGTCATTTCGGAACCATTGGCAACCATCTTTGAGAGTTTTGGAGAACGGGAGAAGTTCCAGCAGATTGGAGGAGGGCCAATGTGGTCCCAATCTTCAAGAAGGGAAAAAAGGATGACCCAAACAACTACCGTCCGGTCAGCCTCACGTCGATACCGGCAAGATTCTGGAAAAGATTGTTAAGGAAGCGGTCTGCAAACACTTAGAAACAAATGCAGTCATCGCTAATAGTCAACATGGATTTATCAAAAACAAGTCATGCCAGACTAATCTGATCTCTTTCTTCGATAGAGCTACAAGCTGGGTAGATGCGGGGAATGCCGTGGATGTAGCGTACCTGGATTTCAGTAAGGCCTTCGACAAGGTCCCCCATGACCTTCTGGCAAGGAAACTAGTCCAATGTGGGCTAGGCAACACTATGGTGAGGTGGATCTGTAATTGGTTAAGTGAACGAACACAGAGAGTGCTCACTAATGCTTCCTCTTCATCTTGGAAAGAAGTGACAAGTGGAGTGCCGCAGGGTTCCGTCCTGGGCCCGGTCCTGTTCAACATCTTTATTAATGACTTAGATGAAAGGCTAGAAGGCATGATCATCAAGTTTTCAGACGACACCAAATTGGGAGGGATAGCCAATACTCCAGAGGACAGGAGCAGAATTCACAATGATCTTGACAGATTAGAGAGATGGGCCAAAACTAACAAAATGAAGTTCAACAGTGACAAATGCAAGATACTCCACTTTGGCAGAAAAAATGAAATGCAAAGATACAGAATGGGTGACGCCTGGCTCGAGAGCAGTACGTGTGAAAAAGATCTTGTAGTCCTCGTGGACAACAAGTTAAACATGAGCCAACAATGTGATGTGGCGGCAAAAAAAGCCAATGGGATTTTGGCCTGCATCAATAGGAGCATAGTGTCTAGATCTAAGGAAGTAATGCTACCCCTCTATTCTGCTTTGATTAGACCACATCTGGAATATTGTGTCCAATTCTGGGCACCACAATTCAAGAGAGATATTGACAAGCTGGAATGTGTCCAGAGGAAGGCGACTAAAATGATCAAGGGTCTGGAGAACAAGCCCTATGAGGAGCGGCTTAGGAACTGGGCATGTTTAGCCTGAAGAAGAGAAGGCTGAGAGGAGATATGATAGCCATGTATAAATATGTGAGAGGAAGCCACAGGGAGGAGGGAACAAGCTTGTTTACTGCTTCCATGGAGATTAGGACAAGGAACAATGGCTTCAAACTACAAGAAAGGAGATTCCATCTGAACATGAGGAAGAACTTCCTGACTGTGAGAGCCGTTCAGCAGTGGAACTCTCTGCCCGGAGTGTGGTGGAGGCTCCTTCTTTGGAAGCTTTTAAACAGAGGCTGGATGGCCATCTGTCAGGGGTGATTTGAATGCAATATTCCTGCTTCTTGGCAGGGGGTTGGACTGGATGGCCCATGAGGTCTCTTCCAACTCTTTGATTCTATGATTCTATGATTCTATGCAGCATTTTCCTGAATGAAGCAGAGAGTGTTTGAGGACCGGGACACCCGTAGGGATACCAAGGTGCTTCTCTATAAAGCTATTGTCCTCCCAACCCTGCTATATGCCTGCGAAACGTGAACTGTCTACAGACATCACATGCAACTCCTGGAACGATTCCATCAACGCTGCCTCCAGAAAATCCTGCAAATCTCTTGGGAAGACAAGCGGACAAACGTCAGCGTGCTGGAAGAAGCAAAGACCATCAGCATTGAAGCGATGATCCTCTGCCATCAACTCCGCTGGACCAGCCACATTGTCTGGATGCCTGACCACCGTCTCCCAAAGCAATTGCTCTACTCTGAACTCAAGAACGGAAAATGGAATGTTGGTGGACAGGAAAAGAGATTTAAAGATGGTCTCAAGGCCAACCTTAAAATCTCTGGCATAGACACTGAGAACTGGGAAGCCCTGGCCCTTGACCGCTCCAGCTGGAGGTCAGCTGTGACCAGCAGTGCTGCAGAATTTGAGGAGGCACGAGTGGAGGGTGAAAGAGAGAAATGTGCCAGGAGGAAGGCGCATCAAGCCAACTCTTACTGGGACCGCCTTCCACCTGGAAACCAATGCCTTCACTGTGGGAGAAGATGCGGCTCAAGAATAGGGCTCCACAGCCACCTACGAATCCACAAGGAAACCCATCATCGAAGACCATCTTACTCGTCCTATGAGGGATCGCCTAAGTAAGTAAGTAAGAAGCATTCTCTCCTGATGTTTCGCCTGCATCTATGGCAAGCATCCTCAGGTTGTGAGGACCTCCAGGGTCATGTGGCCGGCACGACTGCATGGAGCACAGGATATATTTCCAAAACAGGCTACTCTCTCTGCACTATGAACACTGTACGATCCACAGAGACAGATTGAAGCAACTCATGTTTTTTAGCAGCTATTGACCTGATAACAATACTTATGGACAATTGTGTTGGTTTTTATTTGGACAACTAGTGTCCATGCAGAGGTTCCAAGGCAGTCTTTAGCTTTCCTCTGAGAATTATGAGATACATAGTACTGTCTCAGCCTTATTTTATTCCTTGCAAGAAATCTCTATTTATCAGGAGGTATACCTCATTTTTTAAAGAAATGAATGATAACATTTCCTCACATCACACATGCTGACCCTTCAGCAAAGCCCCATGTCTGTTGAATGGAATTTTATGCTGGTAATCTACTGAAACTTAATTTTTTATTGAAACAATTTTTGAAAATTATTTTATTTCTTTCGATGGATTTGTAGGGTGGACAGCCTCCCGGAAATGTAGCTTAAAGATACAGACTAAAAACACCCATTATTCCTAATTAGCTTACATTTATGTATTTATGTATTTATTATTATCATTTATTAAGAACACTAGCTGCACCCGCCACACGTTGCTGTGGCCAACCTTCCCTCCCCCTTTCTCTCCTTCCTCCTTTCTCTCCTTCCTTTCTTCTCTTCCTCTTCCCTTCCTCCCCCCTCTTATTTCCCTCCCTCTTTCTCCCCATTCTTCCTTCTCTACCTATTCTTGGACTGCAACTCCCAACAGTCCTCCCTATCTATCTACCTACCTACCTATCTCTATCTAATCTATCTACCTGGAGGATTGCTGGGTGTTGCAGTCCAGGAATAGGAAATTGGAAATATGCAGGGATTGGGATGCTCTCAAAGAGATCCAAGGAAAATACAGCTTGCCGCTTGGAAGCAGTGCATTTGGATCATCCTCCTCTGCTAAAGGGCCTGGTCTAGGGGATGCTGGGAGATGTAGTATGGAAGAGAGTGTGGATATGCTATTGTGTGTGTGGTTTTGGGTTTTTTGCCAGGGAAGTCATTTTTGCGCATGCATTGTAGCATCTTTTTGCTTTTTTGGCTTTTTAAAGTCCATTTTGCTATGTTTTTCACTGTTTTTATGAGTGATGGTCACTCGTTGGCCTGATAGGTGTCTTGTGTCCAAATTTGGTGTCAATTCGTCCAATAGTTTTTGAGTTATGTTAATCCCACAAACTAACATTACATTTTTATTTATATAGATTTTGTTGAGATTAATTTCACAATTCAGCAGCAGATCAGTTGCACAACTTCAGCGCTTTCCAGTAGCTTCTTCCTGCACAGTATTTTCAGTCAACTGCTCCCACAACCTGCAGTCACTCACTTACAGACACTTGAGCACATGCCCGGCCATTGTCAGTTTTACTATTGTTTTCCCCTCCAATCTAGATGACACTACAAACTTACCACAGCACACGGTTATATCTTGTCTTAGCAGACAGGTTCTTTTAATCAATTACATAGAGCCTTCGACGAACAGCATCACAGCACAAGGAGAGAGAATATACACTGTACATGACTTCCTTATATACAATTCTATACAATTACACATAGCAATCACTGATTGGTTCCCAACTCATTAACTTAACTCAGATCCAGGATTACATCATTCACAATCACCTGGACTAGGCCGGAACACATTCCCCAAATGATTCCCTATATACAATTAATGCATGACTCAGCATTTCCAATAGAAACCTATTAGCAGTGCATGACTCAGCTATATTACATTACAATACATTGTAAAACCTGACAGATTTGTATCTCGTCCTTCTCACCTCTAAATAGGGACTCAGGACGGCTACCAACAGACACCCTTTGGTGCCAAACAATAAAACCAACATAATATACAATTAAACTGCGATAAAACCAATTATAGCTACATTAAAACATGTGAGGCTTGTCTCTCTCAAAAGCTTTCATGGCAGAATACAATCAATTAAGTCATATTTCCAAAAGAAATAAAAAAAATAAAAAACATATTCACTTTAAAAACAGTTTTCTCAGATGAGTTTAATAAACTCTTTATATTATTATCACCCAGGTTGATAATAATGCATGTTTGGCATTTGGGAATTATAGGAGTTGTAATCCAACACATTCAGAAAGCCATCATGGTGTGGAATTGTGATGTAGCCCCAAAATATAGACCAACACATCTAGAAGAAACTACTGTTATAGTTTCCAGCTGCCCTACAGGTAGCAAAGTTCCTAGCTCAATATTTCAGGCAAAAGTAGCATCAATTCCAGTGATTTTTTTTTCAAATTGTTTATTTAAGGTGGTGGACAGAGAGATGGAGAAGACACTGGTAATTGAAGATGATGTCCGCTTTGAGCATCAATTCAAGAAGAAGCTTACAAAACTGATGGATGATATTGAGAGAGCTCAGCTTGACTGGGAGCTCATGTAAGTAACAATCCAGCCAATATCACCTGCTGAAGATCTCCCTTCAGGGGAGCTTAGTAATAATCTGTAAGCTTCCCTACAAGAGTTAGTAGCTCTACTATTGAAATAAGAGAGGAGTGTATTGGATCACTTAGGACCCAACTAATTCTTAGGGCCCTTCCAGACAGGCCCTATATCCCAGGATCTGATCCCAGGTCCTTCATGAACCTTCTACATCAACTGAATTGGACATGGCTCTCAATAAATGTAAGAATGGCAAAGCAGCTGGCCTGGATGATCTACGGATGGAACAAATCAAGAACTTTGGTGCAAAAGCAAGATACTAGCTGCTGGAGCTGATGAACAAATGCACTGCATCCTGTCAGATCCCCAAAATCTGGAGGAAAGCAAGAGTCATCGCCATCTTGAAGCCAGGCAAAGACTGTAATGATCCAAAAAAGCTATAGACCAATCTCCTTGTTGTGCCATCTTTACAAAGTTCTGGAGAGACTTATTTTGCATAGAATTATGGAAAAAATAGACCCATGTCTGATTCCACAGGAAAGGCAAAAGCTGCACATCGCAAGTGCTGAACCTGACTCAGCACATAGAAGATGGCTTTGAAAGGCAGTAGATCACAGGAGCTGTCTTCATAGACCTGTCAGCGGCTTATGATACTGTGAACCACCGCCTCCTCCTGAGAAAAATGTATAATATCACAAAGGACTACCACCTCACCCGCCTCATAGGAAACCTGCTGCAAAACAGGAGCTTTTTTGTTGAGTTCCAGGGCCAGAGAAGCAGATGGCGGAAACAGAAGAACGGCCTGCCTCAGGGGAGCGTGCTTGCTCCATCCATGTTCAACATTTACACAAATGACCAGCCACTGCCAGAAGGGACAGAGAGTTTCATCTATGCTGATGATCGTGCCATTACTGCTCAAGCAGGGAGCTTTGAGATGGTTGAACAGAAGCTCTCCGAAGCTCTAGGTGCTCTTACTGCCTATTACAGGGAAAACCAGCTGATCCCTAATCCATCTGAAACACAGACATGTGCTTTTCACCTTAAGAACAGACAAGCATCCCGAGCTCTGAGGATCACCTGGGAAGGAATCCCACTGGAGCATTGCAGCGCACCCAAATACCTGGGAGTCACTCTGGACCGTGCTCTGACCTACAAGAAGCACTGCCTGAACATCAAGCAAAAAGTGGGTGCTAGAAACAATATCATACGAAAGCTGACTGGCACAACCTGGGGATCACAACCAGACACAGTGAAGACATCTGCCCTTGCGCTATGCTACTCTGCTGCTGAGTACGCAGGCCCAGTGTGGAACACATCTCACCACACTAAAACAGTGGATGTGGCTCTTAATGAGACATGCCGCATTATCACGGGGTGTCTGCGCCTACACCACTGGAGAAATTACACTGTTTAGCCGGTATTTCACCACCTGACATCCACCGGGAAGTAGCAGCCAATAGTGAAAGGACCAAGGCAGTGACATCTCCAGCTCATCCGCTGTTTGGGTATCAGGCAGCACGTCAACGACTTAAATCAAGAAATAGTTTTCTAAGATCTACAGAGACACTCGCTGGAACACCCCAGCAAGCAAGAGTCCAAAAGTGGCAGGCTCAAACCCAGAACCTCAATCAATGGCTGATACCAAACGAGAGACTCCCCCCTGGGCACACAGAGGACTGGGCGACTTGGAAGGCACTGAACAGACTGCGCTCTAGCACCACGAGATGCAGAGCCAACCTTAAGAAATGGGGCTATAAAGTGGAATCCGCGACATGTGAATGCGGAGAAGAGCAAACCACAGGCCATCTGCTGTGATGCAACCTGAGCCCTGCCACATGCACAATGGAGGACCTTCTTATAGTAACACCAGAGGCACTCCAAGTGGCCAGATACTGGTCAAAGGACATTTAATCAACTACCAAGCTTGCAAACTTTGTGTTTTGTTTGTTTGTTTGTTTGTATAAATAGTATAAAGGTGCTCCTGCTTTCAAATATTTACAGACTGCATATTCACTGTGACACATATGTAAGCTGAATGTCATTTGTGTAGCATTGTCTGTCTTTTATTGTTGATTTTCTAGATACATTGGCCGAAAAAGGATGCAGGTGGAACGCCCTGAAAAGGCTGTTCCCAACGTTGTGAACCTTGTGGAACCTGATTATTCTTACTGGACACTGGGCTATGCTATCTCCTTGCAAGGGGCTCAGAAGCTCATTGACGCTCAGCCTTTTGGCAAAATGTTACCTGTAGATGAATTCCTGCCAGTTATGTACAACAAGCATCCAGTGTAAGTTATATACCTGTTATTTATTATTTATTTATTTACAGCTTTTATATTCCGCCCTTCTCACCCCGCGGGGGACGAAGGGCGGATTACAGTGTATACATATATGGCAAACATTCAATGCCAATTTTTGACATACAAACACATACAGACATACACAGAGGCTATTTAACTTTTTTTCTGGCCACCAGGGGAGCTGTCGCTTTCATCGTCCATCTGCGATGCAGATGAAGCACTTCCGCATTCCCCGCATGCTTTCCCTCTGGAATGCTTTGCTGGAGTCTTCTTTATGGCCTCATAAATTAGTTTATTTAGCCTCCCCACACAAGATGGTACCTAATTTTCCTACTTGACAGATGCAACTGTCTTTCGGGTTGCAAAGGTCGACAACAGGCTACACAATTGGTTGGAAGCCCACTCCAACCCGGGCTGGCTTCGAACTCATGACCTTTTGGTCAGAGTGATCTTAATGCAGCTGACACTCAGCCAGCTGCACCACAATCCCGGTGCACAAGTCTAGGACCGTGTGTTGTATTTTCAAATGATGTGCGCAGATGTAAGTAAGGTGGCCGTTTGCAGTTGACAGATCATCATTTTGGCGATTATTATTATTATTATTATTATTATTATTATTATTATTAGAAACAGAACAAGATGAGTCCACAGCATACACTCTGCTGGCTATTGTATTGGATCACACGTCTGACACTTCCCAAGTGTTTAGGACTGTGTGATGTATCGGGACAAAAAAAAAAAAAAAAAAAAAAAAAAAAAAAAAAAAAAAACAAATAATGCGTGCAGATCCCAGTAAGGGCCTTTTGCAGCTGACAGTGGAAGGGAAGCCAGATAGGCTTCATGGGACTGGGGAAGGCCTCACTCTGCTGTTTGGAGCATGGATTCAGTCTATATAAATAAAAATGTAATGTTCGTTTGTGCTATTCACAGAACTCAGAAACCACTGGGGCAATTGACACCAAATTTGGACACTATGTCCCTAACAACCCAATGTATGTTCTCCACTCAAAAAAAACAACGAAAACCAAAAGCAGAAAGGACTTCTAAACTGCATGTCCACAAAGGAGAAACTGCATGTCTACAGAGACCCATGGCCACGCCCCCCTCTTCCTCGCGGGGAAATAGCCAGCCGTTAAAGCCAGGCACTCGTGCATGGCCACACACACACACACACACACACACACACAAGCAAGTGGAGTGGAGGAGGTGGAGGCAGTCTCCTCCTTTCCCTGTTGGAAGAGGAAAGGGCGGATGAGTGCTAGCAGCAGCAATGGAGCAAGGAAGAAGGGGAGGAGGAGGAGGGAGGAGGAGGGGAGGAAGGTCCACGGTGTACTTGAATGAAGGACCTTCCTTCTCCCCCTCCCTTCCCTTCTTTCCCCCCTTTCCTTCCTTCTTCCTTCTTTTCTTCCTTTCCTTCTCCTTCCTTTCCTTCTTTCCCTCCCCCTTCCTTCCTGTCCCTCCTTCCTCCTTCCTTTCTTTCTTTTCCTCCCTCCCTCCCTTTCCTTCTTCTTTCCCTTTCTTCATTTCCTTCCCTGCCTCCTTTCTTCATCCCCCTTTCTTTCCCTCCTTCCTTCCTCCTTCCTTGCTTCTCCTCCCTCCCTCCCTATCCCTCCTTTTTTCCTTTCTTTCCCTCCCTCCCTCCCTTTTTCCTTCCTTCATGTCCCTTCTTCCTTCCTTCTTCCTTTCCTTCATTCTATGTAAGATATAAATACAATATTAAATGGGACAGTCAAGAAGTAACGAGAGAAGGAGGGAAAGAGGGAAGGAAGGAAGGAAGGAGAGAAGCAGGGAGGGAAAGAAAGAAAGAAAGAAAGAAAGAAAGAAAGAAAGAAAGAAAGAAAGAAAGAAAGAAAGAAAGAGAAGCAAGGAAGGAGAGAAGGAAATAAAAAAGTGAAAGGAAAAAGAGAGGGAAGGAAGGAGAGAAGGAACAAAAGACAGGGAAAGAAGTATGTAACCAAAGAGCAAAGAAAGTTAGGAAAGAAACAGGTAGAGATGGAACAAAGATGAGAGATAGGGAAAGAAAAAGAGGAAAGGAAGGAAAGAGGGAAGGAAGGAGAGAAAGAGGGAGGGAAGGTTGGCCACAGCAACGCATGGCGGGTACAGCTAGTTATTATTATTATTATTATTATTATTATTATTATTATTATTATTATTCAGCATGTCATTTTTATCACATTGAGCTGCCTTGGGACATTATTTTCCAGAAGTCCTGTGTAGAGCTTCTGGAAAATAATGTCCCAGAGCAGCTCAATGCATGGGTAAAGATAAGGCATTTGTGGGAGTTGCAGTTCATATCTTCAGATGTTTCCCCACATAGCTCTTACAAAATACAATACTTTTCAACTTGCATTGTCTGAAATTATTTTTCTAAAGCAGGCATCCTCAAACTGCGGCCCTCTGGCTGTTTGGGCCTCCAATTCCCAGAATTCCTTACCATTGAACAAGCTGGCAAGGGCTTCTGGGAGTTGGAGGCCCAAACAACTAGAGGGATAATGCCTATTCTAAGGCATTCATCTTCTTGTCTGAAGCCCCGTATCTGATGTTTTCCTGTTTTTCCTTTAGGGCCAAGTATATGGAATACTATGAACCCAGAGACTTGAAGGCTTTCTCTGCAGAACCACTGCTAGTGTATCCAACTCACTACACTGGGCAGCCAGGCTATCTCAGTGATACAGAGACCTCAACCATCTGGGACAATGAAACGGTGGCCACGGACTGGGACAGAACACTCTCCCGAAAAACACGGCAGCAGGGCCAGATCCATACAGATGCCCAGAACAAGGATGCTTTGCCACCTCAACCCTCTCTTGGCGCATCATCCACCAGGGATGAGCTATGACTGTCTACTTCTTCTAGAGACCTTGTTACGGTTGGCAACGGTACTACTTGCCTCACCCTCCATCCTTTCTTGGCCTAGAATCCCCCCCAAGAGATGCGTGCTGTCCTGGCTGGCAAGGGGCGCTGTTAAACCTGATTGAGTCAGGCTGTCACATATTGTATCAAAGTAGGCCATAGGTTTGTGCCGTAGCTGGAGGACTCCATAGAACAGTGATTTTATACTCAGACAAATATCCCTTAAGTGACATCTTTCTACAGTTCCTTGTGTAGAATAACTGTATTTATAAAGATTAATATATAGGAGAGCTACAGGCTGTGTAATATGAATTGTTTCTGCTTTGGGTGAGCGTTATCCATTTCTACCTGCAAAGGGAAGGAGGGTTTTCTTTTGTTTCCAAAGAGTTGCTTTCAGAAATTGTCTCATGTCTATCATTATCAAGAGGCCTTAATGGATTTGCATTTTGTCCATTGTGTGAGTCACCAGTGGTGTCAATACCTTGACTTACCTTTGAGTCATCAATATAGGAAGTGGCTGTTTTTCTTGAGCATCAGAACCATAGTTCCCAGCTTGCAAAATTATTTATAGGCTTCATGCCATCCTCACTGTTATTCCACAATGGCTGGTTCCTGTTATTTCCATATTGGAGAACTGTAGGTTGCGAGGTTTAGGACTGTATCATACGTTGCCAGTTGTGGTATGAAGTATGCTTTGATGATCACAAGTATGTCTTCTGTCATCTCTTCAAACACAACCCTTGAGTGTGAATTTGGTTTGTATATTCAGCAGCAAATCATCAAATGACATAATGTCTTCTGTTCTGTTGAATTTTATCCCCAGATTCCCCCAAGTTGAAGCTTTTTTTTTTTTGGTCAGGAGCGACTTGAGAAACTGTAAGTCGCTTCTGGTGTGAGAGAATTGGCCATATGCAAGGACGTTGCCCAGGGGATGCCTGGATTTGATGTTTTTTATCATCCTTGGGAGGTTTCTCTCATGTCCCCACACGAGGAGCTGGAGCTGACAGAGGGAGCTCATCCGCCTCTCCCCAGATTCAAACCTGCGACCTGTCAGTCTTCAGTCCTGCCAGCACAGGGGTTTAACGCACTGCGCCACTGGGGGCTCCTAAGTTGAAGCTGAACACTTGTATATAGCAGTTGTTACTTTGAAGTCCTAGGAGCCCCCGGTGGCGCAGTGGGTTAAACCCCTGTGCCGGCAGGACTGAAGACCCAACAGGTCGCAGGTTCGAATCCGGGGAGAGGCGGATGAGCTCCCTCTATATGGAATGTGTCCAGAGGAGGGCGACTAGAATGATCAAGTGTCTGGAGAACAAGCCCTATGAGGAGCGGCTTAAGGAGCTGGGCATGTTTAGCCTGAAGAAGAGACAGCTGGGAGGAGATATGATAGCCATGTATAAATATGTGAGAGGAAGCCACAGGGAGGAGGGAGCAAGCTTGTTTTCTGCTTCCCTGGAGACTAGGACACGAAACAGTGGCTTCAAACTACAAGAAGGAGATTCCATCTGAACATGAGGAAGAACTTCCTGACTGTGAGAGCCATTCAGCAGTGGAACTCTCTGCCCCGGAGTGTGGTGGAGGCTCCTTCTCTGGAAGCTTTTAAACAGAGGCTGGATGGCCATCTGTCAGGGGTGATTTGAATGCAATATTCCTGCTTCTTGGCAGGGGGTTGGACTGGATGGCCGTGAGGTCTCTTCCAACTCTTTGATTCTATGGTTCTATGATTCTATCAACTCCAGCTACTCGTGTGGGGACATGAGAGAAGCCTCCCACAAGGATGATAAAAACATCAAACCATCCGGGTGTCCCCTGGGCAACGTCCTTGCAGACGGCCAATTCTCTCACACCAGAAGTGACTTGCAGTTTCTCAAGTCGCTCCTGACACGACAAAAAAAAACAACAACTTTGAAGTCCTGTGTTCCTCCAGATGCTGCTGAATGACATGGTCAACATCTACACAACCTGTGGCTAGAAAACTGTTTGAGCCTCCAATTCCCAGAATCCCTAGTCAGCTTGTCCTATGGTTAGGAATTCTGGGAGCTGAAGTCCAAAATAGTCGGAGGTCCACAGGTTGTGCAAAACTTCTCTACATGATAGGCATTGCAGTCCAGCAATATCTGAAGGATCACAGGTTCCCCATCCCACCCTTAAAGGATTTTTTGTCTCTAATATTCCAAACGTGGCAACTTCCAAACTTTGTTATGGAGATGCCATTTGAAGAAAAATTCAAATCAATGTCTTTCAGCAGGTCCATCCCACAATGCCACTATCGACACTACAGAATCTGCTCCCAGTTTCTCCTATTTCAGTTTGAATGCAGAGCCCCCGGTGGCGCAGTGGGTTAAACCCCTGTGCTGGCAGGACTGAAGACCGACAGGTCGCAGGTTCGAATCCGGGGAGAGGCGGATGAGCTCCCTCTACCAGCTCCAGCTCCTCAAGCAGGGACATGAGAGAAGCCTCCCACAAGGATGATAAAACATCCAAACATCCGGGCATCCCCTGAGCAACGTTCTTGCAGACGGCCAATTCATTCACCAGAAGTGACTTGCAGTTTCTCAAGTCTCCTGACACGACAAAAATAAAAAAAATTGACTGCAAAGTGAATGGTTTGCTTATCCTATGACTTCTGTGTCTTTTGTGGCATCTCCTGACCCCTTTTAGCAAATGGTGTACTTTGTTTGTTTGTTTTTAAAAGCATGTGTGTTTTTTCTTACAAGAATGTATGTATTGCGTTATGTAAATTGTCTGTGAACTACACTGAAGGACACTTGGCTTCTTCACCTCCAATGTGACAATTGAACTTATCCATCTTGAAATGAACTTTGATAAGGCTCCTGACCAGGTAAAGTTTCAGCCTGTTATGTCCATGTATTTATAAATGTACCAAAAGATCAAGTGGCCATTTATTTGTAGGAATATGACCTCAGGATTTGATTTGGGAGGGGTTCCTGAAGCAAAACTTTAAAATGAAATAAGGCAAAGCAAGACTGTGTGTGTGTGTTTAACCTGTTGTAGATGCTGTACACAGGAATTGTTTTTAGATGAAATAACTGTGGGATATTACACTCCTTCCTGAAGGGGTTGTTGCTGTCTATCAGCTGGCCTGATAATATATAGCAATGGGTGCAAATCAACTCAGTTGTTGTCATGGTCTTTATTTGTGATTGTAAGTGTTGTTTAGATGCTTAAGTGGGTGTGCTCTGTCATGGAGTTGATTTTTCTAACTCTTCGTGAGTTGTAAGACTCAAAGAAAACCCATCTCTGCAGTTCAGTCTTTCCCAGATGCCTATCTGAAATACCCAGGTGCCGTTGGGAAGTCAAGTCTGTGTACCGCTTTTCTCAATTGTCCACATTTGTAGTTTTCAGACCTTACCTTTACAGAATACTTTCTTCATTTCCAATGCCAGAGATACAGCTTAATGGTGTAACATTAGAAAATGTTGACCATTTCCACTACCTTGGCAGCCACCTCTCCACCAAAGTCAACATCGACACCGAAATAAGCTCTGCGAGTGCAGCATTTTTCCGAATTAAGCAGAGAGTGTTTGAGGACCAGGACATCCGTAGGGATACCAAGGTGCTTGTTTATAAAGCTATTGTCCTCCCAACCCTGCTATATGCCTGCGAAACATGGACTGTCTACAGACGTCACATGCAACTCCTGGAACGATTCCATCAGTGCTGCCTCTGGAAAATCCTGCAAATCTCTTGGGAAGACAGGCGGACAAATGTCAGCATGCTGGAAGAAGCAAGGACCACCAGCATTGAAGCGATGGTCCTCTCCCATCAACTCCACTGGACCGGCCACACTGTCCGGATGCCCGACCACTGTCTCCCAAAGCAGTTGCTCTACTCCGAACTCAAGAACGGAAAACGGAATGTTGGTGGACAGGAAAAGAGATTTAAAGATGGGCTCAAAGCCAACCTTCAAAACTCTGGCATAGACACTTTTGACTGGAAAGGAATTTGTTCTAGTGTAAATGCTTGTCAGGTGGTCCTTAATCTAAATGAGCCTTATGTCCACTCCAGCACCAAATGGGGCAAGTACCTTCAATGAGGTAGTGGAAAATTAGGCAGTTAATAGATGAATGTTAGGAAATGCGGGTTGCTTACCTGTAACCGTAGTTTCTCGAGTGGTCACCTGTGAATTTGCACATATGGTAGTTTCTGCGCCTGAGCAGACAGCTTCGGAACCATCTAGATAGATTTGAAACCCTTTCTGGCGGTTAGCCCCGCTCACTCTCCCCTTGCGGGGCCACCGCCTCAGTTCTTCCGCTGCGGAAGCAGCTAGAAAAACCGAGGCATGACAACAGCGGGGAAGATGGGCAGAGCTGTACGAATTGAGACTCGTGCACCAACTGCGACCGTACCTCGCAAAGACTGATCTCGCCGGGTTGGTCCATGCCTTGGTCACCTCTAGATTGGACTACTGTAATGCACTCTAAGCGGGGCTGCCCTTGAAAATGGCTCGGAAATTCCAACTGGTCCAACGGGCAGCAGCCAGGATGTTAACTGGGGCTCCTTACAGAGAGAGGTCAACCCCCCTGTTCAAGGAGCTCCACTGGCTGCCCTTTATTTTCCGAGCCCAATTTAAGGTGCAGGTGCTTACCTACAAAGCCCTAAACGGTTTGGGACTTGCCTACCTGCGTGACCGTATCTCCGTTTACGAACCCACGTGCTCACTTTGTTTGTCCGGAGAGGCCCTGCTCATGATCCCGCCAGCGTCGCAGGCACGGTTGGTGGGGACGCGAGACAGGGCCTTTTCTGTGGTGGCCCCCCGACTCTGGAACACCCTCCCAAAAGATCTTAGACAGGCCCCTACATTGGCAGTCTTTAGAAAGAACTTGAAAACCTGGCTGTTCCGATGTGCCTTTCCAGAATAGGAACCTCCAATAATAAGTCCCATAAGCACTTTATTAGAACTAAGATTGCTGCACACCGCACACTGCACTTACCCTATAATCCTTACATATCACCTGTCACATCAGCACTTTTAATCCTGTACCCATTACTCTGGCCCGGCCCAGTTTTATAGTGTCTTGGTGTATTGTTTATTGCTTGTTGTTTAATATTGCTTTAATTGTTTTTAATTTGCTTTAGGTGTTGTATTGTTATGTTGTGTTTTGAGGCCTTGGCCTTTGTAAGCCGCATTGAGTCCTTCGGGAGATGCTAGCGGGGTACAAATAAAGTTAATAATAATAATAATAAATAATAATAATAATAATAATAATTCACAGGTGACCACTCGGGAAACTACGGTTACAGATAAGCAACCCATATTTTCCCATCGTGGTCAACTGTGAATACGCACATATGGTAGACTAGCGAGCTTCTAACCTTGGCAGGTGGGCGTCATGCCACCGCAGAGAAGAGGACTGCCCTTTCAAACAAAGCATCCCTTTTGGAAGAGATATCCAGTTTGTAGTGCGTCATGAAGGTCAGTACACCACCAGATGAGTACAGCACACAGCATCCAGTGGTACGCCCCTCATAAAGGCCGTAGAATAAGAAGCTGAACAAGCAGCACAGCGCTTAAAGGCTGAAGGAGCCACCATATTCGCCACAAGAAAAGGGTTTACTAGCAGTAAACTAATAGAGTAGTCCAGAAACAGTCTGTGGTCAGGAAAGGAGAAAGATGGTGACACGATATACAATCCAGTCAGAAAACAGTCAGTCCTAAAAGCTAGTCGCAAACGAAGGTTCTTTTACTGCTGACAAAGCGGCGGATCAAAAGAACTAACCCACCGGCTACTTATACTCACAGGGGAGAGTGGGCAGGACTAACTGCCAGAAAGGTTTTCAAATCTATCTAGAAGGTTCCAAAGCTCAGTTGACCATGATGGGAAAGAAGGAAGTTCTGTAGATTTTTAATTACTGGTGATGTTTTCAAATGCTGGCTAAGTCAATTTGTTTTAAAAAATTTATTTTCAAGAATGACTATAAAATATTAGCCCTATAATGCCAATATGGCTGAATGCATGTAAACTGCTCCACACCTGAAAAGGTGCACATTCCAAAAAAAAAATCATTTATAAACAATTCAAAGTATTATCAAAAACATTGCACTCACGAAAGAAATAATTAAATATAAACAATTCCAAAGTATTAACAAGAAAAGGAAACACTGTAGATGGTCTCGAAAGGTCTTTAAACCTTTAAACTGGCCTTCTGTGGTGGTTTAACGTCTCTTTCTCCACCAACCTCTCTTTTTGGGGAGAGTCATTTTGAACATGTCGAATTTCCTCCGCATGACAAAATCAAAGTCGGCCTGGCTGTTTATGGCATAGAAGACGTTGGCATCAAATGGAATGAGTAGTTCTGCAAGGAAGGGAAACAATGATGAAAAATGATGGTATATTCGCTGGTTTCCTAGTATAACTAGAAAGGGGGGGAAAGGTTGGTTGTAGCTTATGCTCTAGGTCAGGAGTCCCCAAACTACGGCCCCGCGGGCCACTTCCGGCCATCCAAGGGCACTTATTGGGCCCGCGGAGGAGGAGTGCCCCCCACAAACAGTGCCCCTCCCTTGGCAGGCTCATACTATCCATCAAGCCCAATGGGCAGCGTGAGCCAGCCAAGGGCAGCTGCTCCGCTTGGCCTGCTCGCGTGTAAAGCACCTCGTGAGGTGCTTTACGCGCGAGTAGGCCGTGCGGGGCTGCTTCTCCCTTGGCAGGCTCAGGCTGCCCATCGGGCCCAATGGGCAGCGTGAGCCAGCCAAGGGCAGCTGCTCCGCGTGGCCTACTTGCGCGTAAAGCACCTTGTGATGTGCTATACGCTTGAGTAGGCCGTGTGGGGCTGCTCCTCCCTTGGCAGGCTCATGCTGCCCATTGGACCCGATGGGCAGCGTGAGCCAGCCAAGGGAGGCTGCCCCGGCGCTCCATGCAGTCATGCCGGCCACATGACCTTGGAGGTGTCTACGGACAAGGCCGGCTCTTTGACTTAAAAATGCAGATGAGCACCACACCCCAGAGTCAGACACGACTGGACTTCATGTCAGAGGAAAACCTTTAACTAGGAAAATTGTGGAAGATCCAGGGTGGGAGAAAGAACTCTTGTCTGTTGGAGGTAGGTATGAATGTTTCAATTGGCCACCTTGATTACCATTTCATAGCCTGACAGTTTTTAGGGAGAGGTGATTAGCTGGCCCTGATTGTTTCTTGTCTGGAGTTCCCCTGTGTTTGAGTGTTGTTCTTTATTTACAGTTATAATTTTAGAGTTTTTTTAATACTGGTAGCCAGATTTTGTTCAGACTAGAAATAGGAAGATTTCCCATTCTCTGCTCCTGGAATTACTGCCTAAAGAGGGCTAGAAAGAACCCCCTCTAAGGGCCCTTCCACACAGCAAAATAAGATATGTGCAATGTGCATAGGAATTTTTTTGATTTAAAAAAAATAGTCCGCCCCCCCCCAACGGTCTGAGGGACAGTGAACTAGCCCCTGGTTTAAAAAGTTTGAGGACCCCTGCTCTAGGTCCTACAGGCCAGGAAAACTAGTCATTAAAGGAGAGGTCAAATAAATAACCAACTGAAGAAGCCACCAGTGGCTCCTGCTTCTATCTGTGTTTTCCTCTGACTCTATCCAACCTGCTTTCTTTGTTTTTAAAGAGACTTCATAGTTCTCATACACTGGCCACCACAGGAAGGAAGGAAAGAAGGCAGATGGGAGAAAAGGTAGAAAGGAAGGGAATGAGGGAAGACGACTAAGGGAGGGAGAGAGAAAGAGGAAAAGAAAGAGTGGCTTTATCTCAGCCTCCGATGAAGACAAAGGCAAATCCTCTTTGAATAAATATTGACAAGAAAACTTTGGGAGAGTCTGAAACGACTTGAAGACACACAACAACAACTATCTTGCACTTCCCATTGAAATATTGATATGTTTACGTTGGTCAAAACTGTTCATTTTAAATATTGTATTCTTTCATATCTTCGCACTACAAATAAGAAGTATGAATAGGAATTAGTTCACTATTTTTCAAAGTACAGTCCAGCCTCCCAACAGTCTGATGGACCAAGAACCAGCCCTCCGCTTAAGAGGTCCTTGTGGTCCCTTCCAGCTCTATGATCCTTTGCCTTCTGGAACACTTGATCTTGCTACACTTCCCATCTGTCATAATATATTGAAATTTATTTATTTATTTATTTATTTGCAGCTTTTATATTCCGCCCTTCTCACCCCGCAGGGGACTCAGGGCGGATTACAGTGTACACATATATGGCAAACATTCAATGTCAATTTTGACATACAACATATAGAGACATAGACAGAGGCTATTTAACTTTTTCTGGCCACCAGGGGAGCTTTCGCTTTCATTGTCCATCTGCGACACTGATGAAGTACTTCTGCATTCCCCGCATGCTTTTGCTGGAGTCTTTTTTTATGGCCTCATAAATTAGTTAATTTAGCCTCCCCACACTTTAAGGTAGTACCTTATTTTCCTACTTGACAGATGCAACTGTCTTTCGGGTTGCAAAGGTCGACAACAGGCTACACAATTGGTTGGAAGCCCACTCCAACCCAGGCTGGCTTCGAACTCATGTCCTTTTGGTCAGAGTGATCTTAATGCAGCTGACACTTAGCCAGCTGCACCACAATCCCGGTGGTTATGTTTCTTCTTCTTAGAGAGGTTATGTTTTCTTAGGCCCTCTGATAGCCAGAAGCTGAAGCTCTGCTTCTCTTACCTTTTTTCTGAGAGATGACTTGCACAAGGTCATACTCCTCCACAGCAATTGGGTCCAAGTTATGTTTTAGCAGTGCTCTCTGCATAACTGCTGGCGCCTTGTCCTGGTTGGTCACCTGGAAAGATAGTTTGGCATTGAGGCTTTCTTATTCTCCAAACTCAAATTCCCAAGAAGGCTTTCATTATTAGCTATGTCCTATTTATGTACTGGATTCTAAAATAGGAGTCTTTTTCAGGAAAACAGTCTTAGCTAGAGCTCGGCTTTTAGACAAGCTCCACTGAGAACACCTGGTTGCAAAGTTAATAACCACAGACAGTGAATAATAGGAAATGACAGTTTTTTTTCAAATTGCAACTTCAAGAGTCCCTCTATGCCCGAGATGGTTGGAGACTCTGGGAAGTTACAGTCCAAAAAAGGCAACTTGGTAATAATCTAACGCTAATACTCTTATGTTTCACAGCAGGAATGTGAATTATGTGGTCCTTGAGATGTAGGATTTTAATGCTCATGGTTGCTTGACACTGGCTATGTTTATTAGCATTGTTGGGACTTGTAACAACTGGGGCCTTCATGATTCTCAGTTCAAGTTAACTCTCTTGACTCAGCATTTATGGCTATGTTGCATAAACACGTGATCACCAACACCAAAAGAAGAAGAACGTGCTTTAAAGAACTAAGCTCTCTTATTGGAAGTATGTCTGTGGCTCTATCCGGTATCACTTCCTCTATAAAGTACTGATGTTCAGTGTCATCCTGCAATAAAGAAACACCAGGGTTTCCCAAAAGAGCTGACTACCAGAAATCCATGTTCCATCTGTGAATTATGTTGGACTAAGCAAACAGGAGGCCCAGTGCTGGAAAGGGGCTTTTCTATGGCTGAAGGAGGAATCCTGACCCTTTTTCTCGAGCTTGTGTTTAGTGCACTGTCACTTTTAATCCAGAAAAATAAAACCACTGCTTCTGGAATCCGAAAGCTCTGGTCTATATACCAATTTCTGACTGCTGCTTGGAGGAGAGGGTCATCAGTTCAAGCTGTTGGGACTAACTTGTCTACTAGGCTTGTTTGAGCCACAAAAAAAAAAAGTTCAAAACTCATTTCAGATGTAGGGAGTGCTGGTGGTTCGATTCTAAAGTCAATTCTGATTTTCACAGAAAAAAATGTTTAAACCTTTTCGAAACTTCCGAGACTTCTGAATTATCCCTTAATGGTTTGAAAGTGTTATTGGGTGGTCTTTACTTTGAAAGCAGTTTTACTCCAGAAGTGGGGGGGGGGGCAAACGGAGGAAATTCATCCACTCTGGTTTACAACACTTCCCAGGCTTGAGACAGAAAGTGGGGGGAGAGGAGAGGGAGGAAATTCATCCACTCTGGTTTAAAACACTTCCCAGGCTCGAGACAGAAGAGAGGGGAGAGGAGGGAGGAAATTCATCCATTCTGGTTTACAACACTTCCCAGGCTTGAGACAGAAAGTGAGGGGAGAGGAGAGGGAGGAAATTCATCCACTCTGGTTTAAAACACTTCCCAGGCTCGAGACAGAAGAGAGGGGAGAGGAGGGAGGAAATTTATCCACTCTGGTTTAAAACGCTTCCCAGGCTTGAGACAGAAGCGAGGGGAGAGGAGAGGGAGGAAATTCATTCACTTTGTTTTAAAATGCTTCCCAGGCTCGAGACAGAAGCAAGGGGAGAAGAGAGGGAGGAAATTCATCCACTCTGGTTTAAAACACTTCCCAGGCTTGAGACAGAAGCAAGGGGAGAGGAGAGGGAGGAAATTTATCCACTCTGGTTTAAAAGCTTCCCAGGCTTGAGCCAGAAATGAGGGGAGAGGAGAGGGAAGAAATTTATCCACTCTGGTTTAAAACACTTCCCAGGTTTGAGCCAGAAACGAGGGGAGAGGAGAGGGAAGAAATTTATCCACTCTGGTTTAAAACACTTCCCAGGCTTGAGACAGAAGCGAAGGCAGAGGAGAGGGAGGAAATTAATCCACTCTGGTTTAAAGGCTTCCCAGGCTCGAGACAGAAGCGAGGGGAGAGGAGAGGGAGGAAATTCATCCACTTTGGTTTAAAACGCTTCCCAGGCTTGAGACAGAAGTGAGGGGAGAGGAGAGGGAGGAAATTCGTTCACTCTGGTTTAAAACTGCTTCCCAGGCTTGAGCTGAGGCCAGGGACCAGAAGCAGGGAAACCCTGAAACATTTCTGACTCACTTACTGCTTCGTAACAGAAATGGTGGAAAAAGCTTTGGAAGGGCAAAGGGACTTCCAGTTTCCTTTAAAAAAATCGAAATTGCTTCAAAAAGCAAATCTTTCCAAATTTATTCTGAATTATGAGGATTCCGACCGAACCTAACAATGCCTATTGTGTACAATTCCTATGAAATGACACATGCTTTGCTCACTCTTCAGTTTTCATAGATACACAGGGAGCATGGCTTTTTTGTGCCCTCTTAGGAATCCCTTTTCTTAAATCAGAATTAATGTGTTATAAAGTGTTCATTTAAAAAAAAGAAAAACACACATTTTAGAAGAAATATCTCTGGGGCAGGGGAAGGAAATGGAATGTGCGTTGAACTTACTATAGGAAAAATTCAAACTCAACTGTTTGTTATTTTGTTGGTTATTTTGTTTTTGTTTTTTCCTCCTTTTCCCAGGGTTGGCCTGCGACATTTTGCTTCCTGAGGCAAAAGACCAAATGGCACCCCATTAATATGTGTACAGACACTGCTGCACTTGAAGCTGAATTTTCCTTTCACACTGTCAGCATGACAGATTCCTCCACCCCATGGCATACATGAGGAATGGGCTAGATTTCTGAGTGCAGGCCAGGCTGTGTGACCCATGTAGACAGTTCTGTCCTCCCAAGAGAGGGAAATGGGCAGTGCTTGGAAGAAATGGCTAGAGACCTGGCCTTGCTGTTCCTCCAGATTGCCTGATGCAATTGACTCTCTGTGGTAATGGGGAGAACCCGAGCCTCCCTCTCTTGGTGTGGATGGGGCCTTCATTCATTTTTAATGACGTGCAGATGGTAGAAGCCAAGAGAAGATAGCAGCCCTATTCTAGTCATCTTGCATCCCAAAGCAAATAACTTCATTGTACTATAGTAATCGAAAGCACTATTTTCCCACACATGTATTATTTTAATTATTTTACTTAGGTATTTTTTATCAATTATGATTAGGGAAGGCCTGCAGAAAAACAATGGCCCCCTCAATTTTTCTGGTTTTTCCCCAAAGTCTAGTGAGCTTGCACTGCAAAGTAAAGTGAAACTGTATTATATTAAGCAAAATCACAATATCCCAACACATATATTGTTTTAATTATTTTCCTTAGGGTTTTTTTTAATCAATAATGATTAGAGAAGGGAAGGCCTGGGAAGGCCTGTATTGTTATTATTATTGTTGTTGTTGTTGTTGTTAAATTGATCATTCTACTTTATTATTGTTTTTATTATTACATTTATTATTTTACTCTATTATTACTGTTATTATTACATTTCCATTTTTTTACTCTATTACTAGCCGTCCCCTGCCATGCGTTGCTGTGGCCTACATGGGGGTTCTGTGTGGGAGGTTTGGCCCAATTCTATCATTGGTGGGGTTCAGAATGCTCTGTGATTGTAGGTGAACTATAAATCCCAGCAACGACAACTCCCAAATGTCAAGATTCTATTTTCCCCAAACTCTACCAGTGTTCACATTTGGGCGTATTGAGTATTCGTGTAGAGTTTGGTCCAGATCCATCATTGTTTGAGTCCACAGTGATCTCTGGATGTAGGTGAACTACAACTCCAAAACCAAAGGACACTGCCCACCAAATCCTTCCAGTATTTTCTGTTGGTCATGGGGGAACTGTGTGCCAAGTTTGGTTCAATTCCATCGTTGGTGGGGTTCAAAATGCTCTTTGATTGTAGGTGAACTATAAATCCCAGCAACTACAACTCCCAAATGACAAAATCAATTCTTTTTTTGTGAAGGACATACATTGGGTTGTTAGATGTCTTGTGTCCAAATTTGTTGTCAATTCGTCCAGTGGTTTTTGAATTCTGTTAATCCCACAAGCGAACATTACATTTTTATTTATATAGATTATTATTATTATTATTAGTAGTAGTAGTAGTAGTAGTAGTAGTAGTATTACATTTATTATTTCACTCTATTTTTATTGGAAGGATATGCAAGCACACTTACATTGAAGAAGGTTAGAATAATGGTTTAATCAGAGTTCCACAATCTTAGAATCATAGAATCAAAGAGTTGGAAGAGACCTCATGGGCCATCCAGTCCAACCCCCTGCCAAGAAGCAGGAATATTGCATTCAAATCACCCCTAATCTTACCTTCAATTATAGTTTTATGTAAATATTCAAAACATTTAACCTACTGATGCCTCAATTAATGTAATTGTATTGTATCCATTTTTATTTTGAATTTTACCAGTAGTCCTGCATTTCTCACCCTTAGCTTATACTCGAGTCAATACGTTTTCCCGGTTTTTTTTTGGTAAAATTTGGTGCCTCGGCTTATATTCAGGTCGGCTTATACTCAAGTATATGCGGTACATATGACAAATTCATGCAGAGTAAGAAAACACACAGAGTAGTTTAAACTTGGCATAGAATTTAAATTGCAGACATTTGCATTAGGCCAGGGATTGAACCAGAGACTGCTGGCAGACAAAACATGGGATCTAGAACTGAATTACTGGCATTCCAAAAATGTCTCTTTGCTCAAACGGCAATCTGTATATACACCAACCCCACTCTCCTTACATACCAGAATGCTTTTGTACATATTGCCATTACTGGGTTCCAAATGAACCCGGATGATGCAGGACTCTTGGTTCTTCTGATTGTAGTAAGGAGGCCAAAGTGCAGAAGTACTGGAGATGGAAAGTGGGTGGATGCCCGGATTGCTGTCCGGTGGAGGAGGCGGTGAGAGAGTGAAGGAAGACACACTGGATGAAGAAATGTCCATGGAGTGGTTGGAGGAAGAAGGGGAAGAGGATTCCGAGAGCTAAGAATTGGAACACAAAATAAGAGGATCACATCACTCATTGATTGGCATATGACACTGAGATTATTCTAAATCTGCTCCATGCACAGCAAGATTGAGTAATGAGTGAGCCTTTAGATGTTGGACTGTAGCTTCCATCAGCTGTAGCCTGTGATGGCATCAGAATAATGGGAGTTGCAATCAAATTATATGTGGAAGGTCAAATGGTCCCCAACCTTTGCATAGAGGTTAAATGCACACTGCTTTAAAGAGTATCTTAAAATATTTTTAATTTTTAATTGTTTTGATTGGTTATTATCTGATCTTTGCCTCAATAACCCTTAGGGCTGAAAGCAATGCAAATATAATGTAAACAAACAGGCATTTCAACAGAGCACTGATGTAGACTGAGGAACAGAAAGTCACAATCTAAATGTAAAGCATGCATGACCACTGAGATGTCATTCCTTTATTCCTTGTTACTATTTGTATTGAAGATTTTCGCTGAGGAAGGGACATTAAATTTTTTTGGATAAGCTATAATAACTACATGATAAAGTAGAGGCACTTGTTGCAATCTTCCTTTCCACATTTAGAGCAACTGGCCAGAAGATGGCAGCAGATACAAAGGTGTCAGCAAGTGATTATTACTATATATTATAATAATATTATATTGTGAAATATAATATTATTATAATATTGTGAAAGCATTCCTTATTTTTTTAATCAATCAAGAATATCTTTATTTGTAGGAAGGCATTAGCTTTTAGCAGAACTATCATGAGACTTTTTGCTTTCTGAGGCAGCACAGCAAGTGACATGCACACTCATTTACATGCCAAAGTGCATGTAAGTTATTTTGACATACATGGCATAAAGTATCCACACACCTTATAATAATAATAATAACAACAACAACAACAACAACAACAACAACAAGAACAAGAAGAAGAAGAAGAAGAAGAAGAAGAAGAAGAAGAAGAAGAATGGATAGTTAATGTTACAATCCCAGGCAACAGCCGGATTGAAGAGAAACAACTGGAAAAGCTTACATGTTATGAGGATTTAAAGATTGAACTGCAAAGACTCTGGCCCAAACTAGTAAAGGTTATCCCAGAGGTGATCGGCATACTGGGTGCAGTGCCTAAAGACCTTGGCCTGCACTTAAACACAATTGGCAGTGACAAAATTACCATCTGTCAGCTACAAAAGGTCACCCTACTGGGATCTGCACGCATTATCCGCTGATACATCACACAGTCCTAGACACTTGGGAAGTGTCCAACATGTGATTTAATACAACAGCCAGCAAAGTGACCTTGTTTGCTGTGTACTAATCTTTTTTTGTGTTTCTAATAACAACAACAACAACAACAATAACAACTTTATTTCGAGACCGCATTCCCTCCCTAAAGGGACTCAGGGCGGTTCACACAGATATAAAAGGCAAACATTCAATGCCATAATTATGATCACACAATATCAGAAGACGGGAATTAAACATTAAAATACTTATTACCATATTACAGCAATAAAACATAATGGCACAAAAACATGTATCTTAGACCTTTATATAACAAGCAAAGTGCAAAATGTGGACAATTTCAACAGTAAGGAGGAAACCATGAAAATGAACAGTATTAAAAAAACTCTAAAATTACAACAGCAAAACAACAGAGAGGAAACAATCTGGGACATCTAATCACCTCTCAACAAAAGATTGCCCCAGGCACTGCCAGGCCATCAAATGCTAATCAAGGTGGTCAGCTGAAACATTCACACCTAGCTCCAGCAGACAAGAGTCCTTTGTCCCACCCTGGTCATTCCACAGATATATAAACCCTTTTCCTAGTTCCAACAGACCTCACTACCTCTGAGGATGCTTGCCATAGATGCAGGCAAAACATCAGGAGAGAATGCCTCTAGACCATGGCCATATAGCCCGAAAAAACCTATAGCAACCCAGTGATTCCGGCCATGAAAGCTTTCTACAATACAAAGTGCAAAATATGCCACCTTCTTCCAACTTTTAGTAAATCACACGGATAACAAAGCAAATAATTAACATTTTCATGATATGCACTCTTCCAAGTCAGCTGTTTCACTCTGCATAATGCTAGGGCTACCCCGGTCTTTGAGAATTGCAGTGGGCATTACTTAGTTATAATGCTGCTTCTAGCAGTACTACTAAAAACATTTTTTTTCCTTCTGGAAAATTAAGAACAGCCTTGACTTGCGAATACATACGTTCTTTAGTGGCCCATCTGGTGACTCGCAAGGCGATACACTTTCAGATGCCATGCTTTCCCCGGAGCTCCCGCTTGGCTGTTCTTTGGTGGGCGTGGTATTTGAAATTACATCGGATCCCTGAAATAACCTAGAAAGACAATTTTTCAAATATTGTTACAATATTACTTTTATTTCAAATTATTGTGGGGATATGTTTCAAAGGAAGAAAAGTGAATGTGAATTTCTGCAAATACGGGAAATTCTACTTTGATGCAGAACGCATTTAGGTTGTGGCTATTTATGATGCAGTCTAGTATAACTCGCATGCCAGTTGCTCCGAAATCATTATCCATCGAGTCATACTCACAAGCTTAGCCGCTTCACCATGCTCTTCCGGGAGTTTGGAGATGTGGTGGTTGTGTCAACAGCTGCTTCAATCTCACAAGCAAGGGTATAGCTGTAAAATTAGAGAGCATCTTGTGATTAGGGCTTCAGGAAATATTGCTACTGAGGGCTAAAATTCCTCAAAACAAAACTTTGTCAGCTGTTAAAGAAAATAGTGTGTGACTTTCAGTTAGGAACTGTTAAAAGTAAGAGCTACTGGTTTTCAAGATTATTCAGTTACCGAGGATGGACTGAATAAATGCCACATAGACACATTTTATACATTCTCCTGATATTTACAGGAAGTATGTGGATCACTCTGCTGCACAGTGTGTTGGAAGCTCCAGAGTTTAGATGGCCATCTGTTAGAGGGGTACTTTGATTGTGTTTTTCCTGCATGGCAGGGGGTTGGACTGGGTTACCACATGGGCTCTTCCAACTCTATTATTATTCTATTATTTTAATCTAAGATTAAGAGTTCTGAGTTTTCAAAAACAGGTATTATTATTGGGTTGTTGTAGGTTTTTCCGGGCTATATGGCCATGTTCTGGAGGCATTTTCTCCTGACGTTTCGCCTGCATCTATGGCAAGCATCCTCAGAGGTAGTGAGGTCTGTTGGAAGTAGGAAAATGAGTTTATATATCTGTGGAATGACCAGGGTGGGACAAAGGACTTTTGTCTGCAGACCCACCAAGAAAATGCAACAAATGCTACGTTCAGCAAAGGACAAGAGGGATCCTCTCACTTCTGCAGATGTCTACATAGGGACCAGCAAACGCAGCATTGCCCAAACACGAATCAAGGAACATGAAAGGCACTGCAGACTACTTCAACCAGAGAAATCAGCCATAGCAGAGCACCTGATGAACCAACCTGGACACAGCATATTATTTGACAACACAGAAATGCTGGACCACTCTCACAACCACCATGTCAGACTACACAGAGAAGCCATTGAAATCCACAAGCATGTGGACAATTTCAACAGAAAGGAAGAAACCATGAAAATGAACAAATCTGGCTACCAGTATTAAAAAACTCTAAAATTACAACAGCACAACAACAGAGAGTAAACAATCAGGCACATCAAATCACCTCTCAACAAAAGATTTCCCCCAGGCACTTCCAAGCCATTAAATGCTAATCAAGGTGGTCAGTTGAAACATTCACACCTAGCTCCAGCAGACAAAGTCTTTTGTCCCACCCTGGTCATTCCACAGATATATAAACCCATTTTCCTACTTCCAACAGACCTCACTACCTCTGAGGATGCTTGCCATAGATGCAGGTGAAACGTCAGGAGAAAGTGCCTCCAGAACATAGCCATATAGCCCGGAAAAACCTACAACAAGCCAATGATTCTGGCCATGAAAGCCTTCGACAATACAGGTATTATTATTATTTATACCTCCACTTTTCCCTCTAAAGAAGAAGGTTCAAAGTAGCTTACAGTAAAACTAATCAATACAATTTAAAATCTAAAAATATATGAACATTTAAAAGAATTAAATATTAATGGCATTAAAAATAAAGTTAAAGCCATTAAAACCAATTAAAACCCTATTCATAGCTAAAACCACAGCACCCCCTGACTTGATCTTTAAAAGCCTGCCTGAATAAAAAGGTTTTAGCCTGCCATCAGAAGGCAGGGAATCCAGAGTAGGTACAACTTTGCTTTAGTTGATCCTAATATTGAGCCTAATATTCCAAGGCATTATTTCACATTAAATGTTAAAGCATCAGGTCACCAACTAGAGCCTCATTTGGGCGTCTGCAGAGCCCCCTTTCCATCTCAGACACCATGACTTCTATTTCAAGTACGTTTTTACCACATTCCTGCAACCTACTTTTGTAATACTTCGTTTTATAAAGATTCTCAAGGTCAGAAGTGTTTCTGACATTTTTGGCCATTTCAGTTTGTTTTAACAAAGGTACACAGAAAGGGTTTTGGGAATATTTCATACGCAAGGCGGTTATCTGTTTCTTCTTTGTATGACACAACAGTGGGTTGTTGTAGGTTTTTTCGGGCTATATGGCCATGGTCTAGAGGCATTCTCTCCTGACGTTTCGCCTGCATCTATGGCAAGCATCCTCAGAGGTAGTGAGGTCAGGATGCTTGCCATAGATGCAGGCGAAACGTCAGGAGAGAATGTCTCTAGACCATGGCCATATAGCCCGAAAAAACCTACAACAACCGAGTGATTCCGGCCATGAAAGCCTTCGACAATACATTATGACACAACACATAGGGACAGAAAACAATTCCTAAAATATACATCTTGGCTTATTCTTTAATATATAGTGCCCAATTTAAATGTGAGCAAGCAATGGAGCTTGTGGGCAGTTTGGTACTTAGCCACCCACTCTATCCTAACTCAATGTGTTGAGGCTCAGCGTCACGGCAGTGAATCTACTACCAGTTGCAGGAGAAGGAGGAGTGATGCTGAATCAGGCAAAAAAAAATGTCATCAGAGTAAAGGACTATTTCTGATAACTGGTGAACTAGGTCTCACATGCTTGTATATGCGTATATGAATTGTTGTTGTTGTTGTTGCTGTTATTAATGTCGTGCCCGCCTCTCCTCATGGCTTGAGGTGGTTTACAACATTGTAAAACACACATTCACCTACATTCTTTTAAATATATTAAAACATTGTACTGGCATTGAATTTTGCCATTACTTATATGTAAACCGCTTTGAGTCCTCCTCGAGGTGAGAAAAGCGGTATACAAATACTGTAAATAAATAAAATAAATAAATTGAAACTTATTTCCACATGGTACATATTAAAATACACACAACAGAGATTAAACGTAAGTTACAAGTTTAAAATTTGTCATTAAAACTGTCAGGGTAGGCCTGACAGAAGAGATAGATCTTCACTTGTTTTAAATTGTGACAGCTGATGTAGCTGTCAGAGCTCTACCGGCAGGTTGTTCCACAGTTGTGGGGTGGCCAATGTATGGTGTTTTTGGGTGGTGGTTGCCAGTTGAGTCTTGGTAGGCCAGGAGCAAATGCTCCCCCAGAGGATCTCAGTGTTCGGGGCAGATTGTATAGTAGAAGGCAACCCTGTAGGTAACCTAGACCCAAAACATGTAGGGCTTTAAAGCTCAAAACTAACACCTTGTAGAGTTGTTGTAGGTTTTTTCAGGCTATATGGCCATGTTCTAAAGGTATTTTCTTTAGAATGCATACCTACCTCCAGAAGACAAGAGTCCTTTGTCTCACCTTGGTCATTCCACAGATATATAAACCCTTTTTCCTAGTTCCAACAGACCTCACTACCTCTGAGGATGCTTGCCATAGATGCAGGCGAAACGTCAGGAAAAAATGCCTTTAGAACATGGCCATATAGCCCGGAAAAACCTACAACAACCCAGTGATACCGGCCATGAAAGCCTTCGCCAATACATTAACACCTTGTACTAACTGAAGGTTAAAGCTCCACTTCACTAACTGTGCATTCAGATGTGCACAATGTCCATTACCATCATTCAAAATATTTGCTAAAAAAATCTGAAACTTACTAGATACTATACTTAAACAGAAGTCCCAGGTGCAGGCTCATACTCTAAGTCAAAGCACAAAACAACAGGAAAGGATGTTTAAAGAGAAACAGGAGGAAGCCAAAAGGGGCACGGGGAAAAAAAACAAAGTAAAGGAAGCCCATGCAAATAAATAACTGTGCATTTTATATATGGGTTTTGAATTGTTCTTGATGCTGGCAAGAGATTCTTGGCTAACCTAATGGTCAGAAATTATCAATAGATAATTACGTAAGTGAGCCACCTGGAACCTGACAGTAAACCATTCTGGTGATTTATGCTAGTTTAAACTGGAGTTATACAGCATGTCATCGAGTGAGAGCATATCTATTTTCATGTACAGTTCCCCTTCTCCCATAACACTAAAAGCATTCTGTTTTTACCACACTGTTTCTATTTAAATGTTTTTAAACTTTTGTATTTCTCCTTTTAAACTGACTACTGTGATGTTAGTTGTCTTGAGTCCCCATGGGAAGAAAGGCGGGATATAAATAAAGATGACGACGACAATGATAATAATAAGTAATATGAATTTTGTTCCTGGTTATAAATGTTATTTCCTAATTGGTTCTATCATAAAAAAATGGAAAAGGATTATTAAAATTTATTTATTTATTTATTTATTTACAGTATTTATATTCCGCCCTTCTCACCCTGCAGCCATGAGGAGAGGCAGTAAAGAACTAAAATAATAATACATCTCACAGTCCTAGACGCTTGAGAAGTATACACGAGAGTAGTCTTGTACACGGGAGTAGTCTTATACACTGGGAGTAGTCTTCTACACGAGAGTAGTCTTATACGCGGGAGTAGTCTTATACACAGGAGTAGTCTTATACACGGGAGTAGTCTTATACATGGGAGTAGTCTTATAGAGCGGGTGCTGAAACTTCCAATTGGATTGGAGAACCTGTGGTTGCCGCATATGGTGGGGGAAGCTCAAAAATGGCAGTGAAATCAAATCTGATGCTTTTAAAAAAATTATTTGGTGTGCACTGGAAGAGGGGTAGTCTTATACAGCGAATATATCCCAAACTCTATATTTTAACTGGAAAAGTTGGGGGTTGTCGTCTTATACGCTCAGTTGTTTTATATACGGTATATCTCATTTGATGTGACATATTGTGTTTTTGTATCAGTAAAATAATAATAGTAATAATAATAATAATAATAATAATAATAATAATAATAATAAGTCTCTTGTGGATGATATAGGAAAGCTTCACCTCACCTTTCTTCCTCTGTTAAAGCTGGCTGTTTCCTGAACCACTGGATGAATCTTCTGTCTGATGTCATGCAATAGCTATTGCAGGAGGATTGCAACAGCTTAATCTGAGCGATTACTTCAAACTCCTGAGAAAGTAAGTATCAGAATGTGATTCTTAATGAAGAAAATACAGTTCCCCTCCCAGATCACAATAGCCAGACAGATGCAGGGCAACTGGAAATGTTAAACACTGCACAACAGATCCACTATTATCACAAAGGATTTAGTAAACCTGATGGCATCCCTTATTCTGGAAAGTCTGCTGACCAATGGTTGTATATATTCAATTCAATTATTTCATTCGACCCACATGGCATGGCAAGAGGTGAGCAAAGTGAGTCTGATGTACTTTCTTAACATTGGGTGTATAGAAGGATGGACGATTCCTCTCAGTCTTAAAAACTGGTGGGAGCCTGTGGTCTGTTTTAGTTCTGTGCTGAGCAGATAATCAACATACCTCCCTGCCTACAACTCCCAGAAATCCCAGCCAGTTTACCAGGTGTTAGGATTTCCAGGAGTTGAAGGCCAAAACATCTGGGTACCCACAGGTTGAGAACCACTGATATACAGAGACTTTACTGATAGCATGGCCAATCAATTGAGATGAGGATCAGGAGGGAGGCACACAATTGCTCTCCTGTTCATATTAGAAGACCCATGCTTTCCCCAAGATCAACTTCATGAATCCACCAGCTAAGAAGGCTTTCTCATATATCCTGTTGGGTCATCTACTCCCTCCCTTTGCAGCTGAGATACAAAAAACCCAGGATACAAATTGTTGCTAATTAAAATACCAGTAAATGATTAGAGATAGAGCAAGCTTACCCGTCTTCTCTTCTCAAAATTTATTAGTCCCCCCTGTAAGGAAACAAGCATAAAAGACCAATTTCAAAACCAACGTGTACAATCACAATAGAGCAATCATCCAACTTTAACAAAAACAAATGTTCATGTCTCCCTCTGCTATACAAAATGACAAAACTTTCAGAATTTGAGGTCTTTCATAGTAATTCTAGATCTAAATCTGTAACAGAGCCTTATTTTTCAAAGATAACAACCAATTGCTCCCACGTTACAGTGTGGGAAAGCTGGCATGCCTGTCCTCTTTAAATGTTATAGTAATGTAACTATGCCAATAGCAATGTGGATCATCAAATGTGGATCAGTACTAAGAACCTAACCTCTCTCTTCACTTGCAAGATGTTCTTGTCTCTCTACAAATGACTTGGGGGTGCAACTTTGGGCCTCTAGCCATTTATCAGAAGCAGCACCCACCTTAACCCCATCACACCAGAAGCAACTTGCTCCTGACACGACAAAAAAAAAATCAAAATCAAAATAGATACCAATACAATTACATTAATTGAGGCATCAGTGGCTTAAATGTTTTTGAATATTTACATAAAACTGTAATTTAAGATAAGACCGCCCAACTCTGATTAAACCATTATTCTAAACTTCTTCAATGTAAATGTGCTTATGTATCCTTCCAATAATAATAGAGTAAAATAATAAATGTAATAACAACAACAATAATAAGAGTAAAATAATGGAAATGTAATAGAAGTCAAGTCCTATGAGGAGTGGCTTAGGGAGCTGGGTATATTTAGCTTGGAGAAATGGAGGCTGAGAGGGGATACAATAGCCATTTTTAAATATTCGAAAAGGATGTCACATTGAGGAGGGGGCACACTTGTTTTCTGCTGCTCTGGAGACTAGAACAGGGAGCAAAGGATTCAAGTTGCGGGAAAAGAGATTAAATCTAAATATTAGGAAGAATTCCTGACAGAGCTGCTTTGAAGAGTGGTGCAGTCTCTTTCTCTGAAGGTTTTTAAACAGATGCTAGATAGTCAGGAGTACTTTGATTGTGTGTTCCTGCATGGCAGAGGGTTGGACTGCATGGCCCTTGTGGTCTCCTCCCAATTTAGGATTCTATTACTCTTTGATCAGTGAAGGTTTTAAGGGAACTTTCCATGGTGCTAACTCTGTTCCTCAATAGGATGTTCAGCACCATGGAGAGCTTCTTTAAAGACACACAAAACATGCAACAGATTAAACATTCAAGCACTGGTCTAGTTACAAGACTACTGAGAATGAACTGGGATAAACTTGTGAGTGTTATGAAAATATAGATAGAAAATATAATACAAAATCCCTAGTAGGAAAGTTATTTCTATGCAGACATATACATTTTCTTATGAAAACCTACCTCCACATAGTTCTGTAGAGCCGCATCGAGCATTGTCAGATCAGTCAGAAAAGTACCAAGGTAAGGAACCGTGCCTTGCATTATGCCCTGTACAAGAGGGTAGTGCAAATAGGTTAGTCACTTTAGCCGATCTTCAATTGTTAGTCATTGGCTTCTGGGGCCAATTCAAACATCCTACATAGCCAGGGTCCAGCCTCTTTATTTATTTATTTCTTTATTTATTTGTGATATTTCTATCCCGCCTTTCTCGAAGGTGACTCAAGGTGGCTTACAATCAGACAGCCATTTGATGCCATAACAAAAACAATTAAAACAAATTTGTAAAAAAAAAACCCATACAATAAACCCCTTAAAAACATATAAAACCAATGACTTCACTGTTAATCTCATTGTTCAAAAACATATTCTGAGAGGAAGCCACAGGGAGGAGGGAGCAAGCTTGTTTTCTGTTTCCCTGGAGACTAGGACGCAAAACAATGGCTTCAAACTACAAGAAAGGAGATTCCATCTGAACATGAGAAAGAACTTCCTGATTGTGAGAGCCGTTCAGCAGTGGAACTCTCTGGAGTGTGGTGGAGGCTCCTTCTTTGGAAGCTTTTAAACAGAGGCTGGATGGCCATCTGTGGGGGTGCTTTGAATGCAGTTATTCCTGCTTCTGGCAGGGGGTTGGACTGGATGGCCCATGAGGTCTCTTCCAACTCTTTGAGTCTATGATTCTATGATTCCACAATTCGATATCATATAGTTCCGTGTTTATCTATTGCACTGTTTCCAAATGCTTGTTCAAAGAGCCAGGTTTTTGGGTTGTTGTAGTTTTTTTTCGGGCTATATGGCCATGTTCTAGAGGCATTCTCTCCTGACATTTTGCCTGCATCTATGGTAAGCATCATCCTCACCTCACTACCTCTGAGGATGCTTGCCATAGATGCAGGCGAAACGTCAGGAGAGAATGCCTCTAGAACATGGCCATATAGCCCGAAAAAACCTACAACAACCCAGTGATTCCGGCCATGGAAGCCTTCGACAAGCCAGGTTTTTACTTGTTTCTGGAAGGTCAAGAGGGAAGAGGCCGATCTAATATCTCTAGGGAAGGAGTTCCACAGCCGAGGGGCCACCACTGAGAAGACCCTGTCTCTCGTCCCCGCCAATCACACCTGTGAGGCAGGACCAAGAGCAGGGCCTCCCCTGAGATATGTTCGGATAGGTAAGCTAGGCTGGAATGCCTCCTCTACATTTCCATCTTGCCGTTTTAACATTTGTGATAGGGAATGGCTGGCTGAAGGATCCACTGTTGAATGAGTGGGAAATCCACTTTGGATTTGCTCTTCCTGTAGCTGCCCTCTTAAGTTGGATCTACATTGCCAAATAATGTAGCTTGAATATTATTATGTGGTCATGTAGCCCCTTATAATGTAGCTCAATGCAGTTCAAACTGCATTATATGGCAATGTAGATGCAAACTGAGTTGAAGGAGCGTTGCCAGTTGTGAGCCTTTGATCATGGAAAGAATGGTTTTAAAATCAAAAGTGAATCTGTCATCTCTGTGGTAACAGATCCATCAGCTGCCCTTGTGTATTATAGAACGAGTTCTTCCCTCCTGCCTAAAGGCCTTACATAGTCCTTTGCCTATGCCCAAGAGATTCAGAATTTCCCACAGTCAATACTTGGCTTACAATCCACTACTTTTCAAACAAGTACAGAGATATTCCACGTCTTATGAGTTGGATTGCTCTATATATACCAGCTTTACAGAAAGTAAGACATGCCAGAGTACTGGAAATTGGTGCTTCCATGCCAATAGCATGCCTGCTCCTGGTTTTAATCCAAACTGTAAAGGACCTAAATGAAAGTTTAAACTCTATCTGCAAAACAAGCGTTCAGTTTAGTTCAGACTAAAACCCAGAGTGAGTTCACATTCCCACACTGGTATGGGAGCCAAAACTGAGATAGTGTGGTGCTGTTTTAGCGGTGAAACTGATTTTATAGAACTGTGTGTTCATGGAGTCACCCCATTATCTGAGGTATTTTTCATTTTGGTAATGCCATTTAAAATGAGAACTTAGAAAAGTTACCTGTTTTGGCCAAAACAGACATAATTGTTCAACCAGCATGATTTAATAATCTGTACTTAATGAACCTTTGATGTAGTTATTACTCTCTTTTACTAGTTGCTATATGTTCGTGATTTTGCTCTTGCTTTTACTGCACTGCTTACTTTGCAGATTTTGCCTTTTTGAGATTTTTTTTCTTCAGGGAAGTATATAAACACTTTTATTTTTAAAAATACAACAACAATGAATTTGCAACTGTGGAATGACCTGTCAGAAGAGATCTGGCAGCTAAATGACTGCTGGAATTCAAAACATACCTGAAGACCTATCTCTTCTGGCAGGCCTACCCAGTCAGTTTTAGCAATGATATTTAACTTCATTTTATTAGTAATAAAGTTTTAGTCTTTGTTCTATGTATTTTGATATAAGTATTCTGTAGAAATAAATTGTAATATGTGTATTTTATGAGATTATGCTTGTGATTATGCATTTTTAGCTATGTTTTAACCTGCCTCAAGCCATGAGGAGAGGCAGGCAAGAAATAAAATTATTATTATTATTATTATTATTATTATTATTATTATTGAGATTGGTTCCAAAAAGAAATTCCAAAAATGAATCCCCAGATACTATTACACCTCCAACTCTTAGAATCTGAAGTCAGCCCAGCTAATCCTCAGGGATTTTCAAAGTAGGATTTCAAAAACACCTATCAACTCAAAACTGGGAACAACTGATATAAAATTGATTGTGTAATGTCAATACAAAATCAATTCCTTAACTTCCTAATCATCTTATGGGAAAAAACGACATGGAGATGTCCACTTGCCATATCTTTTTGCAGCTGAAGTCGCCGCTGAGTCCTTTTCTGGTTTTCTTTTACACTGCTTTCCAAATTTGCAAATTTTGACGTTCCTTCCTGCAATGTGAATAAAAGGGCATTTAATGTACAGACCATTAAGCTGAGTTGCAAATATTTCCTATACTTTTATTGAGAAACTGCAAAAGTGTGAGAGAATTGGTGTGAAAGAATTGGCCTTCTGCAAGGACGTTGCCCAGGGAACGCTCAGATGGTTTGATGTTTTTATCATCCTTGTGGGAGGCTTCTCTCGTGTCCCCGCATGAGGAGCTGGAGCTGATAGAGGGAGCTCATCCCTCTCCCCGGATTTGAACCTGCGACCTGCCGGTCTTCAGTCCTGCCGGCACAGGGGTTTAACCCACTGCGCCACCGGGGGCTCCTAGCAATATCCTATGGGATTGAGTTATATATTGCTTTCTCAAACCTAACATCTTAAAACTAAATACATTCACACACCAACAAGTAAGGGGTACAGATGTCTGTTTCCCAGCATTGTGAAGATGGGCTATTCAAAAATGAAACAAGCACAATTTGCTTACAAAATTCCTCAGTCCCCTCTGAAATTGCTGCCAACAGCTAATCTTCAGGTCAGATACATTTGGACCACAAATTTTCAAGGAAAATACATCTGGACAGCAGTTTTAGAGAACAAATGAAATCATCTACTCTGAATCATCTTGTGCCCAGCACTATTTCAAAATGTGTTATTAATAAACATTTTCCCCTCCATTATGTAACACTGGGTTTTTTCCGTGTTCTCGTGCACTTGGATACGATGACTAATGTCTTTCGTTTGCTGACTAACAAGAAGATAGTCAGGAAATGAAAATGCTTGTTTTCACATTCCAGCAATCCAGACTCTGCAGACTACTTTCCCAGTAATTTCATGAATGACAGTCACATTTCACAATACTTTTTTCTTCCTCTGACATCAGCTGATTTATCTATCACTGCTGCCTAGATTGCTTTTATCTGCAATTGTCAGGGTCAGCAATTTGACACAACCTCTCAGATGCCCCAGTTTAAAATCATGTGGTCCTTTCTCCAGCATCTTCTAAAGTAAAGAGTAATGCAAGAATTCGTTTAGCTTCTCTGTAAATTCTCAGTTCTTTTTTTCACCAACTATTTCCAACTGCTTCTCTAGCTGTAGGATCTCTCTTGTTGTTCCCAACCAGAGCTGAAATAAGTTATTATTGTTGTTGTTGAATGCAACCCTAGATTCATAGCACAACAGCAGAGGTATTCCAGATACAAAAGTCCAAACGGACACTTTTTACTAAGAATTGCTCCTACTGAAGTTATTTTTTAAATGTTTTTCTCAGATTTATTCTTTGTTTATCGGCTTGTGTCATCTTTTCTTCTCTGAGAAAAACTTTTAAGGAAGCTCTTTTGTTTTCATGAGGAAGAACTTCCTGACTGTGAGAGCCGTTCAGCAGTGGAACTCTCTTCCCCGGAGTGTGGTGGAGGCTCCTTCTTTGGAAGCTTTTAAACAGAGGCTGGATGGCCATCTGTCAGGGGTGATTTGAATGCAATATTCCTGCTTCTTGGCAGGGGGTTGGACCGGATGGCCCATGAGGTCTCTTCCAACTCTTTGATTCTATGATTCTATGCTGTTGGTTAACAGCACTGATCTCTCCTTGGATATTTAATTCATGCACTTTCTAGTCTGAACTTACTGAGTCTCTCCTTTATCTTTTATTTAATCCTGATTTTTTAAAAAAGTAATCTCCTCTTCAAATTCAAGGACTCTGCTGAATGTTCTACACATCTTTTTACATAAGATTATTCAGGCACGATATATAGACATGTTTAATATGACTTGCAAGTAAATTTTCTTATAAAGATTTACTGTATATACTCGAGTATAAGCCGACCCGAATATAAACCGAGGCAGCTAATTTTACCATAATAACTGGGAAAATGTATTGACTCGAGTATAAGCCTAGGGTGGGAAATACTGGTTAGTTTCAAAATAAAAACAGATACCAATAAAATTACATTAATTGAGGCATCAGAAGGTTAAATGTTTTTGAATATTTACATAACACTGTAATTTAAGATAAGACTGTCCAACTCTGATTCTAACCTTCTTCAACGTAAATGTGCTTATGTATCCTTCCAATAAGAATAAAGAGAGTAATATAATGTAATAATAATAATGATAATAATAGAGTAAAATAATGGAAATGTAATAATAACAGTAATAATAGAGTAAAATAATAAATGTAATAATAACAATAATAAATAGTCAAATAATAAATGTAATAATAACAATAATAAAGTAAAATAATAATGTAATAATAATAATTGAGTAAAATAATAAATGCAATAATAATAATAGAGTAAAATAATGGAAATGTAATAATAACAGTAATAATATGACTATGACTGTGACTGTATTGACGACTTGGCTTGGGTAATTGTGATGATGATGTTTTTATTGTACTTTATTGTACTATTTTAATCTGTAATGATGTTGCACTCTGTTGTACTTGTATATTATTGTATTTGCATATATGTTGTAAACCGACCTGAGTCCCTCGTTTGAGGTGAGAAGGCCGGTATATAAAACTTCCAAATAAATAAATAAATAAATAAATAATAGAGTAAAATAATAAATGTAATAATAACAATAATAAATAGTCAAATAATAAATATAATAATAACAACAATAAAGTAAAATAATAATGTAATAATAATAGAGTAAAATAATACATGTAATAAAAATAATAATAACAGAGTAAAATATTAAATAACGTTGACCCGAGTATAAGCTGAGAGGAACTTTTTCAGCCTATAAAAAAGGCTGAAAAACTAGGCTTATACTCGAGTATATACAGTATCTCTGTATACTGTCATCATCTTATTTATTATTATTTATTTATTATATTTCTATACCGCCCTTCTCAGCCTGAGGGCGATTCAGGGCACTTTACAAAACAACACAATTTGATGCCACAATAATATAAACAGTTTAAAACATATAACATCCATAAAATTCCATGAACAATAAAATCAATAAAACATAAATCTTCAATCCTTTATCAGCAGAAGAGCATATAATATTCAAATCACTCCTCTAAGAATTTTGTTATCACAAACCAGATGTGCTCCAGATACTGCTACAGGCCATATTTATAATTTTCCTCAAACATCAACAGTCTTATTCCATTTTGATGGAAGCAGATTCCTCTCTTTTGTATAAGGTCAGCTTATACTCAGCACAACACTAAGTGAAAGCCTTCTTTTTGACTTCATTGTCTCATTTCTGCTCTGAAAGTCAACCGTTTTGCCCTTCTATTCTAACTAGTCTGGTATGTTCAGAAAGTATCATTTTAGGTTGTTGACCTTAATACCTTGCTTGGAAATCTAGATTTTACCTTGAAACTATGAATTGAGTGTTTGTCTAATCAAGTATCAGAAATAACAGGCAGCATGGTGTACTGGTTTTAGTATTGGACTGAGAATCTATAGAGCAGAGCTTAAAACTCTGCTAAGCCAAGCAAGCTCACTGAGTGACAACGAATCACCATATCTTCATGCCTCAGAAGAAGGTAAAGGCAAGCCAAAGGCAAACAAAGCTTGCCAATAAAAATCCCATGATAGATTTGCGTTAGGGTCACTAGAAAAACAACTAGAGCAATAACAATATCAGAAATGTCTGGAGAGGAGGAAGGGGGCTAAAAGGTTATAAAGCAAAACAGAGATAAGAAATAAATCATACAGCTTTGTTATCCAAAATTTCCTTCCCCACTGTACACTTTTTACACCTGTATTCAAAGAACATCTATCAGACAAAGCAACATGTTTACACACCACAGACATCAACAAACCGCTGGTTCTTACCCTCATAAGCAGCTCCCGACTTATCAAATAGTTGTCACGGTCTGAGAAAATTTCTGACAATTCTTCAAACATCAACATGCTGTCCCTGCATAGAGGTGAGAAATAGAATGAATGTGAGATGCTAGTTTTCTTGGCTCCTTGTGATTAGATTGCACAAACAACCTTCTTCTTGGTATGAGCCCATGGCTGGACTTAGAGCATAGCAGAGTGTGACATAGGAAACTGTATAGGAATTCAGTTTGGAATCAGGAATTCCCATGTTCCCATCCTTGGGAGTATCATGAACTAGTCCAGTGGTTCTCAACCTGGGGTCCCAAGATGTTTTTGGCCTTCAACTCCCAGAAATCCCAACAGCTGGTAAACTGGCTGGGATTTCTGGGAATTATAGGCCAAAAACATCTGGGGACCCCAGGTTGAGAACCACTGAACTAGTCTCTTTACTAGACTACTAATAGCATTTTTAAAGGGGGATCTTTTGTGTCTTCCAGGATGATTTGTTGAGTTCAGTATAGTGGAGAGTCATGGAGAACTGGAAAATTCGTCTTTCTAATGATGAACCAGCCTGGACCAGCCAGGACACAGCATATTATTTGAGAACACAGAAATGCTGGACCACTCCAACAACCACCATGTCAGACTACACAGAGAAGCCATTGAAATCCACAAGCATGTGGACAATTTCAACAGAAAGGAGGAGACCATAAAAATGAACAAAATCTGGCTACCAGTATTAAAAAACTCTAAAATTACTACAGCAAAACAGCAGAGAGGAAACAACCAGGCACATCTTAACACCTCTCAACAGAACATTTCCCAGGCTCAGCCAAGCCTTCAAATGCTAATGAAGGTGGTCAGCTGAAACATTCACACCTAGCTTCAGCAGAGAGCTCTTTGCCCCACCCCAGTCATTCCACAGATATATAAACCCATTTTCCTAGTTCCAACAGACCTCACTACCTCTGAGGATGCTTGCCATAGATGCAGGCGAAACGTCAGGAGAAATGCCTCTAGAACATGGCCATATAGCCCGAAAAAAACTATAAGAACCTAGTGATTCCAGCCATGAAAGCCTTCGACAATACATTTCTAATGATATTTTAGTGGTTTTATCCAACACTCTTTTTAAAAATAATCATTGACCATACAGCCATGTTTCTTCTCTTTTGAAGACTAGCAGTCTGTTAACGAGAATCTTTTCTATTCAAAGGAAAAAGGATGAAAGTCTTACTTTGATACGTTGGCCCAACACTTTTTTAACCGATAGATGGAATTGGATTGTAGTGCTGAAACAATGGCCCTCAGTGAGGAAAAATTCTTCAAGATCCTACATTCCTGCAAAATGAATGATGAAGAAACGGAGTAAGGTTAAATACTAATATTGCAAAGCAATGATCATTTGAGTATTGCAGCTGCTAAAAATTAACTGCTAAAAAACACCCACCTGAACAAACATTGAGCATCTTTTAAAAAAGAAATCTGTCTTGCTCTTTCTAACTTCTTTTATTTTCTATACTTTTAACATTTGGCATAAAACAGTGGGGGCAGAATGCTATGCTGTTGATTCAGTATTTTAGTTTCCAATTCTTCTAGTTGAGATGCTAGTGAAGGTGAGTCTATAGCCAACAGGGCCATAGCCAAAACATTTTTTTGGGGAGGGTTGAAAATTTCGGGGGGGGGGGGGGGTAGGGGCACGCTGAAGCAAAGAGCACAGCCTTCAACCACCTCCACCAAGTCTGGCCTCCTTAATGAGAGCATCCCCCCCCCCCCAACTTGGTTGCTTCACTACATTGGCTATTGCTGCAAGTAATGACAGTGTGAATAAATTGTCAATATTTGCTTGAGATAGTGCTTACAGTTCTGGAGGGACTCTTAATTTTTTGCGTCTCATAGACTTAGTATGGGGATTTGGTTAACCAGTTAAAATTCTAGAGTAAACCAGGTTTTTTTTAACCTGAAAAATTGGGGGGGGGGGTTTGAACCCCAACCCCCCCTCTACTTCCAGACCATTCCCAGAGTTTTCTGGGCTAAATCATCCTGGAAAACTGTGAGAATCCCAACCCCCTCCCCAAAAGCCCTAAACCCTCATTTTAAAAATAAATGTACTTACCCAGCCTCCATTGGAGAGCTGTGGCAGCTCTCCTGGCATGTGGAAATGACGTACCAGGAGTACAGGGGGCAAGGGGGGGAGGAGGAGGAAAATTCTCCCCCCCCCCTTTCTCCGCATGTCATTCTATGCCAGGAGAGCTGCCGAGCTCTCCAATGGAGGCTGGTAAGTACTTTTATTTTTAAAAGGGGGGGTAGGGCTTTTGGGGAGGGGGGTAGAGTCTCCAGGTGTTCTCCCAGGCCAGTCCTGGAAGAACATTTGGACACCCACGCCAGAAAGCGCATACTTTCTGGGGTGTGTGTAGACAGGGCCCCAAGAACATCTGTGTTTTAAAAACAGGGATGTTTCAAGGATAAAGCTCTGTCTGGAAAGGCCCTTGGAGACAGGAAAATTTTCAAAGGATGTGGCTTTGGCAGTTTGAATAGCATGAAACTGATATAATTGTCTACTATAAGTCAGAATAGGTAGTTTACTAATAACAAGTGAGAGAATACATGGAATATTGAAAGATGCTTCATTCCCACCACCCATCTGATTTTCTAGATATTTTAATCATCTGAAACTATTATTATTATTATTATTATTATTATTATTATTATTATTATTATCTTTATTTGTACCCCGCTAACATCTCCTGAAGGACTTGGTGTGGCTTACAAAGGCCAAGGCCCTCAATAAAACAACAGCATAACAAATACAACAATAAAACTCATAAAGCAAACCAACAAACATTAAAGCAATAACAGTAAAACATCAAAACAATAAATCATGACACATTTAAAACTAGGGCCGGGCCAAATGTAATGAATAAATTAAAAGTGCTGGACATGACAGGTAAAATGTAAGGATTTTAGGGTAGGTGCAATGTGCAGGCAATCTTAAATCTCTGGTAAAGTGCGTTTGGGACATGATGCTGGGAGTTTCCTATTCTGGAAAGGCACACTGGAACAGCCAGGTCTTCAAGCTCTTCCTAAAGACTGCCAACGTTGGGGCTTGTCTGATGTCCTTGGGAAGAGAGTTCCAGAGTCGGGGGGCTACCACAGAGAAGGCCCTGCCCCTTGTCCCCAGCAAACGCACTTGCGACGCAGGTGGGATCGTGAGCAGGGCCTCTCCAGATAAATGGAGGGATCGTGTGGGTTCATATATGGAGATGCGGTCACGCAGGTAGGCGGGTCCCAAACCGTTTAGGGCTTTGTAGTTGAGCACCTGCACCTTGAATTGGGACCGGAAAATGAACGGCAGCCAATGGAGCTCCTTAAACAGGAGGGCTGACCTCTCCCTGTAAGGAGCACCAGTTAACAACTATATCACAATACACACACAAATGCATACAAGACACAAATGAATATTTACATGTGCAATATCAATCCACTTCTCTATAATCTTGGCTCGCTGCAGGGTTCTCAACTCTTTGTCATTCAAGATTGTTCGGATAACACATTGGGTCACTGCATTGAATTGTGCAATGGTGGCTCTGATGGTGAGTGCCAAATGGTTATTTTCCTTTTTACTCCTCTGAGACCAGATGCTGCCCAAACAGTGATATGGCACCACTCTCTTAAACAGTTCCTAGAACAAGACACAAGAGATCTTATTAAAACAGGAAGAATCTTCTGGTCCCTATTAGACATACTATGTGGCAAACCCCACTTAAATGTCAGCCCCAGCTTCTGCCAACCTAGCAGTTCGAAAACATGCAAATGTGAGTAGATCAATAGGAAGGTAACGGCACTCCATGCAGTCATGCCAGCCACATGACCTTGGAGGTGTCTACAGACAACACCAGTTCTTCGGCTTAGAAATGGAGATGAGCACCACACCCCAGAGTCAGACACGACTGGACTTCATGTCAGAGGAAAACCTTTACCTGCCTTTACCTTAATAATGGAAACATTCAAATAATAATACTAGAACAGGAGGAACATTATATGGGTCTTTTAAAAACAAGAAGAACAACAACAAGAAGAGCTACAAAACCAGAGGCTTTGGTCAATATGTAGGAGCTCCCCAACGAGATATTAATTTGATCCAGCAAAATTAAACAAGTGGCGAAGCATTCTAACAACAGTCAGGCACATCAAATCACTCACTTCCCCCAGGCACTTCCAAGCTAATCAAGGTGGTCAGTTGAAACATTCACACCTAGCTCCAGCAGACAAGAGTCTTTGTCTCACCCTGGTCATTCCACAGATATATAAACCCAATTTTTCCTAGTTCCAACAGACATCACTACCTCTGAGGATGCTTGCCATAGATGCAGGTGAAACATCAGGAGAAAATGCCTCTAGAACATGGCCCTAACAACCTAATGCAGGAAAAGCATGTCTAATTTTTTCCTTAGGTCCCAGTCTGATAACATTTGCTCAAGATAAACATGGCTCGACTATAAGGAGATATTGCCAGGCACCCCCAATACTATAAATAAGTGTTTTTCAAACTGTGCTCCTCCAGGTGTTTTGGACTTCAGCTCCCAGAAATCCAAGCCAGTGTACCAGCTGTTAGGAATTGTGGGAGCTGAAGTACAAAACCTTTGGAGAAGCACAGTTTGACAAACTCTGCTATAAATACTAGGATTGCTAATAAGAAAAGAAAGCAGAACACCGATTTTGGGGAAAGGGGTGCAAATGTTGTTCTTTGCCCGAGGTAAGATTATCTGTAGGGTTGACCTTGGGAAAGGCCCCTGTGAAAATAAAGAATTAACATAATCAGGAGCCAGAACAAGTAAAGTACAGCTGGCACAACTTTGGAGAATAAAGGAGTGAGGATGTCTGGTAAGACTTTGTGGCTTCACTAATAACAGCATACCCCTCCACTTCTTGAATGACCTTCTGCCAGAAGGCAATAAGATTTTTATTTGCTCAGGCCCTCACACTTGTAAATTGGCTCTATTATTGTAAATGCTCCAAAAATATGTTCAAATAGTTTTTGTTTTTAATCTCTTTTGTTTGGAGAGACAGAGACAGGATACAAATTTAACTAAAAAATCAAAACAAACATTTCCGCATGACAGTCAGAATCACGTTTTTATGCTTACAGCATCCATGTAGGTGAGCTGCTCTGCCACAAAGTCTTCAGCGAAAGAAGAGAAATCTTCTGAACTATCAGTCTCCAGTTTTTCCTCACTGGCAAGGGTGTCATGAATGTGTCCTGTCCAAAATACAACAAATATTGTGGAAATTGGCAAAACATATTGTCTGACCCAAGGCCCAATGGAAACTGAGGTCTTTCTGTATTAAATGCTAGTCTGAGTCAAAAGCTTCTCTCTTCAATCAGTAAATGCAGGAAGGAGAAAAATAAAGGCATGCCCAAAGCAGCTGACTTACTGTAGGGGGAAAGACTGTGCTAAATGGTGTTCTACAAAATGCTCATTTTTTCTAGAGCAGGCATGGGCAAACTTCGTCCTCTCCAGGTGTTTTGGACTTCAATTCCCAGAAATCCCAGTCAGCTTACCAGCTTTTAGGAATTGTGGAAGTCCAAAACACCTCAGACATGTTGCCATCAGTTTGAGGAACCTCAAGGAGACCTGTTGCTGTCAGCTTGATGAAATGGCAATCTCTCTGAGGGAATGTGATTGTAGTTCCCTCAATACTAACAGTAACAGGAAGGAAACCTCTTCACCCTTCTCCCAGCATTCCTGGTCTTTCCCACTAATTGTAGTGCTCTATTATTTAGCCTGGATCTTATCACTACTCAACTATTGGTGAGGAACTTCTTTTGCATGTGCCCATTAGAAGCTATGAAGGTAAGATCTTGCACTGTTCACACAGTATGTAGGACGTATTCTCAGGAGCTTAGGACGAGAGACAGTCATGATATCTGCCCAGGAAGAGGAAGAACCAGGAAATAGAAAAATCAGCAAGCTATCAAGTATGTTTTCCAGAAACTAATGGACTCTTTTGTGGCTTCATGTTTTTTATGTGAAACTGGCCTGTTGCCATCAAAGGACTTTACAACTTTAGAGGAGTCAGATGTTGGATTTGCTTGGCAGGCAAAGACACATGGAGAGGAAATTGTTAATATGCCAATGAGACCTTAAAAATAAAGATATTTCAGGTAATATCTAGCTATCTTTGTACAGCCACATTTCTTCAGATAAAAGCAATGTGAAAGAGCATGACCGAGAACCTAAGACTGGTTGGGGTGTAGTATAATAGATTTGTTTCCACATGCCTTCCTGCTTAACAGCAGTCATTCCCAAACCTTGCAACCTGGACTGGTTTTAGATAAAGAATATTTGCAAATTTAGCATCATCAACAAGAAAGGGAATGAATGCACTATTTTGTGCAAAAAAAGTGTATTATGCATAAAGGGGATTTTTCTCAATGAAATATTTCCAGAGAAAGTTCGAAAATGCAGTATCACTGTGGCATTAATGAAACTGATGAACAGGAAGTTCCTCGGAGGAGTCTGCCCCAAACAAGCTTCATAGTTATTTGGATTCCGACCCATATTGCACAGATTGTTCAATTTGTCAGTGATGTCTAAAACGTTAACAAACGTAAACAAGTCCAATTTGTGAAAAAAAGTGAAAATGTATATAGCTTGAGTATGCCTTATCCAATATATATGCCTGAGAACAGAAGTTTTTCATATTTCAGATTTTTTAAAATTTTGGAATACTTAATGAGATAGAGATAGAATCCAAATCTAAACATGAAAAAGTTTGTGCACACTGAACCACCAGAAAGCAAAAACGTAATTATGCCAGTCACTCACATGGACAATTTTGGAAGTATTCCAATTTTTAGAATTCCAGATAAAGAATGCTCAACTTTCATCTAATTATACCCCTCACACTCTCCATGGTTTCTGTGTTGCAACTTGAACAAAGGAATGGAAAGAAAATGAGGAAAAAGCCCTCACACTATCCACCAAAGTTTCTGGATTCCTATTTTATTGACAACAACTTTCTTTTATGCTCAAAACTTGGATTCTTACTGAAATGTGCACAACTCAGCTGAGAAGTCTCATAATCCTTTTACCAGGAAATTACAGAGTAAAGACTTCTGTACTACCTAAGAGATTCTGTGGGAACTATTGCTCACCCAATGAAGGTCTAATTACACATATCAGCATTTAGACTTGCTTTGTTTGATCTGCTGGAACCAAATCCAGAAGGGAACATAATTAGACACAAATTAGCAACACTTGGAAACACTGGAATTTCTGATGAGAAGAACCATTTAGATGCAATGCAGTGAACCCTTTAAAAAATGAAAATAGAAAAACCAAGACTGATTAACAGCATAACTTGAATAATAATTTCTGGAAAATTCAAATAATAATAATAATAATAATAATAATAATAATAATAATAATAATTTTTATTTGTACCCCGCTACCATCTCCCCAAGGGACTCGGCGCGGCTTACATGAGGCCAAACCCAAAGTAAATCAATAAACAAAGCAATAGCAAAACATTCAATACAATACAATTAATATAAATCACATAAACAAATAAATAAAATAAAAAAAATAAAATAATAATAATAATAATAATAATAATAATAATAATAATAATAATGTAAGCTCCACATAAGTAAGTGGAGCTCAAGGGGGAATGAAGTAATGATCTTTACTGAATCTTTTTCTTATGTTGTACTATAATTTCCATCCATTTTCTACTGCCTTTCTGTGGTCACTGACATAGTTACGTTCATTGTACAAGTTCTATTAAATTTCTAGCTATGCTAATTATGTCCACAGGAAACCTTCTGTCTCAGGAAAGCGGAGGTGGGGTGGAAGGAAGGCTATTTGTCAGGCTCAATGCTGCACAGAGCATTCCAGTGTCACTACTGTTCACAATTGTTTCAGTGGCACTTTGACCCTCTAACGTAAATTTTCCCTTTGTCCTTGGATGTCAGCAGTGCACCGACTCAGATAGGAAAAAACACCACAGACACTTCCTTTGTCATGACAGTAGCTAAGGAAAGGCATTTTGTGGCATAAAATGCCATAGTCCAAAAAGAAGAGAAGGGGGGGGGGGGGAGAGAGAGAAAAGAAAAGAAAAACGGACTGTTCTGTCCCAGGAAAATTACATCAGAAAGCTATTTTGGAAGTGAAAAATCTGATTAAGGAGAGCAACTGTGAAATGACTTTAAAGATCTGGAATTTTTAATTGAGCCTATGGCCAAGCCAACATCTCCAGCATAGCATATGTTCTGAGATAAAGCCAGCATTTCCAAAAATAATTTAGGAAAGAGCACTAGGCATGTTATTTAGTGGTCCACATTTGAGTTCTTAACTTTAAAAGAAGTGCAGCACTTTTAAGAATAGATTCCATTTAATTTCTGGAATTATAGAAGCAAAGCTTGACAAAATTCCTTTTTCTAGAATCTCCACATCCCCTTGAACCTAGAAACCAGGACCCACTTTTGTACAGTACACAATATACTCATTACCATTCATGACTTCTTGCTTCTGAAATTGCTCCAACATGTTTTGTGCCCTTCCTTCAAGTACCGAACCTGGCATGACCCGTGTCAGATAAGCCAAGAGTTTCTGCAAACAAAAGTAATCGGGTGGCTCTCGGAAGTCTTCAGAGCACTGCTCTAGCCACGCTCTCAAAATGGAGGCTATGGCCCTGCAAAGAAACAACATTGTAAAGAGGGTTAGCTGCATCATCAGGATTCACCAACTATATTCCAGTAATTCTGCACAAGAATCCCAATGTTAGTAGAGGCAAAGTTAAATTAAAGGAAAAATCTAAGGCCTGAGACACAGACCCAGAGAGTGTGTGTCCTCAGTGAATCTCGTACCTTGTGCAAATATGCTCCCACCAGCAGAATAAGCCTTGGCACCTAACTCCAGTTGACAGTCCCAGTAAATTAAAATCATTGATAAACTCATTGATTCCACCACTGAGAAGGCCCTATCTCTCGTCCCTGCCAAGCGTGCCTGTGATGCAGACGGGACCGAGAGCAGGGCCTCCCCAGATGATCTTAGTGTCCTAGTCGGTTCATAGGAGGAGATGCGTTCGGAGAGGTAAGTAGGGCCAGTAACACGCAAGGATTTAAAAAACCTAAAGAAGTTTTAGTCTAGCATGTGTATTGTTAATCAACATATTACTTAGGAAAACAGCCACTTGTGATCAATAAGAAATTGACATCTGGGGGGGGGGAGAGGGGTCACCCCCCACCACCACCACAAAATTCCCAAATTTTATGGCCTCCAAATAGCACAGAGATGCCTTCTAGAGTCTGTGGAGGGCATTTCACCATGCTTTTGGTCTCTTGGTCCATTTTAGGCTGAGGAGTTGTGCTGGTCAATGACCAAAATAAATGATTTGATTGATTAATTGAGGCTGAGGAGAAGGCTTTTTTAAAACAAGTAATATAGTTGCATGCCTAATGGCACTTTTCTAATGAAAAGAATAAGAGAGATATTGAAACTATGCCTTATTCTTTTCTCACATGAAGCTAAACCTTTAAACTGTGTCACATTATGCAGTGTGCTTTTCTTCTAATGCTGGATCTAAATTGTCATAGAATGCAAGTTTCAGAATGCAGTTTAATTGCATCGAATTGGATTATATGGCAGTACAGACCCATCCATCAAGGTGAAGAAGAAGAAAGCGCAAAAGCTGGGTTGCAGTTAAACATCAAAAAAACCATGACTATGGCAACAAGAATTATTGACAACTGGGAAATAGAAAGAGAAAACGTGGAGGCAGTGACAGACTTTGTATTTCTAGGTGCAAAGATTACTGCAGACACAGACTGTATCCAGGAAATCAGGAGATGCTTACTTCTTGGGAGGAGAGCAATGACCAATCTTGATAAAATAGTGAAGAGTAGAGACATCACACTGGCAACAAAGATCTGCATAGTCAAAGCAATGGTATTTCCCGTAGTCACCTACAGATGTTAGAGCTGGACCATAGGGAAGGCTGAGCGAAGGAAGGTAGATGCTTTTGAACTGTGTTGCTGGAGGAAATTTCTGAGAGTGTCTTGGACCACGAGAAGATCCAACCAGTCCATACTTCAAGAAATAAAGCCTGACTGCTCATTGGAGGAAAGAATAGCAGAGGCCAAGATGAAGTACTTTGGCCACATCATGAGAAGACAGGAAAGCTTAGAGAAGACAATGATGCTGGGGGAAATGGAAGGAAAAAGGAAGAGGGGCCAACCAAGGGCAAGATGGATGGATGGTATCCTTGAAGTGACTGGATTGACCTTGAAGGAGCTGGGGGTGGTGACGACTGACAGGGAGCTCTGGCATGGGCTGGTCCATGAAGTCACAAAGAGTCAGAAACGACTGAACGAATGAACAACAACACAGACCCATAGCCCAGTTCAGTGCAATTAATCTGCATTCTGAAAGGGCGTTATTTGGCAGTGTAGATCCAGCTTAAGAGACAGTCTACCCATTTCTCCCCCTGAATTTAGGGAGCTAGAATTCATTTTAGGTATCATGATAACTAAGCTTTAAACGTCTTGTGCACCACTAAATAAAAATACATGATGTGTGCAGCTCACTGCTAGAGGTCAAGGGCAATTGAATTTGAAGGGATGATGCTTCTTGTTATTCTTAGAACAGGAAACACAGAAGAAAAACAAAAGTGATAACAAATCCAGTAATACTAAATATTTTAAGCTCAAAAGCTTGTGGGGAGAATATAGCCATTGTAAAAGACAGCAAAAAAAGTACTAGTCAAACAAGGGGCACACCAACAAGCCAGGATTGCCAGAAAGACGATGGGAAACAATTCATACTTTTATACTTTCTGAACACTATGCACATTCCTAGGTGAGAACTAATCTGAGGGAGTGGTTCTGCTCTTGCTTTCGGATGGTAAATCCTTGAGGGTGGGACCCATCAGATCACATTCTGAAAACACACCAGAAACAGATGGCATTTTCAGCCTGTACAACATAAGAAGTTTCAGACATAGTCTCTGAAATGTTCAGGTTTCCTTTTCTTGTTTTATTTGATAATGAAAATTACTAACCATATATTATTTATACCAGTGATAGAAAGAAAGCTGGGAAGGTTTTTGAAATCTAGCTTATCTTTTAGCAAATGATTTGAAGTGAAGAAACAAACATTTCTGCCTTTTTCTTTTGTGTTAACCTTAAAATTTCTTTTATTAATGATTTTTGTGTCAAAAGGTTTACTCTATATCACTAAAACTAAGTTGGCTTAAGGTTTTGGCTTCCCCCACAAAATGGCATTGCAGGATGGGCAAGATTTAGAAAGAAACAACAGTTTTCAGAGCATATTGAAGAATGAATGGTTTGAGACAGGGATAATGACTCATGATGTGTAAATATAACCCACTTTTTCTTCTGGTACACAGCTTCTGAAAAGGTTTCAATAACTCGCAAAATCTATTTGACCAACAGCAACAAGCTGGACAAAAGAAGTATGTATGCATGCCACCAGGAAATAAAACTTCTATGGTGAGACCACATGATCTTACTTAAAAGCAGGATGGACTTGTATCATATTTTACAGAAGGCAATCCTCCGTTTGAAAGGCCCTTCAAGTCCATAAATAACAATAAGAAATAGGCTGCCCATCAACATTTAGAACATGGACTAAAAACTGTGCAAATACCTCCCTCTACAAAAGTGAAATACCTACATTTAAATTATGATGTCAAAACTTGCATATGTGTTTTATGTTTTTCCCTTTTTACATACAGTGTCTGCTTCCAACTTCAAATATTCCAGGGCATCATACAATGATGGAAACTATGTATGAGTTCTTTTCGTAGAGAGAGATACATTCGGGCAAGTAAGCTGGGCTGGAACAGTTATCACCAAGTCTATTGTTTGTTAGGTGAAACTGTACTCTGTAAAGCTTCTATGGCTTGTTTTATGTAGTGTCCCTTCGTTTAAGTGTATAGTATTAATTTTGGCCACTGCACACTATGGGATCTTACTCAAGTTTTTGTAAGGATGTGGTTTGCAAGTGCAGGGATATGATATTGGGTTTCTCACAATAATCAGCCTTTTGTGAGCTGAAGTTTCAGACTGGGGAGGGAAGCAAGGATATATTGGGCTCCAAAAACCCATAGCTCACCAAGGGTTAATACATACATGCTCGATACCTGTTTTTTCTCCCTAATGAAATCAGACAGTGGACACTGACACAACCAAATAGAGATGTCCCCATTTCTCAAGATGGGGAATTAGAGGGATAGACAACTAATGAAATATCAGAATGCACAAACCCTATGTGGGAATATCCCATTTACAATCACCCACTGAGAAAGGAACATTCAACTGAGCCTATATCAATAATAAATAATAATAAACGTAACATTGCTCTTCCATTTCTAATAAGGAGGAGGGTAATTTTCCACTAATGCTGAATTTGAAATGCGATGCGATCACGTAGGTAGGCAGGTCCCAAACCGTTCAGGGCTTTGTTGGTAAGAATCTGCACCTTGAATTGGGTCCGGTGGATGAATGGCAGCCAGTGGAGCTCCTTGAACAGGAGGGATGACCTCTCTCTGTAAGGAGCCCCAGTTAACAACCTGGCTGCCGCCCGTTGGATCATCTGAAATTTCCGGGCCGTTTTCAAGGGCAGCCCCATGTATAGTGCATTGCAGTAACCCAATCTAGAGGTGACTAAGGCGTGGACCACCTTGGCCAGATCCGCCTTCCCTTTAATGTAGTTGATGCATTTAAGCTACCCTGAACAAACGTAAACTTGCCTCTTTTCCAAAGCTAGGCAAGGTTTGGATAGAAAATCATGAGGGACTACCTGGAACTTCCAAGCAAAGCTAGGAATGAACCCTGTAAGAAATCCTAAACAATTTTTTGGGATTTCTAAAGGATTCTAGGCTGGATGGTCCAATGTTTTAGGCAACTTTCTAAAGTACTTCAGAACTGTGGCCCCACCCCAAATCACAGTTCTTATATGGACCTGTAGGAAAAATAAGGCCCAGTGCTATAATTGGTTTGCTTGCTCTTGACTGATCTTAAAAACTTCCCCATGGTGGAAAAGAATGTATTCTGTGATAGGTAACATGTTATTTGTTTTTGTGTGGATTGTGCCCTGGCTACTTGTGCCATTACTCACTTTTTTTCTCCCTGTTTTCCCATTGTGCAGATGATTCTGCTTTGTTTTTGTAACCTTTTTCATTCTTCCCCATTCTCTTGAGTGCAGCCATTTGTCCCTTTGTCTCCTCAGTTAAGCTACATTGCTTTCTTCTTGTTATTTTACCCTTTACTAGAAGGAAAGTGATTGCTTCAGCCCAAACAAAACTTAAAATGACTCCCACTGTGGGTTTCCCAGGCTTTAAAGGACTTCAGCCAATCTTCTTTCACTCACCTCACATTTATTCAGTAGATGTTTCTCCTAATTCCATTCCTTTGATGAAATTGTTTCTGCTACACTAAAGCAGAACACTATGCTTTACCAGAAGAAGATTAAACTCCACTGAGACAAAAAGTAAATAATAAAAGTCCTACTCAGGCACAAAAAGTAATGAGATGCAGGTCACATGGTTCTTCAAAAACAAAGGGGGAAATCACAACAAAAATTTCATTAAATATAGCCCTAAAACTACTGTTTTACTATTGTGGATGCTGACATTTGGCAAAATTATTATTTCTTCTGGCAGTTGGTTCCCAGCTGGTACATGTAATCTGATTACCTTTTTGCTTTATTTTTTACTCATGTTCTATTTTGAAATGGTCATATGACTGGTCAAATAAATAAATTATTATTATTATATTACATAGTATTATTAATGTATCTCTTGTGATCTGCATGGATCTTTCTACGTAACATCAAAAAATAGGTCCCTGCTAAGAGGAGTTCAAAACCTGAAATTCTACTAAGAGAAGGGAACTGAAGAGAAGTAAGAAGAGCGTGAAGGGAAACTGGTCATTTATGAGTCTCGTATACAGACTCAGGACCAAACAAAGTTGAGGTTTTTTGTTTTTTTGGTGATCCATTACGATCAGATGTCCTGAAGGTGTGCAATCCAAATCAGAACTTTCCTCTAATACTACTTTTAGATACAACTCTCTCACACACAATCATTCTCACACAAAGATCAAAAACAGCAGCCCCGAATGGGAAAACTGGAAAAAATATACAGTACAATTCACCATTCATTTGCACACAGGGATAGAATGGTTACGGTCTAAAATATAAACAATCAATACTTTCAAAATCATGCCTTTAAATGTTGTTATTGCCCAATAAGCACACAACAATCACGTTTTATTATTACCCAACAAGCACATCAATATTTCTCATGAAATGCAACAAAAATGTCCATTGTCTTTTGTAAAGGAGCAACCCCCCCCCCTTTTAGAACAATTATTGCGTGGTTAGCCACAACACACAAAGGTCAAGGGAGACTAGCCCAAAGCTTAAACTGGAATAGTGCCCAAACCCCGTTTGGCTCTCCAACAGCTCATTTGGCTACCCACACTATTATGCCACAGTCTCTTTGGCATATCTGACAGCCTGAATTGTCTTATGTATTAGAGTGAATATTTCATGAGAAAAGGGCCGGAAGAGAAGACATGCAAGTTCTGTTTTCTGTCAAGTATTGAAACATCGCAAAGTCCTTAGGCTAAAAACATAGGCAAAAAAATTGTCAAGGCCTGGAAGGTTATATGTTGTGATGTTTATTGATTGTTATAATGTTATTCTTTTAAATTGTTCTTAATTGTTTTTATCATGTTTAAGTATTGCATTTGCTATTGTGAACCACTCTGAGTCACCCTGAGGGCTGAGAAGAGCGGTATACAAATATAGTAAATAAATAAATATATCCATTTGCCCAAAGCCACATTAGTCTTTCTGCAAAGACAAGGAAGCATAAATGAGTCTTTGCATATATGAGAATACCACACACAAGGATGTATAGTAACTTCTTATTGACAGGATTTTAGGTTTTAGAGGCCATGTGGTATAGCCAGAGTGTTGGATTGGTAAGAAAAATGAGACACCTGACCATGAGAGTCAAGAATCTTAAGGGCAGGTGAAATACTGTGAACAGGAAAAAACATGGTCCTCTGAGAACATTTGATAGTGGTACATTGTACAGGAGAACAACAAGGTTCCTATTGACACCCAGTCAATGCTACGTACTCTAGAGCAAATAAGGAGCCAGATAGTCAACAACACTATCCTGTAGCAATACAACTTTAACAAGCCCTCTTCCTCAGACATACACAAGCTATTCTCACTGTGGGAACTGTATCTTCAAGGTGTTGTGGAGGTATAGGAAGCAGAAGGTGGTGCTTCCAGCTCCAGTTTCCTCAAGAATGGTTGCTTTATTCAGGTATTTTGAATGGGACTAAACGAAACACATGAGGAGTGTCATAACTCTGCAGCATTGTTATTCCTCTCCATGTGCCCATACAACTAGAAATCTTGCATAAGGGTTCTCTGCAATACACAGAGACGTAATAGAGAAGACAGGGCTACAGTGCTATCCTGGATCATGCACTCAGTTTAGCCTTATCTTGAATGCTTGAACGGATCTACTGCTACATGTAGAACTTCTCCAAAAACACGGTACAGAAGTACCAGTGATTTCACAGCTTCCACAGCACCTGCATGGAATAAGACCTTTTCAAGATGGGTAGATGGTACTTGTATCTGGCAGTCATGCATCTCTTGCATGGAAGGTTTTGAGAAAATACAGCAAAATGTATGGCCTTTCCCCAAAGATAATAGTGCCCATAAGTATAATAGACAGCCTTTATATCTCTTCCTATACCAGAAGTGTCATATCATGACTGAGACTTGGAGAGGAAGGAATATGTGGGCCTCTTACTTCCTTATTTCAGGAAAATGTCACAATAATATCAAAATACCCACAAAGAAAAACACAAATATCTTGCATGAGACTTTGAGAAAACAATGAACTTAAGTACAAAACCAAGTCAGCTAATTTTTGAGAGACAAATATTCACAAATAGGATCCAACATAGTATGGTGGTGTCAGCATTGAGACAATGATTATGGAGACCAAGATTTCATTCCCTGCTTGGCCATTGAAACCCACTGAATGACCTTGGGTGAGTGACACTCTCTCTCTATCCCAGAATTCCCTGTGTAAGATCCACCTTATGGTCACCATAAGTCATAAATTACCTGAAGGCACACAGCAGCAGCAGGACCAATAACATAATTTACAAAAGGGTAACAGAGTACCTTTTTTGTTAAGGCAAGTCACACACAGAAAAGACCTTGCCATTATACACTGGAACTTTCTTTCGCTTAAGAAAACGGCATCTGCTTAATTTAAGTTATGACTTGGCACTGACAACTTATTTCATGAGGTCTGCTACTGGACCAGATGTCAAACCACTTTGATGAGTACAGGAGAAGTTCTGGAAATGAATACATTTTCCCTTTTTATTTCAGTTTCAGAAAGGCGCAACCATACATCTCTGTCAAATATTAGTGCAAACCATCTGATCCAGTCTGCTCATACTGGTTATTGTTGTGATGATAGTCTGAGGAGTGGATCAAAAGGAATTAATATTTCCTTCTCCTTTAAAGCCGATGGCAGCAATTGTAAGTAACATTATTTCACGCATGCCCAATTACATCTTGAAACTAGAATACTGCCAGTAGCCCAGAGCTTTTTCACGGTTATTCCACCACAGTGCAGAGGGAATGTAGTTATTCCTATGTGCAACTGACATTCCTATTCCTTACATTCTGGAATGTGATATCAAACAGTCAGAATACATATTACTACTATTGCATCTCAGAAGATTTTTCTTTTCATATATTAAGGCTCAGATTAGGAAATGTAAGACCAAGAAAACCTGGAACATCACTGATGTTCCCATGTATTCCATCTTTACCATCTAGATTTGGGAACAAAATACCAAAACCAAAAGTATAACGGCAGGCGAGGTGACGTAAGCAAACACTGTGACAGTGAATGGTGTAATTCTTCATCTCAGGGCATGTATGTTAAGACATTAGTTTTAGCTTCCTACTTACGTAGAACTATGCGAAACCCTAAACCTGCACTTTTTTAAAAAAAATATTGAGTACAGATGAATGAATAAGATGTTTTCCTGGGGTTTAGTTCTTTAACAGAATTTTTTGGTACCAGAGGTTGAAATAACATGGAGAGAATAAGAGATAGGTTTCTACACACCAAAAAAGAAGAGCAATTCAGTATGTTTCACCACATTTTATATGGTCAGCATAGGCACATATAAATGTATTATATGGGACTAAACTGACCATACAAACTGCATTATCTAGCAGTGTAGATTCAGCCTAAGATAATTGTGTGCTTATATATGGGGGGAGGGGGACAGTCATATTAAGAATGTCTAAATCTCATTTACTTAAATGGAAGAAATCCAAGTATCTAGTATACACATAATGGTTATGAAAAGCATTGAATGGACAATGTTTTTGCTTGATTTTTTTAAAAACAATGATGGTCTCTGGGTTTGGCCTCCTCTGTGGCATTCAGCTTCTCTGTATAATAAAAAGTAGACCCATGCTATTTTCCAAAGAACCACATCCTTTTTCTCAGTATTGAGTCCTGGGGTTGATTTTTGCTGTTCAGAGAAAAGCAGTACTTACGTCCTGAGTACTGTTTTGTTCTCAGTAGAGTTCTGGCTTCTATCTTCTTCACAGTTTGAGATATCCAGGTTTCCATATCTAAATAAAATAAATAAATAAATAGAACAGGAAGACTGTGATTTTTAAAAGTTGTTTTAGGAATGAAGAATGAATGAGAACTCACTTATATCCTAACGAAAAGCAGACAGCATATTTATCAGAACAACCGCTGACTTGTTCAGTGGATGAAATTCAGCTTCACCTTTTTACCCATCCTTACCTAATTATTCCTGGGCCACCAAATATTTTTCTTAGGGATACTAAGCCATAAGCAGTGCTCCTATACCTTCTATGCAACTCTTTCAAATAAAGTATAGCAATCATGTCAAAGTTAAGACCTAACACCTACATACACTATGGCACCCTGATTCACAGCTGCTATTCCTCCAAACCACTCTTCTCCACCAATATTCTTCCTCTAAGTAGCAGGCAACCGTTTGGATACCTCAGCTTTATGGGAGATTTTGTGCACCAACATTATTTGCTTCCTTGGGACCTTACTTTACAACTCAATACCTGACCTATCCTTACTTCTTCAATCATTGTATGCCTTAGTGAACAATCCTAGGGACCTTGTCACATGCCGTTAGAATCAGCCAGCCTCACTGCTTCCTGGCATAGGGATCTGTTACCTCACACTCCGCTCCATCTCCGCTTCCCCTCATCACATGGGGAAAAGGAGAGACAGGGAGGTGCCTCACTATGCCTTGCCTCCTACCTCATGTCCCACCACGTAGACAGCTAGCCCTGGCGCCCTATGCAGATGGTGTCCCCTTGACCCCCGTGAGAAAGAACCTCTCCCTTACCCCCCCCCCCCACACTCACATAGTGCAATGAGGCCACCCGCCATGTGCCCTTCCCACTAGTCGGGTGGTGGAGGAAGAGGTGGAGGAGAGGCCTGCTGGCTTTGCTGTGAAGAGCGTGCAGCAGCATATTAGCAGAGGCGGCCCTAGGTAATTTTCAACAGTAAGCAAACAGTATTTTGCCCCCCCCCCCAACCAATAATTGATATGGAGCAGGAACGAGAGGGGCTAGGCGAGGCTCAAGGGCCCGGCCCCTTCGGGAAGAGGATCGCCCGGCAGCGAGGCAAGAAACGAGGCTCCCCCCGGACTGCTAGGGCTGTTGTGAGACGAGGGGGTGCTCCTCAAGTGGCGGTCGAGGGCATTTACAGAGGCACCTCTGCGCCCCTGGCAAAAAAAAGTGTACCGCAACCGCTTACTTTGCATAATGGACGAGCCGCCCCTGCATATTAGGGTGCCATTTCAGGGCTCCAGAGACTCCCGGTGGGTTCAGTTGCTGACCTTCTCTCTTGGGAATATATACAGTAATACCTATGCTTTTTAGAGACTGTTTTGTAAAATCTGCTTTAGAAGTATCAAGTACCAATACATTTTAAATCAGGATATGTATAAAATGTTTGAAATACCGCTACAAACAACATTCAAGTTAAAATCCAGTTTAGAAAGAACTTTTTTTAAAAAAATGCTAAATGCTTTCACTATTGTTTGTACATGCATGTGAATGAAGGGATTAAGAACCTGTGGATTCTTCAATTACCTCATGCTTTACATTGAGTGTTAGGGCATATGTGAAGAAATTGTCATTGTACTGGATAACAGAAATGATTATTTTCCAAAAATAATATTTGAAAATTATCTAAAAAATAATAATAGTGTATCAACAAAGGGTATACAACATACACATGCCAGTGACTTACCACTATTTTGCCCTCTACCACCTCCTCAATAGTGATCTTACTACCACATGTTTATACTGTTAGTTATGTTATCACTTTTCATTTATCATAAACGATTAACATTGCACTGGCTGTGAATCAGGCTTAAATTTAGCTGTAGTACTTTCATTTCTTGGTTTGGTGTTATCTCTGGAATGACAACACGAGCATGTGAACCCTGGCTGAGTTAGAGACAGTGTCCATTTGGTGATCCAGTGATCCCTACTCTAGAGAATTTGGGAACATAATCAACATTACAGAGAGAACTAAAAAAAAAGCAAAATGGCATGATATTGCTCATGCTGACTGGGGGAATCCGGGAGATGTAGTTCAAAAAAGAAACTTCCCAAAATATAAGTATCAGATATTCTGCTGCTTGCTATCTTATCTGTTGTAGCTTCTTTTAACTAAACAATTTTTGCAAGCATATTACCACTGCCTTATTGTGGTAAAAATAATGTTTTGTCGAAGGCTTTCATGGTCGGAATCACTGGCCACTACCTCTACCTCACTACCTCTGAGGATGCTTGCCATAGCTGCAGGCGAAACGTCAGGAGAAAAATTGCCTCCAGAACATGGCCATATAGCCCGGAAAAACCTACAACAACCCAAAAATAATGTTTCATGCAGCCATACAGTAAGTAAATACTTGGCCTCTAAACCAAAGCAGAAATGGAAAATTGCTTCTTCCCCATAGCATCTGAGAAGAACTTGGGTATTTCATTTAATGGTGAGGAGAGAGGGGGGCACTAAAGATAAACCTACAGAACACGCATGTCTCCCAAATGTGTGCAGTAGGTAAATGCTATATGTTTTCACCACACTTTTAAAAAGTTTGTGTACTTTCTTAATAAATATAGATTTCCGTTGGGGTGCATTACTAGTAATACACAAATATAACAAAGTAACCGACACTGTAAAACCATACTTGAAGTATGGTTTAAGAAGGTAAGTTTTAAAAATTGGAAAATCTCAAATAGCCAAAAAGAAGCAATTTTTAAAATGGGTAAATTACTCAATAAAGCTTTTTGTTGATTTAGTATTTGCATACATTCTTGATCCAAAAGGAGGAATACCACAGTTCCACTGGCTTACGTGAAACATCTTATTATTATTATTATTATTATTATTATTATTATTATTATTATTATCTTTATTTATACCCCGCTAACATCTCCCGAAGGACTCGATGCGGCTTACAAAGGCCAAGGCCCTCAATAAAACAACAGCATAACAAATACATAATAAACTCATAAAGCAACCAAAAAACATTAAGCAGTAACAGTAAAACAATAAAAACAATACACCGTGACACATTTAAAAACTAGGGCCGGGCCAAGTGTAATGGGTAAAGTTAAAAGTGCTGAACATGACAGGTGAAATGTAAGGATTCTAGGGTGGTGCGATGTGCAGAAAACCCAGAAACACATAACTTAGGTTGTGTGTAAGATTGTGGTGTAATACAGTTAATAAACCCCATTTCTCCTACATTGGATGTAGTATAGGGAAAATATTTAAGTGGTGGGGAGGATAAAATTGCATTATGTTGTGGCATTCTTTCTCATTTTAATCTTGTATTGGTTTTGCTATAAAAACAATGTTATTTTATTTTATTTAGGATTTATACTATATGCTATTAAAAATGATAACCCCCCATATACCTCTCTCATATCACCTGAACACATGTAATCTCTCTGTGGGACTCATTAAGCTCACCCACTCCATACTTAGCATGGATTAGCCTTTAATTCTGCCAAGAAGGACTGTGCATCTGTGACCTCATCCTAAACACACAAGTTCATCTCATTTGTTAATTAGAACAGCAACAACCCAGTCACAGATACCATAACTTTTAGGCTGCACCAAAATCAATCAAAACCACAGCTGCTGGATTATGGTGAGGCTTCTGTTCTGTTACTGGGAAAGTGCTGGCATTTTCCTCTCCCAACAACAGCCCTTAAGCTCTGCCTGAAAGGAGTGAACACGTTATATATAGCCTCGTGTTTTATGAAAGTGCTGGATTGACAGCATGCAAACTGATGTTCTTTGTTAAAGAACAAAGCAGGAACAACAATGAACAGCTGCAGTACAAGCTTTCCTCTGCCACCCCCGGCTCTGTGCCTCTGCCAGCCAGCCATGACTAAAGCAGGCCTCCCCACAGGAAGCTCAAACCTGCGTGGGACATTACTATACAAGCGACTCCCCTTGCTCTGCAATGTAACATGTCTTTTAGAAGGAAATTGAAAACTGTGACTTGTGCTGAAAATCTCCTCTACAATACTTTTAAATGCATCCATTGCTGAGCGTTTTAGTATTAAAATAATGTTCAGTTTCAACTCTGGATTTACAATACAAACTGCAGACAATCACATGGATTAAGTGAAGCTAGCAAATCAGGCTGTGTGAAGAGGCAATTAAATTTGTCCAGGGGACTGAAGTGTGCCTGCTTTCAAAGGAGAAAGCAAATAGGATCAAAGAATCCTAGAATCCTAGACTTGGAAGAGACCTCATGGGCCATCCAATCCAACCCCATTCTGCCAAGAAGCAGGAATATTGCATTCAAATCACCCCTGACAGATGGCCATCCAGCCTCTGTTTAAAAGCTTCCAAAGAAGGAGCCTCCACCACACTCCGGGGCAGAGAGTTCCACTGCTGAACGGCTCTCACAGTCAGGAAGTTCTCGTGTTCAGATGGAATCTCCTCTCTTGTAGTTTGAAGCCATTGTTCCCCGTCCTAGTCTCCAGGGAAGCAGAAAACAAGCTTGCTCCCTCCTCCCTGTGGCTTCCTCTCACATATTTATACCTGGCTATCATATCTCCTCTCAGCCTTCTCTTCTTCAGGCTAAACATGCCCAGCTCCTCATAGGGCTTGTTCTCCAGACCCTTGATCATTTTAGTTGCCCTCCTCTGGACACATTCCAGCTTGTCAATATTTCTCTTGAATTGTGGTGCCCAGAATTGGACACAATATTCCAGATGTGGTCTAACCAAAGCAGAATAGAGGGGGAGCATTACTTCCCTAGATCTAGACACTATGCTCCTATTGATGCAGGCCAAAATCCCATTGGCTTTTTTTGCCGCCACATCACATTGTTGGCTCATGTTTAACTTGTTGTCCACGAGGACTCCAAGATCTTTTTCACACGTACTGCTCTCGAGCCAGGCATTGTCCCCCATTCTGTATCTTTGCATTTCATTTTTCCTGCCAAAGTGGAGTATCTTGCATTTGTCCCTGTTGAACTTCATTTTGTTAGTTTTGGCCCATCTCTCTAATCTGTCAAGATCTTTTTGAATCCTGCTCCTGTCCTCTGGAGTATTGGCTATCCCTCCCAATTTGGTGTCGTCTGCAAACTTGATGATCATGCCTTCTAGCCCTTCATCTAAGTCATTAATAAAGATGTTGAACAGGACCGGGCCCAGGACGGAACCCTGCGGCACTCCACTTGTCACTTCTTTCTAGGATGAAGAGGAAGCATTGGTGAGCACCCTCTGGGTTTGTCAATTTAACCAATTACAGATCCACCTCACCGTAGTTTTGCCTAGCCCACACTGAACTAGTTTCCTTGCCAGAAGGTCATGGGGGACCTTGTCAAAGGCTTTGGATAATACAGCTTTGGGTGTCTGGCCATAACAGATCCCTGGTAAGAGGAGGCATAGGGCCTATCCGTACTAAAAACATACTTCCAATTGTCTTTATTTGGCAATTAATTGTCTGTTGTCCTGTTTTTTCGGCAGCTATCAAGATGTTCCAGTTTCTCTTCCCACTTTCCCCCTTTGTCCTCATCTTACTTCTGTTGGTGAAAACACTGCAGGGGGGACAGAGAGGAATCTTGCCCCTGCCAGGAGACTTAGGCAAAAGCACACTGTTTGAGGCGCTTGCAATTTGTGTGTTCTCTCTCACTAATCACTTCTGTCTTCTTCAGCAACACTTCTATTTTTCATCTGTGGAATGTTGGTACACATTCCATTGACTCCAGCAATCATAAACATCCATTTACAAAAATAATCTAACCCAAAATTTTTAAAACTATATTGTTGGCTTTATAGCCTATTTCATTATTACCAAACTGAGAAATTGTGATTATGTAGGCACACAGATCTGTCTATAAAAGTTTAATCGTTGTCTTTTGAACCAGCTTTAAAAAAATGAAGATGTAAGGATAGAGATGGATGAATGTAGGAACAGGAGATAGTCCCCACATACCAGATGCTGTAGGGCAGGGGTCCTCAAACTAAGGCCCAGGGGTTGGATACGACCCTCCAAGGTCATTTACCTGGCCCTCACTCAACCTAAGTCTGAAACGACTTGAAAGCACACAACAACAATCCTATCTCATCAGCCAAAAGCAGGCCTACACTTCCCATTGAAATACTAATAAGTTTATATTTGTTTAAAAAATCATTTTAATTATTGTATTGTTTTTAAGTGTTTTTGCACTACAAATAAGATAAGTGCAGCATGCATAGGAATTCAAATTATGCTTTTTAAAAATTATAATCTGGCCCTCCAACAATTTAAGGCCCTCTGTTTGAAAAGTTTGAGGACCCCTGCTGTGTAGGCTGTATTTCAGAGGAAGGAATTAGTTAAATGACCTCTGAATCTTCAGTGCCTAAAAAAAGTCCTAAAAACTAAGGTGATGTTAAAAACTAAGGTGATGTTAATACGCAAAAAACCTATTTCCTAAAGCCATTAAGCTCCATCTCAGAAGTAGGTTCATGCTACCATTTTTCTTTACTATCATGTAAACTGGATGTCAGTATTTTTCTGAAATAAAAGGTGATATTCAGAGAGCAAATGCCAACATTGCGCAGCAGTTGTATAATTATAAAATTATCTGTATACCTGTTGTCTTTACACAGAACTAAAATGGCAGGCTGCAGAACTGTAAAGTTTCATTTTCGAAACTATTCAATAGAAATCAAAGAGTTGGGAAACTTCAGCTTTCAAAACAAGCATACAAGCACCACTTCGTATTCTTTTACTGCAAATCATACAACATTTGCTGAAACATTGTCTTTCTCTACTCTCAGTCTTACCTCTCGAGGATCAATTCCAGAACTTCTTTTGTGGATGCAAAGCCTCGGTATGTTGACAGAAATATGTTGATGTAGTTGAAGTCATTGTCCCCAAAAGCTGTCAGTAGATTCTCTACAAGCTTCTCCAGAGTACCAGCCTTGATTGACCTTATCTTACATGTCTCATGTTGGCTAACAGTATGATCTGGAGGCAACTGGTCCCTTTCAATCTATGCAAAAAAACAAAAACAAAGGGACATTAATGTCTGCCACCAAACATAGTTTTGAAAAGATTCCTGGTATGTATACAGGAATGTTCTGAAAGTAGATGATACACATCAAGATACAGATGTAAAAATATGTACAGCTTTTTTTTAATTTATAAGAAATAGTTTTTATACAGATTTCACCAACATAAGTGCTTTGGTTGAAGCTTCCAAAGCATGGTAAAGGGAAGACAGCTTCAAATAGCTTGGCTTCCAAATCGTGTGAGGTGATAGAATCATAGAATCACAAGAGTTGGAAGAGACCTCATGGGACATCCAGCCCAACCCCCTGCCAAGAAGCAGGAATATTGCATTCAAATCACCCCTGACAGATGGCCATCCAGCCTCTGCTTAAAAGCCTCCAAAGAAGGAGCTTCCACAACACTCCGGGGCAGAGAGTTCCACTGCTGAATGGCTCTCACAGTCAGGAAGTTCTTCCTCATGTTCAGATGGAATCTCCTTTCTTGTAGTTTGATATGGAGTGAGGTTAGGTAAGGTGGGGAAAGGGCTAAATGCAGTGCCTGGGCTGCATACAGTCCACAAGGTATTTTCCATCCTTAGTTCCCTTAGACTGCCTTTCTTCTTGCAATAAGAAATCACCTCTGTTAGAATAATCCCTTCAGGAGCTAAATGAGTTTTTGAATTTCAAGATACAAAATTTAGCTGCAAGAGAGAAATTCTAGCCAAGAGGGAACCAAAGGAACAGGACTCTTCAAGAACTTATACCTCCAAGAAAAGTAAAACTCTTTAATTGGACTATAATTTAGGACTATAATTTGGCAGTTTTTACCTATAAAGCACATGATTTTTTTCCCAGATGTAAAAATAAAAATACTGCTTAAAAATTACACCGGACAGGGACATCTGCATCTGGACTTCCTCACAATGAGAATAAATTCACTCATTGTTTCCTTCAAGAATAAAAAATGGCAAAGAACTCCATTCTTCTTTGTGCCTGGGATCAGTGCTGTAGAGTCCACTCTCTCCAAATAGAGTCATAGATTTAGAGTGCATCTACACTGTATAATGAATGTGGTATGATACCACTTTAACTGTCAGGGCTCAATGTTGTTGAACCATGGGAGTCTTTAGCCTTTTCTGTCAAAGAGTGATGGTGATTCACCAACTATAAATCCCAGGATTCCATACCACTGAGCCATAACAGTTAAAGTGGTGTCAAACTGCATTAATTCCACAGTATGGAATTTCAAAATGAAACTAAACCAAGGAAAAGCAAGATTGGCTCCATGCATGAGATTAACACAGTCAACAAAGTTTAATATACAGTGTGTCTGAAACAGAGAAGTCTTAGAAGCAAACAAATGACAAAATATGCAGATATGAGTCTGATAGGATATTTTCCAGAAATCTATTATACACATGAAACAAAAAAAATGTATTGGAGGTGCTTTGAAATGATGCTGAATATGGATGCCCCATCTATATTCTAGCTTCACTATAGATGTCCCCTGCTTACTTGACAAATTATGGACTATTGCAATACCAGAAATGGGAAATTATCAAAATGCATAACCCATTCTCTTCAGTTTGCACAAAATGTTTCTGCACATAGTCACAGTAGTGTGTGGATGGCTAGGGAAATATGACAAAATAGATTTAAAAAAAGAAGACCACGTGCCGAACATGTATGGGTTCTGGCTATAATTGGAAAGAGCTATCAACAACAACATTTTTTCATTGATTAGTCAGTTGGCCTTATCAAAACAGACAGTGCAAACGCAACATACAACATACACCTAGTTCCAAATACAGGTGTTTGGAAAGAGCTATCAAAAATGAGGGATGATTGTGATTAAATGTCTGGCTTGTTCACATATCTCGCAAAAATGAAATTCCATAGTTTCCTAACTACATTATACCTATTACATCAATTGCTAAATGGTGTGTCCACATGCAGGTAAATCCTACTGATTCAATTAATATATTCTAATCAGGACTAACAATAGCTTTTTTGAAATGTAATTTATTGTACCCTTGCAACACATAACTACCTTATTTGTAATGAGCTACTTCCAAGCTTTTCTAAAGAGCATATTGCAGATTGGGGACCATCTGTGGGTTTTTTTCATGTCTCCACTTGTAACAGTATCAAGTTGCATTAAGAGTTGATGGGAAGATACAAGCTATTTGGAATGGGATGCATGCGTCCATCTCTTTTATGAGAAAGGAGTTACGCAAAGGGAAACATGATCAGGCAACATTTTAAAGTGATGAGTCTATAAGACCCTAGTGGTCCCCCGAGAGCAGCTTGCCATCACTTAGACTGTGAGCAGCACACTCAAACATATTGTGGAAAGTAATCCAGATGAGGATGGCTCAGTGATCTCATTGTTGTTTATACTTCTCTCATGCCTGTTACAGTATCAAGATGGAATGGGAGGCGTCTGGGCCTTTCAACGGCTGTGAAATAAGAGACACTGTACAGATTTTTCTCTGTCAAATCAAAGTGCGCACTCTCTCTCTCGCACACGCATTGTATCACCTCCTGGTACGGAGAGTCCAATGCAACCATATTTCCAATTACTTTTTATACCCAGTCTCATTTCTTATCCATCTTGTCATGGTTTTGTTATCAACTGTTTTTTCCCTTAATCGGGAAACTTTTGCTATATGTATATTTCTACTTGTATGGGCCTGCCTATCCCTGAAAAAGGGTATTTGCCCTATATTTTCTAGATCTGCATAGACCCTGCATTTGCCCTGTTAATGTCACACCCAGCAACCACATCGTAATGAGACCATCCTAAGCAACCACCCATGCCCAATGAAAAAGCTTGCTTGTGAAAAATTCCTCCCATTCACACTCTTGGTGGCCACACAGAAGTGGCTATTTATGCTTTATTTTCTTCCCATCATGCATGTGAACATTTTTATGTTTGTCTAAGGCAGAGCTTTCCAAACTGTGTGTTGTGACACATTAGTGTGACAGCTGCCGTGCATAGGTGTGCTGTGCCAATGTAGCAAAAAACTTCTAAGTCTATGTGAAATAATAAATCACACATCTCTAAAAAAAAATGAAAGATTTCCATGAGATATGTTGTATTTCATTATTACAGTTTATGAACTTGTCTATAACTCCTATAAAGAGTTGGTTTAACCTCCATTTTGGTAATAAAACTGAATTACCATTTCATAAAATGATGCATGTCTAAAAAGGATGTCATCAACATGAAATCTTTGGAAAGCTCTGGTCTAAGGTGTTTTTAGCCATCTTGTTATACTTTGTGTGTGTGTCAGGAGCGACTTGAGAAACTGCAAGTCGCTTCTGGTGTGAGAGAATTGGCTGTCTGCAAGGACGTTGCCCAGGGGACGCCTGGATGATTTGATGTTTTTATCATCCTTGTGGGAGGCTTCTCTCATGTCCCCGCATGAGGAGCTGGAGCTGATAGAGGGAGCTCATCCGCCTCTCCCCGGATTCGAACCTGCGACCTGTTGATCTTCAGTCCTGCCAGCACAGGGGTTTAACCCACTGCGCCACCGGGAGCTCCTCCTGTTATACTGATATACTAGTATGCTGATCTGTGAATACTCCTTAAAAAAAGAAAAGAAAACATGAACCCTCATCCTGATGGGAATGATCACATGACTTGCTAGCCCTTTCCACTTCCCACGGTCCAGACCATCCCGAACTCCTCTCTCAGTTCCCATATGAAGCCACCTGTTAGGGACAGCCACACCTCCCACCCCCAAACTTATTCAGATCTTCAGCCAGTATATATGATGAAAGGTAATTCTTCTTAAAGTTGTTTAAGGGCCAAATAACTGGTTGAAATGCAAATTGTCGCAAACATTGTGTGTCAGGATAACGACTAATATATCATTTATGTTTTCCAAATACAGTTGTGAATTAAGGTTGTTAGCTAGCAGAACACAAAATAACTGTGTGATACTCTGCTGCCAATCTTAAGAAAACATTGCACACAAGGTGGAACTAACAAAACTGAAAGCAGCCCCTCGATGCCATGTATTCTATAGCCTCAGTCTCTCAAAATGTGAGTGTGTCTTTAAAAATAAAAACAAAAACATATCAGCAATGAACCCAGAGTACTTAAAATCATTTCATGGAATATCTGAGGTCTACGTTTTGTTTGCATTATTTCACTACGCTGCCTTGAAGTCTTTTAAAGAGACTTGGCAAGCGACCATTCAATAACACTGACTTGTGGAATAAGACACAGAGGGCTGAGTTAGCACGCTAACAGGAAACGGCTCAATCTGGATTCAATCAAAGAGTGCCTTTTTTCTGACATGATCAGGATTCCCAAAAAGCAAGAAGAGGTTTTGGGTTTGCTTTCTGGCCAGCTGTCTGACTACAAGGAAACCATACTGTTTGCTTTTCAAAGGGGACTTCTGTAGCGGAAGGGCTATTTTCCATTTACAGCATGCAGGAAATATGGTCATGTGACACCTTTGGAGTTCAGGGGAGGTCGTATAGGAAGGAACTTGGCTTTTACAGTATTATTTTCTTTTAACATTTTATCACTGTGCAACAAAGAGCACCGCAGCATTATTAAGGAATTGTGTGTCCAAATAGACACCCAAGTGAGACAAATAGACACATACAATATAATCAGTGAACCAAGAACAATTCAGACTGGAAGCTACACTGTAAGGATATAATTTGCGCAAAATATATTTGAAACTCTGTATTTTCTGTCTTTTGGAGTGTTTTTTGTTTTTGTTAAATCAATTTCAGAGATGCTGCCATGCATGAACCATTTGAATGAGGAAATGGACATCCAATTACAATCTCTTTGAAATTCCTTGAAGAGAACCATGGGTGTGTCCTTTGCCAGTGTGAGGTTGTACAGTGCCAATTCAATGTAAAAGCTTATTTATTAATGCTACATAGTTAGTGACTTCAAGTACACCACCAGAAATTCTTTGGTGCACATTTATTGTGTATACTTCCATGGAAAGAGAGTAACTATGGCTGTTCTTTC